TGCGTGTCCCCGAGGCCTTGAAGCACCTCACCTGGAAAGGTGTCCCGGCGACGGCTCCCCCGGAGTTTTGGCCGGGAGACCGACAGAGCTATGTCGACGCTATCCGCACGCATGCAGACTCGCTGGTCAGTCTGGATCTGGACTTTTATGCGAATGGTGGACATCATCCGCCGTTGGATTTTCGGGATTTCCGCGGTCTGCGACAGCTAACGATTGATCCGGGGGTGCTGAGAGGTGATACCACGGATGCGGATGGGAATGCGCGACACGCTACGACGGAGTGTCTGCTCCCTGGCAGTCTACAGGGGCTGGTCCTTCGGGAGTATAGAGAGTACAGCGTGCCAGACCAAGAAACTCTGCCGCTCGTCTATCGCTGGGTGTCATCGGGGGCGCTGCCTAGTCTGCGGAGCGTCACGGTTCAATCGGCCAAGTTTTCTCGGAGCGAGATCTTGCATCGTGCCCTCAGTGCGAAGATGTGTTTCGATGATGCCTTTCGGTCGGTGGGCGTGCAGCTCGAGTACGAGAAAGTCCGGTCCAGCCTGGCAGAAGAGCAGTTTGGGTTCGACTGCCATTGTTGCACGTACGCCTTGCGATGGAATAATGGGCTGGATTATTGAGGTGGTGTTGCACCAGAGGGACATGATGAATCTCCACTGCCGGATATCCACGGAAATATCACCGCAGTCCAGTTGCCAAGTGTAGCAGGTTATGCCTGGATGTGTAGCAATCGATAGGCACAATAGATCAGTCCTATGACTTTACTACAGGCCCACAAGAAGTCAACATGCCTTCTCAGGCTACAAGCCCACCAGTTATACTACCCAGTGTACTTTCCTCACTTCGATAACTAAGGTAGCACCTAGATAGTATCCCCACCCACCCACCCCCTTTCCTCTCCCCAACGCAAAAAGAATTCACCAGCCCACCACCTCTCTCCCTTCCAGCCTTCAAGGTTACTACCTACTAGTTCCCCGTCATAACCCCCCAATCCCCCTCCGTCCACACCAACCGCATCCTCCACCGCTTAATCCTCCACACCCCACCACCACTTCCTTGCCCCTCCCCATCCACCCCCGCAAAGTCCCTCACCACCTCAACCGAATACAGCGCCCCGCTCGTCAACCGGGTAGTGTCAGGCTGATTCCCCTGACCCGCCCGAAAATGCTGCGCCAACGCCGAGGCGGTCACGGTGGCGGTCGCGGCCGCGGTTCCACGATCCTCTGCCGGCAGGTTGATGCGCACATTGCTCAAGAAGTGGGTGGTGTCCAGCGGGGCGACGGGGTCCCAGCTGCCGGTCTTGATGGCCGCGCGGCCCTCCATCACGCGGCCGTTGAAGTCGAGGACGGCGTCCTCGAAGAAGGCGGACTCGAACAGGGGGAGGTTGTTGTCGTCGTAGGAGAGGACGGCGCGGTAGAGCGGGTCGACGATCGCTTCGCGGAGGGGGAGGGCGGAGAGGGTGGTTGGGAAGAGGGACATGGTCGGTTTTGTAGATTGGGAATTGAGTATTGAGTGGTTCTGTTTGACTCTATTTTGGGGGGGGGGAGTTCTTTGACCTTGGTTTTGGGCTAGTAGTGCCTGGGATTTGGGGGAGGGGGTTATATACTACTAACCCTGTATAACTACCAATCTTTCGTGTTTTCCTAACGGAACCACCGACAGGGGTACAGGCACCTGAACAGACCGGCCGTAAGTCACTAACAAGGCCGGAGACCGGAAGGGAGGACCGCGTCTCTTACTGGGTTGTTCGGTCGAGGGGGTAAAATCCGCGACTAATCTCCGTAGCCCTAACCGGTGGGGGGCGGGCTGTAGTGCCAATCAACGCGACTATGACATGCTGGGGAGTTTCTCATCGTCAATTGAAATGAGATGATTATGACGGAGTGGTAGACTAGCAACGGAATCTACTATGTATGTATCGTGTTTGAGAGGCGTAAGCCCTGCAGTGGCGCTGGGGAATTGCTTGTCTCTTCTTGGCTCTCCCCTTCCGTCCCGTGCCATGCCGATCCCGACCCAGTGGTCCTACAGCATGGCGCCCTCAGCTTCACTCATTCTCGGATCCTATCTACACGGTCTGAACGGGTGTGTAACGTTTTACATCGCTCCGTAAAGCCAGCGGGGGATCCCGACTGAAGGCAGCTAGTTCATCTAGGAAGATGGGCCTCGTGTACATCAAGGCCATCGCAGCAGATAACGCCCTTTGGCTGGGCCATTGAAAAAGTCAATCGGCGCAAAGCGACAGACTGGCGCTGTGAAAGAGGAGGGAGTCGCTGATCCCAGCCACTCTGCCGCAATTGCACTTCTTCGATTCATCTCATGTGGGCCTTCTACCCGGATTCGTATGCCACCACGGAGTGTCTCGCCCACTGCTGGTCACGGATGTATAGAACGGAGATATGGGTTGAGCTCGGGGACATCGAGAGCAAAATGATGAAGGCCTGAGATGGGGCTCTGGATGAAGCAGTGGTGACTCTTCGCGAGAGCGATCCCCCTCCGCTGTTGGCTCATGTCGTCTTTGTCCCGAATCATACCGTCGCTGGCTCGGAGGCTTTCCTCGGACACTCTCTTGCAGCATCTGTCCGTCGCGGAGTACATATGTCCTGTCATCGCCAATTCCCTCGACTGCACTTCGTCACTACTAGCTATTCCAGTTTGACCGGGAGACCCTCGAAAGCATTCCTCCTGTCGCGATGCACCGTGTCCTCCTCCGAGGCATCGAGACAATGCCTCAACTACGTAGCGTATGGGAAGAAGTACTGCACTGCATCTAGATTGATCTATCTCTCTACATTAGCTATAGAACACCAGACTCACCAAGTCTTAGTCTGGTCACTTGCTTAATGAAATGAATTACTCCATTTACTCCGTACTCAGTATGCAGTCCTCAACTGGCGGAATAAGACAAGCCGGGACCCACACGGCGGCGTCATCCGGCCCTCTCGGCGACCACATCTGGCAGCCGAGGTCCCTAGATAAGACTCGCGGCTCATCCAACCTCTAAAGCATCAATTTACACCACAACGAGACACACACACACACCCCGGCTCAAGACTTCCGGCTCACCCAAGCGGGAACAGAAAAAAGAATGTCACGAATGTCCCCCGCGCTCAAAGCGCTCATCAATTCACCCGCCGCGCGACCTAACACCCTACCAGCGCCCCGCAACATCCAGTCGGTGTACGCGAAGATCCAACAAGAAGCCCAAGCCAAGGGCATCTCGCAACCCTCATGGCTGGCCCTATCGGTGCGTCTTGCCCCCTCTTCCAGCCCCCTCCCCCGTACCCCAGACTAACACCCCGGAAAATAGACAGCAACAACAATGACGATGAACTCACCGGACTCCCTAACCCTCCTCTACGAACTCGCCACCACCTCCACCACCACCACCCCCACAGAAACCTCAACCTCAACCTCAACCTCGAATGAACCCCCTTCCCCCCTCGCAACCGCGGAACTCATGCGCGAAGTCGGCCTAAAATGCATCAGCTTCAACGGCATCCCGCGCACGATCAACTGCCTCAACGCCTTCCGCGCCCGCCTCCCGGAATCCATCACCGCCCAACTCTCCACGACCCCGGTCCGCGAACCCACCGCCGCCAACATCCCGGCCATCCGCGCCCGCGGCCGCGCCCTCTGGGACAGCATCTACCGGCCCTTCGAGCAGAAGCTCTACGAGAAGCTGGCCCGCGCGCACCCGGACCTGCCCGTGCACATCCTGAACATGAACTACGGGGCGTTGCTGGCCGATCCGCCGGGCAAAGGGAGGGTCGGGCGGGTGCTCACCTCGCTGGTGGCGGTGGCGTGTCTGCGGGCGCAGACGGGCGTCGGGCCGCAGGTGACCTCGCATGTGTTCGGGTTGCGGAAGGCGGTGGAGGATGGGAGCTGGGCGGGCGATGTTGAGACGCAGGCCGGGGCGGAGTGGTTGGCGAGTGAGGCGGGGAATGTGTGGGTTCTGGAGAGCGTGGATGCGATTGTGGGCGCGATTGGGGGTGGGGAGGGGAGTTTTGCTCCTGCGGGAGGTGCCGCAGAAAGAAGGGGGAAGTTGTGATTGCTCCCGGAGGTTGTTTGTACATGGGTTATGGGGGTTAATGTTATATACTTATACTTCATGGCGGTGTGGGTATGGAGTTGCAACTAACTAGATGGGATATATATCTGACTGGTTCGTTCGGTATCTCGGTCTTCTGCTTGCGTATACCGGGGTAGTACTAGCATGGCTATTGCCATAAAACACAACAGGAGAACAAAAAAATTGAAAGTTGGTACGATTGTCAGAACAGAAGGTGAACTTCTCAGGTCTTATCTGTAGCTCACCCAACCCATCTTTGCCTATGACGCAGCTCCCGAAGGCTCAGTCGGATAACCACTAGTGATTACCAAGACAAGTGGGTCATCCAACAAACCAGCCATCTGTCAATTGGCAATTTGGAAAGCCATTTACAATGACCAGCTCTCTCCAGTTCTGCTGCCCATGATATTAGGTCAATGCCTGCACAAGGCGTGTGTAACATTTCCGATGATTCCATACCTGCCCTTGTAAAGCCAGGCGAGGAAGCACAATACATCAACTGGGTCCCATAGCTCAGTTGGTTAGAGCGTAACGCTAATAACGTTAAAGTCGAGGGTTCGAGCCCCTCTGGGACCAGCTTCTTTTTTTCTTTTGAATTATATTTTTGCAGGTTGGATGGAGGGGATTGGGCACTTGTCGCCTGGTTTTGATGCTGCATGGTTGAAGACAGACTCCCGGCCAGCTCGTCGCGGAGGGGGACATCTATGTCATCGTCACCCTTCAAGTCCCTACCTGTTGCGTAGTGCACAGTATCTCACTACACATTTTCATCCAGCCCCCCTGCCCTCTGCACATTTCCATACCCACTCATCCAAGCCCCGAAAATCCCAAAAACAATGTAGTAAAAACAGTAGTCATTCTCATTCATAGTAGCCCAACGCTAAATCATCATCACAGGCAGGGGAAGGAACACGAGATCATCAACGTCATCAGCATCAACGTCATCATCACCAAGGCCGCCACTTTACAAAAACCAGCACACCCAACCACACGAAATGTCATTCCGGCTTCTGCCCATACACGACATGGACCTTGGTGTAGAGGTGGATGCTGGGGTCGCGCAGCTCGTTCTTGATCCCGGCCACGAACACCTCGATCTCGGGCTGCTGCCAGCCCAGGACGCGCGTGAACAGCGCGTAGCAGTAAGGGCCCATGGCCTCCAGCATGTTGACCTGGTGGAATTTGCCCAGGTCCTTCATCTTGGGATCCTTGGCCCAGGGGCCCTGGGGGAGCTTTTCGCAAGTTGGTTAGTGAAAATGTCCCACAGGGGGAGAAAAAAATCAAAGATTCCAGAGGGTTAAGGGGGGCTAACCTTGTAAATCTCCTCCCGCACGTTCACGAACCCCGCCTTCTCCATCTTCTCCTTCCACCCGAGCACGCTCTGCAAGTCCTTGCCATGCTTCCGCGCCGCGTCGTGCATAAACTTGATCCCCTCCAGCAGCGTCGTCGCCTTCTGGTGCGTCCCGTCGTCCGAGTACGTGTTGACCTCCATCGAGGCGATCTCGAAGTACCCGCGCGGCCGCAGGTTCTCGAACGCCTGCGCCATCAGCCGGTCGACGTCGCGGATGCAGCCCTCGAGCTCGCGGCCGTGGATGTAGTCGAACGGTCTGCTGTAGGACCAGGGCTGTTCGAAGTCGTCAACCTCGAAGCGGCAGTTGGGGGAGACCCTGGACTTGATGTTAACCCTGGGTGTTTGGATTTTGGTGGCTGGGGGGAGCTAAAGATAAAGCTCGGGGGCGAGTACTTACCATGATGGCTGAATAGGACTGAGGTCGTTGCCTGTATCCAGGAAAGAAAAAGCCCAAGTAGGTCAGTCATATCGTTTTACCCTAAGAAAAAAGCGCGCGATCATAGGAGACTAGGTGGGTAGCTGGATTTACCGATAACTTCTGATCCCGTGTTCGCACTGGCGGAAGATGCACCGTATTAGCCACTTCGGTTTCCCACATCGCCCTTCCTCCACTGCAGCTGCAACCTAATTTCAAGTCTGTGGTTCTCTCCGCAGAATAGTAGGAGTCCGACTTACTCCGCAAAGTCTAGTGCCCAGATCCCCGTGCCCGTGCCCAGATCCAGGACGCGAGCCGGGTTTTGGATAGGCGCCCGGTGCAATTCTCCCTTCAAGAGCATGCTATAGATGTGATGGCTCTGTATCCAGTGTCGTCTGATTAACATCCATCATTCGTTGTGCAGATCTCCGCCGCTTCCTTCGGTCTTCTCCGTTGGAGATGTGTGCGTATATGTGAGCGTGGTATACTAACCAAATCGAGGCGATCTTGCTCTCGTTCGTCATTGGGCTGCAATATTGATCAGTATGGGAGTTCCGAGGTCCGAGGTTGAACTGCGTCGAGAGCGTTCAGGGCCCTCGCAGCGAAAGGAGTGTATCATACTAAGAAATATTCACCCTCATGGTAGGAATGATATCTGCGACCGTTCTGGGAAGGAAAAGGAGCCCGGTTAGCGAAAGGACGAGGAGATGAGGCGACGAGGTAACCTAGAAGTACCTCATAGCTGGGAAACTTATTAGCTCGGGCTGGAAATAACAATTTTTGTCTTTATTCAAAATACATACTTATAGTTCATAACACTCGATTCGAGACTGGAAGTATAGCTAGCATCGTCCAGCCTGTGGAAAATGTTAGCATGGTTCTCGTCAAGGGTTGTAGTGGTAGTGATCCAGCGCGAACCAACGGAACGGCGGACGTCAATCTCGTGGGCTGGGAAACTTACGAGTCGGGATAAGTGGAGTCATTGTCATCGAAGTCCTGTCCCGCCAGCACCTGCGGGTTAGCTATCTAGTCGGGGCTTTTTGGGTGGGAGGGGGGGGGAAAGGTTAAAGTTTGGCAGTCACTGACATCCGGCTCAATGATACTGTCATTAATTTCATGTGGGGGGGCATTGTCGGCGCTCATGTTGAAGAAAAAAACAAAAAAAGGTGAGGTGCGGAATATGTGGCGATGGTGGTAGTGGTGGTAGTGGGTAAGGCGAGAATTAGAATAATTGGCGATCGGTTGATTGATGAATTGATGATTGAGCAATTGAGAGATTGAGCGATGGAGCGGTGGCCAGAAGTGAATTACCACCCCCGGCTGAGTTCTTGGTAACTTATCGAATGGCCCCGCTAGTGCAAAGTGAAAATAATCAAGTGTCAAGGCAAAAGCAGCGACGTTGAAGAGAGAGGATGGATGGATGTATGTAGTAAAATTCCAGAATAAAAAAGGGGCCCCGATGGAACTCTCCTAAATTAGTTAAGCATAAAATAGTACCTAATGGATGGTATGTGGTTAGTGAAAAAGAGGGATGGACAGAGATGGAAAAAAAAAGAAAAAGAAAAAAGAAAAACAAACAAGAATAAAAATCTCGATTTTCGGAGTAGTAGGAACTCCGATATTTAAGCCAGTTTCTGTTGAGAAGCAAGAGTAATGAAGATAGTAATCGGATAGGAGAAGGTCATAAGACACCAACAGAGAAGAAGATCCAAGAAGTAAGAAGCCATGCAATAATACGGAGTAGTAATAACAATAATATAAGAAATAATAAGGGGAGGGGGTTATTTCATGGAAATCTCAACAGTCCAACAGTCGAATCGGGCTCAGCTGGCCAGTGATGAGATGCGACAAGAGACTGAGACTGGGCCGAGGAGGAAAGGAAGTTAGGAAAAAAGCCAGACATGCATGCAGCCAAACCTTGAAAGACTGAAGAAAAGGATACTCAGGCAGGGCCTGTTCCCGTCTGTCTGTCTTGGGGGTTCTGAGAGCTTTCATGCAGAATAACCGTTTGAACCCCAGTCAGTCGCCCACCGCAATCCTTCGTCGTTGGCTGGGCCTCGGAGGAGGCTTCGTACAGCTAGCTCGAGTACGGAGTACAGTAGCGCCCGACAAGCGGTTCCATACAGAGCTCCCTCACTGCTTCACGATGCAGTGGGGAAGGTGGTGATGGTGGTGGTGGCGGTCGCTTACAGGATGCGATAAATGTTGGTCCGTGCCGCACAGCTGCTAGAAGATAGATCGTTGTCTTTAGGTTAAGTTGGACGGAATCTGTCTGGAGGCTTGGACATGCAAAAGTGCAGGGGTGTTGACCAGTTCAGTGACTGACTATACTTGGTGCTCCGAAAAGTCGTCTTGGAGGTCTAGGTTCGAGCGACGGGAGAGTTGATGACAGCAAAGAAATGCGGTTGGTCTTGGCCTATCGGCGATAGGCGGAAAGAGCTAACTTTCTACCTAGTAACGTTAGGTGAAAGTTGCTGACTACTCCAACCATTGAACCGTATAAGTTAAGTTAATTCAACTGCCTTGCAAACTTCAATCTTGTTAAATACCGCTCGAAGGTGGTCAAAAGTACTCATTATGAGAACAACATGGCCATCCTCCACATCACCATTCTTCAGCAAGAGAAACGATCGGAGATGGACACACCAATGCAAGCCGTATGCGAGCAAGCCCACGCAGCCAAGCCGAAGACCGAGGTTTTGAATGGGGCAAGTCCCCCGCTGATGATGCAGTGGAATCCAGAGGTGGACTCGAGACATGCCGACAGGAAAAGCCGTTCGTTACATGCAATTGGTTCGACAGCTCTAGGCGGTGTTACGTACTTTGCTTCTTCCCACAACTGCTTTTTCTTTTCACCTCCTGCTACCGCAGTCAGTTGAAATGCAAAGACTCGGGATCAATAAGGAAGTGGAAAGCAGCCCAGGCTTCAAAAGTCTAAAGTTCCCGCCATGTGTCACTCCTCTTGTCAGCATGCCGTGGAATCCAAAAGACCCATCCGTGTTGGTTCAGGACTCAGGAGTCCAATGTACGAATCGGTGTGGATTGTGGAGAACAAACGGGACCCTCCTTCCACCTTTTTCACCTCTCGAGTCTCGAGTCTCTCAAGAGTCAAGCCTGTAGTCTAAAGCATTTCATTCGAACGGCCCGAATGCATTCATGCACAGTCTCGGCTCTGCTTTTGTCAGCCTATGACCTCGCATAACACATCATCCAAGATGACTTTGCATGGATCAATCGGGTTCTGTTATCCGGCATTGCGCTCTGACAGTCACCATCGTCTAGCATGTCCAAAAAGGAAAGTTTCTTGGTCATGCTCATGGTGTGATGCCCTCTTCCTGTGCTCCAAAGTCAAAAAAACAGACATCCGGACGGCTCCTGCCGGGCACCGGTAGTAAGTCTTCTTCCCCCCTGGTCGAGTACACGTTGTAGTCTACTCCGTACTGTATGTGTGTATCCTCCCCGCTAACCGTTCCTCAAGTTGTCCTCTCAAGCCCGGCAACGGTTTTCCGTGAATTTCGACCACAACCAGCTATGCTATGCAAATTGCTAATCCCCGCATCGACATCTATCAAGTGCCATGTAACCTCCTACTTCCACCCGTTTGTATGGGCTCGCCACTGATATGCAGTAACCCACCCCTTCGATGGTAGCCCTGAGTTCACGAGGTCCAAGCGGGTACACCGAGCACTCGCAGGAGCCGGCATGGATCGATCAGAGCCATCTGGCAGGAAAAGCTGAGCAATGAGCAAGGCGGGACCTGCATGGGGCATCGCATCCATCGTCGCTTTTGAATCGTAAGGAGTTGGGCTTTCGAACCGAAAAGCCACTCACAGAAAGGACTGTACAGTAATTTTGAACAGCCGACTTCTGTACGGAGTACCGTGTATGGACTTACCATCGACCCTCGCCTCATCCATCCCATCACCGCACTTGCATCTATGTCTCAGGTGAATCGATCGATTTTCACCGCACAAACCCATGATCATTGCCGAAGCATGTCAAAACACGTTTGCCATCCATCACCAGACCTCACCCAGTCCAGCACAGAGACTAATAAAAAACCGACCATTTTCCAAGCTTGGAAGGGCCAGAAGAGCAGACAAAGGCATCGCCCTGGATTGAAAATTCCCATGCTGACTGCAGCCCGCCCACCTGGCGGTAGCACCTTCAGCGAAAGTGCCAGGTTCAACCATGTACATCGCAGCCAATCTCTGCGACTACGTAGTAAGTAGCTAGAAATCTGCTGCTGGCTTCTGACTATCCCACTGGAAGTGTATATACTCGGGTCCCCGCAGCTAGTACCAAACGGGCCATCGGTTAGACCTACCACAACGGGGCGGTCCAAATGGCCCCCGACTTGACTTCAGATAATGAACAGAACAGGCCTTTCCCCCCCTCCCAAAGTTCGAAGGGCCCAAGCGGTGCTCTCATATTGGGCGTAGCATGGGCAAGGATTCGACCCTTGAGTGGTTTTTATGGCTCGGATGGGTCGGCGGAGAGTCGGTGCCCTACCCGCACAGCGCAAGACTATCGAGGGATTGGAGAGGTTTCATTATAGAAAAGCTAAGGGACTTAGTATCGATACTCTGGACTCCTACTGTGTCAATGTACGGGTTTCAGAAGACACTAAGCAAAACTTGGAGGGGAGCAACTGGGTTCACGGCGATACACGGAGTCGAGGCTCAGGAAAGGGATGGGCCATGTGGTTGACAGAAGTGGAGATTGGGCGTAGAGCCAGCCCTTTTAGAAGTGTACGTTTCGTGATGGCATGATGCTCGGCTCTTTATGGCTATCAGAGTCTGGGGGGGGAGTGGAATACATGGTAGAGCAGTTTGTGCGCTGGGGGAGACGGGGGGGGGGGGGTCGCAGCTTAGATTACCCTTCCCTCGGCAGTTGCACAGCATGGCGATTAGAACACAATATACTTAAGCACTTAGATGACGATTCTTATAACTCCCTACATCTCTTCCTTACTAACATTCCATGATGCGACAGTGCTCATACACCTCATGTAAGCTTAGACAGTCAGGTATAGGCAAGATCAATTACAGTAGAGCGAATGCTCAACCCAGGAAAATGACTACGAAGTACGGAGTACTGTGACTTTGTAGCGAAGAGAACATGCAATGCCGGGAACAAACAGTGCAAACAGTCACACATCGGATCGTCACAACTTTCTCCCGCGCCGACGCGCTGGCAGCTCCGCCAAGCAGTCGAATGGTCGGGTTGTCATTGTGATCCTTACTTGTGACTTAGCAGAACCATTGTTTTTTTAGCGGTAATATACTTGTCTAAGTCCTGAGGTGAAAACTCTGAGAAGTAGGTGCTGATCGAACAAGTAGAAACGCTCCCAAACTCCCGCATAGCTTGGAGCCGCTTTGGTTTAGTTGTTTACCCGCCGAGCTTTTGTTGTACCCCCGAGGTCGCGTCCAGACCAGCGCAGCACGTATCGTTGGCGCAGCGCAGCGCATCCCATCCCATCACACGAAATCCTTTCCTCCTATATATACCGCGAAAATGCCGAAACGAAAGGCGGCAGCTGCAGCTTTGTCCAGCCTGGCTGGCTCCGACGACGAGAGCATGATCCAGGCCGACGGCCCACAAGAACGACGCGACGGCGCCCGCCCGACGAAAAAGGCCCGGGGGAGGCCACGGTCCAAATCGACGGACTTGAAGGCATCGCCACCACCGAGACGCGAGTCCACCCATGCACAACCGCAGCCGGAGGGCTCGAGCAAGAAGAGCGGAAGGAGGGGCAGGCCCAAGGGCAGCAGGAACTCGGTGCAAGCGGCACCGCAGGATGAGCCGGAGGAGCAGGAACCGCCCGCAGAGGCCGCGAGCGAAGCACAAGCTCCTGCGGTGGCGGAGTCTGCAGCGGTCTCCAACGACGAGCTGGCTGAGTCGCAACCGACCGCGGCCAAACCTTCCAAGCGCAGCAAGGCTTCGAAGTCGGGCAAGACGGGCGGGGCTGTTCCACGGGCGCGCAGCAAAACGACCGACAAGCCTGTCGTAGCGGACGGCGAATTCGAATACACCCCCTCGAGCAAGCGACGCCAACAACCGCCGCCGTCGGAAGAACGCGATGCGCCTCCGCAGAAGACGCGAGCCAAGAACAAAACCGGGACGAAGGACACGCGTGATGAGTCGGAGGTGGAGGATAATGTGCCGGAGGATGCAGCGGAGGAAATCGATGAGACGGTGCTGCAAGAGGCGCCACCAACTGGAACCCGCTCGCGCTCGGCCTCTCCGACTAAGCGCAGGCAGTCTCTGAGAGATGCGCGAGTATCTCCGTCCAAGCCGCGCACCAGTGATGAGCCTGAGTTGCGACGAAAGATTGGAGAGCTGACGAAGAAATGCGATACCCTCGAGAACCGCTACCGGACACTCAAGGAGATTGGCATAGTTGAAGCGAATGCGAATATGGAGAAGCTACGGAAGCAGTGCGAGTCCATGACCACCGGTGCGTGTACCATCCTATGCAGACAGAGGGTAGAACCGACTAACGCGATGCAGCCTCAAACAATCTGATTGCCGCTTTGAAAGCCGAGTTGGAAGCTCAAAAGGCTCTTGGTCAACAAAGCCGCAAGCTTCAGAAGCAACTGCAGGAACGGGACGTGGAGGTCGCTCAGTTGAAGACCCATGCTGAGGAGACTGAAACCCAACTCTCCTCTGCTCAGAATGAGGTCAAGGCGTTGCAGACGAAACTCTCTGCTGCCCGCAACACCGCCGCAAGTCTCGAGACCGCGGCTGCCAATTTGAAGGTTCCTGGTAGTGCGATCAAGGGCGGCGGCAACCGCGCCAATGCGGCAGCCAACGCCGAAGCTGCGCAGGCAGCCCAGTTTGCGCAGCTGAAGGAGGATCTCTACAGTGATCTCACTGGTTTGATTATCCGTGATATCAAGAAGCGTCAGTCGGATACTCTATACGACTGTATCCAGACCGGCAGCAACGGAAGTAAGTATACAGGCTCCACGGTGCATTGTGCTTGCGCTGACTCGGCTACAGCTCTTCACTTCAAACTGGTTGTCCCTCATGTATCATCAACCAATTACGAGTCCGCTGAATTCCAGTATATTCCTCTGTTGGACGATAAACGCGACCGTGACCTGATCGATATTCTTCCTGAATACTTGACGGTTGATATCACTTTTGTGCGCCAACAAGCATCCAAGTTCTATACTCGCGTGATTGATGCTTTGACGAAACGGCGGAGTACTGCTGCCAATTGATAGCCCTGGAGGCTAATGAGCGTCCGCAGTATTTATATGGTGGAATTTATGTGGGGCGGTATTAAGCGTGGCCCTCCCTCGAGGGAGACCTAGCCGAGTTGTCGGAGGGCCGCAGAGTCCGGCATTGGATTTGATCTTGATTTTCTTTTGATTAGTTTTTTTGATTTTTTCTTGGGCTTTCTATACCAACAGGCGTGTCAATTTATCATTTTCTTTCTTGTGTACTATCAATGTGATCCCCAACCGATGTGTTGCTTGATGGAGTTGAGTGGGACATGAGATCTCCAGCAGGTAGCTATTCCGCGAGTGCGTTCGGCATCATATGGGATGATTCGGCTGGGAGCCTTAGGCGAAGACGGCGAAGACGGGACTGCGGCAAGCGACGGGGCGGGAATGCGATTGCGGGCCTCCGTGGGTGCCCCTCGGGGTGGTCATTCAACTCACTGGGGCAGGGTCTTTTCTCTCTCTCTCTCTCTCTGCCTGGCTCGCTTTCGGCGTTCGCCAACTTCGACCTCGCCAAATTTCCCCTCCTATCAGAGTTGTCGCCAGAATTGTCGACTGGGTCAGGAACCGTCATAGCCCATCGCCTAGTCAATTAATTAAACTGGAAACCCAGCTGGCATTTCTCTTCTCTTCTCTTCGACTGACAGACTATTTCACCTGAGAACTCCCCTGACATCCTCTTGCTTCGACTTTTCCTTTTCTTTTTCCTTCCCGCTCCCCCCAATAACTTTCCCACCGCATTTGCTGTGCACCGTACCCCGCCATGGCTGCCCCGCAAGAACTTGTCCCCCAGACCGAAACCATCGCGGAGGTTTACGCAACCGACGACGCCTCAACCACTTCGGTCGCTCCGGAGCACCAGACTCGTTTCAATGCCTTGGTGTCCAAATTCACCAAGCTGTACTCTCAGCGCCCCGATTTTGTCGCTCGCAGTCCCGGTCGCGTCAACATTATTGGTGAGCACATTGACTACAACCTGTACGATGTCCTTCCGACTGCCGTCAGTGTCGATGTGATCATCGCCGTCAAGGTGGTCCCCGCTACTGGCTCAGAGACTGTGGTCAAGATCTCCAACGTGAACCCGGAGAAGTTCCCCGCGCGCGAGTTCACCGTGCCCCGCGACACGGACGTTGAGATCGACCCCAAAAAGCATGACTGGGTCAATTACTTCAAGGCCGGCCTGGTGGGCGCTCTGAAGTTCCTGCGCCAACGGAACGCCGACGGCTCATTCGCGCCGGCTAGCATGGAGGTTTTGCTCGATGGAAACGTGCCCCCTGGTGGTGGCATTTCCAGCAGTGCTGCCTTTGTGTGCGCCAGTGCTCTAGCCGTGATGAAGGCCAACAACCACGACGTATCCAAGCAGGACTTGCTCGATCTGGCCGTTGTTTCTGAGCGCGCAGTCGGTGTTTACTCTGGAGGGTAAGTGTTGTCCTTTTGGGTGTACCCGCTCCCATTCTGACGTTTTACAGCATGGACCAGGCGGCCTCCATCTTTTCCCGTCGCGGATACTTGCTTTACACTCAGTTCTACCCCAACTTCTCGGTCCAGCACGTGCCCATCCCCAAGGCGACCGAAGAAATCACCTTCCTCATGGCGCAGAGCTTCGTCACCTCCAACAAGGCGGAGACCGCTCCCCGCCACTACAACCTCCGTGTTGCTGAATGCACTCTCGCCTCGGTGGTGCTGGCTGCCCGCCACGGCCTGACCCTGCCCAAGGACAACAGCTCGCTCGGGTACAGTCTCCGCAATTTCCACAACGAGCTGATGCGCAAGGAAGGTCGCTTGGGCGATCCCTTGGAGTATCAGATTGACTCCGTGATCCAGAGCGTCCGGGAGATCTTGACTCAGGAGACCGGATACACGCGGGAGGAGATTGCCGGTCTGCTGGGAATCACGGTGCCGGAGCTGGAGTCCAAGTATCTGTCCTCATTCCCCGTCCAGGCCGAGCGCTTCCTCCTGCGGCAGCGCGCCCTGCACTGTTTCACCGAGGCTCGTCGGGTGCTGGACTTCAAGGCCTGTCTCGCCAAGGCCCACACCTTGGACGAGCGTCGCATCCAGTACCTGGGCCAGCTGCTGAACGAGTCCCAGGCCTCCTGCCGTGACCAGTATGAGTGCAGCGCTCCGGAGGTGGACGACATCTGCGCCATTGCGCGTCGTGCAGGCACCCTGGGTAGTCGGCTGACGGGTGCTGGCTGGGGCGGTTGCACGGTGCACATGCTGCCTCAGTCCAAGGTCGAGGCCGTCACCAAGGCTCTGAAGGAGGAGTACTACCTGAAGCATTTCCCGGAGATCAGCGAGGAGAAATTGGCGCAGGCGATGGTGATCAGCAAGCCGTCGAACGGATCGTTCTTGTATGTTCCCTCTCTCTGATGGTCATGGTTACATATGCTAATTTGTTCTAGGGTGACGGGCGCGGCTATTGCGGAGGTTGAGGTTTAGGGGGTTATGATTTGCAGCGTGCAGCGTGGTCCTATCTAGCGATGATGTAATATAGCTCATTCTGAGTATGAGTAATTGATGATTACAATTGGAATGACTCTTAATCCACTTGACCTCCATCAGCCTGTGCTATAGCAATTTGATGTCTTATTAGCAAGAATGGCTGGCCATTTCAGATAAGCTTGCCATGATGTCATCCCAGCTCTGCATAACTAGGTAGGTAACTATCAGCAACCCACAAAACAAACAACCCAAACACCAACCGACCAACCCCAATCCAAGCAAACAAACAATACAAACAAGCTACCCCAAGATTAGCGTATCAGCCAACCGATCATCCCTCCCCTTTACTGTGTACTCCGTAGTTCCTCTTCGCTCTTATCTTCATACCCCGAACCAAAAAAAAAAATAAACAAGAACAACAAAAATGTCATGAACCAACCACTATGCCCACCCCTTCTTCATCACCATCATTCTCCCTCTCCAAACTGGCCACCCCGGCCGTCGCCACCCTCATAAGCTTTCTGGCGTATAGCTCGCAGTACCTCCTGAACCACTTCGAGCCCGCCCCGCTGCGCCGCGCGGAATGCTGGCGGCTGAACCTGCTGGCGGGATGTATCTGGATCTGCTACTATCGGACCTGCACTGTAGACCCGGGTCGGGTGCCGAGGGATTGGAAGCCCGCGGCGGCTGCTGCTGCTGCCCCAGAGGATCGTAAGCAGCAGCAGCAGCCGCGCAAATCCCAGCCCAATGGAGCTGTCGGTAATGGCGGCCGATGGTGCCGCAAATGCGAAGCGTATAAGCCGCCGCGGGCGCATCATTGTCGGACGTGTCAGAGGTTGGAGCCCCCCGCCCCTTTCCTCCCATATGCCCCTGAAGAATATGGCAACCAGGTTGGATGATGGTGATGATGATGCTATTTTCTATGATTCCCTATGTATTGATGGCCGCTCGCTAACCGGAGTATTACATCTTGGGGCAAAATGAAGATGCATCCCCAAAATGGACCACCACTGCCCGTGGACCGCCAACTGTGTGTCGCACTTTACGCTGCCGCACTTCGTGCGATTCTTGTTCTACGCGGTGGTCGGGATGGGGTATCTGGAGGCCGTGCTGGTGGAGCGCGCGGGGCTGGTGTGGCGTGAGAGGGCGAGGCCTAGTGTTTGTTTCCCCCTCGTTTTCCAGCTACTAGCAGAGCTGTCAAAAAATCCTCAAAAGGCAAGGTCTTGGACTAACTCTGCAATCTTGGGTGTTGTGGGATGCAGTATCTAGGCCCCACCGCCCTCCAGCTCGCACACCTTTTCGTGCTGCTGGTCGTCAACAGCCTGACGGTGTTCATGCTGTTCATTCTGCTGGTGCGCACGGTGTGGGCTCTCGCCCTGAACACCACCACTATCGAGGAGTGGGAGATCGAACGCCATCAGACGCTGCTGCGGCGCGCGAGGCATTTCGGCGGGTATCTGCAGGGGCCCGGGGGCGTGCGGGTGCGGATCAAGCGCCAGGAGTTTCCGTATGATGTTGGGGTGTGGGGGAATTTGAGGCAGGGGATGGGGTCAGGAAATGTATGTTCTTTTCTTTTTTTGGAGTGTGGAGATTTGGGAGAGGATGCTTGAGGTGGTGGCTTGATGCTAATTATATTGTTGATGGTACAGATTCTAAACTGGTTCTGGCCATTCGCGAGAACCCTCGATCGGAGATCGGGGTTGGAGTTTGAGGTTAATGGGTTTGAAGGTTCGTACACCATCCGTCTCCTTTGTCTAGAGATGGCCAAAAGCACAGCGCTCGATTATAAACGATGGCTCTAACAAACCCCAGATCCAAACATCACCTGGCCCCCGCCCGACCCAGACCGCATCCCCTGGACTGCTCCCGCAGCAGCAGGTGCAGCGCCAGAGAACGGCCTTCTGGCCGCCTCGTCATCGGGAACGGGGACACCCCAGAAGATCCTCCGCCGCAAGCGCTTCCACCAACGTTTCGACCGCACCCATTCTGTCCGAAAACAGGAGACACCCAGCGACTCCGACGCCAGCAACAGCGACAACAGCGGCAGCAGCGAGCCCGAGGACGCAGTCTCAGACGACGGGGAGGAAGGCTGGCGCAATGCCGACGGGGACCGGCTCAGGGACTTTGGGGTCGAGGAGGAGGTCGAGTTCTACGATGAGGAGGATATCCCGTTGGCGGTTCTGATGGCGCAGAGGGGGTATTCTTGATGGGTTGGTTTGGATGTGTGTGAGGGGAAGGGGATGCACTTGACCAATGTGTTGTGCTGAGGATGGTAGTCGATATCATATAGCTTATGGGATGAGGCATACGATACAGTAGCAATAGAGCATGAGGTCTCCCGGGGAACCCGGGGGTCTGGTATTGTGCTGGTCGGCAGCGGCGAGTAGGAGAGTCTAGTCCGAGGAGTTTATAGACTTGGTGGCTCGATAAATCCGAGGTTTGATCAAGGTCAACCGACGGCCCGGAAAAGGAACCCTCCTCAGCAATAAGTCGGAGGATGTGTTCGGACGGTAGATCGCGATAAGTCGAGACTACAGCTCGGACATCGACGGCCGAGCAGACTGTGTACAGTTGTTTACTATACAAATCATCTTTGGCACGGTGTCTTGAGTACCGTATGTCTTGAAGCATCGAGACTATGAACACTATCACACTAATCACACTTTCAGTCCAGGACATCAACCATTATCTGTGTTCCAACTCGCTACTAAGTCATGTCTCACATACCACGTACGCAGCTGCAAGGACCAGGTGTTGCCTGTAGCGCATATCCTAGAGGGCTGTATGGCTATGTTCAGTATCTTCAGCCTCCATCGTCCCGAGGTTATACTTATACTCCAACGACCACAAACCCTCATCATATATCTCCACATGAAACAGACAACCATCGTCTCGAAATGCATCTTCTTTCTCCCAGCCAAAGCGGAATGAACCCCCTTCCCTCACCTAAACACAAAACATACCAGCCTGTCTCAAGGAACCTCCGCAATGCTACGCCTTGAACCCGCCTACGCAAGGGATACCCTTCCAGCCAAAACCCCTAACAACAAACCAACCCAATAGCACGAATGTACTGTACTTGGAGATGCACGAGCGCGCGTACCTACATCCAACACGCGCATCTTGACTCAAAACGCGCACGCATCCCGCATCCCCCCAGCGACAGGCAACCCCCCCCTCTCGTTCCCTCCCTTCCTCCCTTCTGGATCCGAAACCCTATCCTCACCTACAATTCCTCAAATACCATACCCAGCGCCACAGCATCCCTCTCCATCCCCAACCTTCCAACAACACCATCCTGACCCAACGCACGCAAAATCACGCCATCCATCAATCCATCTGCCTTCCGACAATTCCATCCTAACACACAACAACCCACCAAAATCCAAAATGCACCTCCAAACCCTCCTCCTCACCCTAGCCGCCACCCTCGCCGCCGCCGACCTGATCGAATACTGCCCCTTCGCGCAGGACAAGACGGGCATGCTGCAGCACCCCTACTGCTGCGACAGCTACACGCCCTCGGCGGTGACCAACCTGGCGGTGGAGGGGAACAACTGTATGCTTCCTATCGCTTTGCCGAATTGCTATGTGTCTTTGAGTCAGAGAAAGAGCTAGGCTAATCTGATGGCGATCGTACAGGCCAACAACTCACTGAGCCGGTGGCCAAGTGTCCTAATGGCTTGGGGGTGAAGTGTTGTTATACTATTGTAAGTTCATCCTTCTCAATCTGTCGGAGGAGAGAGAGGTGATATTACGGAAAAGAGATGATGCTAATTCGGGGGTTCGGGGGTTCATTTAGAACCAGAAGTTTATCTGTACGGCGGATGGAGTGTTGGAGGATGATTAGATGGGGATTTATGTGGTGGATGTATGGTGGGGTGGCTGTTGGTTTTGGGGGTTGTGATGAATAGAGTCGGGGTTGTATTGGGGGATCATCTGAAGGGGGGCGGTGGGTAATGTGGTATAAAAGTTTGGTGGAGGAGGCTGCTTTGATGGATTGATGGTTTGGTTCGAACGAGGTATGAGGAAGAGAACACTGTGAAGGCGGAAGGCTATTGTCTGTCAGGGTTGGAGACTCCCTTGACCGGCCGATTGAAATACAATTCGGTGAAATAGTTGACGTTCATATTGCTGGAGTTCAACAACCCTTCAAATTAAAAACTTTATTGAAGTTCTCCAACTTCTGAGCTTTTTGTATCTGAAAAAAGTCATCCAGGTAGTATGCTTCTTATATGTTTGGTCTTCAATTTTTTTGAGGTGGTTGGTAAGTTGTAATTTCGATAGGCAGGAGGGGAACAGCATCTGAGTGTTGCGGGATAGCTCCGAGGTCGTGTGTGGTAGGGAACAAACATCATGCCGTGCTGTAAGCATCACTTGGAATAACCCCAACAAATCACTTCTTCGCTACATCGTTTGCCATGTCTAATGATTATTCACGTAGGGCTAGTGTACCTGACAGTAACGTAAGAGTGACTGTGTTGGAGAATCATTGAGATGGGTGCACAGTACGTCATCGGGATGTCATCCCCGCCCAACCCTCGAAATCAACAATACTTATACCGCACACTATGGACACCTCCAATGCTCCACCAAACTATCCCTCAATAATCTACAACCTATAACCGATACCGATATCATCACTGCCCTACGATTCAAAATGCCCACCAAAAAAGTCCTCATCGTCCTCAGCGACGCCAACTCCTTCCCGCTGAAGAAGACCTCCGGCGCCGACGCCGGCCAGACGGTCGACCAGCCCTCGGGCTTCTTCCTGATGGAGCTGGCCAAGCCCCTCCAGAAGCTCCTCGACGCCGGCCACGAGGTCACCTTCGCCTCGCCGCGGGGCCAGGAGCCCGTCCCGGACCCCAACAGCGAGTCGCTGCTGGCCTTCGCGGGCAACTTCTACGAGCGCCGGCGCGAGACCGCGCTCATCGAGCGCATGAAGCGCGAGAACGGGTTCGGCCGGCCGCGCCCCCTCGCCAGCATCAGCGACGAGGAGCTGGCCTCCTTCGCCGGCGTGTTCATCCCCGGCGGCCACGCGCCGCTGGCCGACCTCGGCGATAACCCGGACCTCGGCCGCATCCTGCGCTACTTCCACCGCGAGAACAAGCCGACGGCCGTGATCTGCCACGGGCCGTATGCGTTGCTGAGCACCAAGTTTGCCGGCGATGGGGATTTCGTGTACAAGGGGTATCATATCACCTCGTGGAGTGATGTGGAGGAGAAGGCGATGGAGACGTTGCTCGGCGGGGAGGTCGAGAAGGTCGAGTCGCGGCTGAGGGAGGAAGGCGCCGTCATGGAGACGGGCTTGTCCGAGAAGGTCGGCTACACTACCCTCCATCGCGAGTTGGTGTCCGGCGGTAATCCCATGGCGGCGGATGAGTTGGGCGAGCGGTTCTTGAAGATGATCAGTGTTTGAGGGCTGGTTGGTGTTGACGGTTGTACATATTAATGATTATTGTAATGATGATGATGACACATGGATCTGCTGCGTGTGAAGATGATTTTAATATGAGAGCCGGTAAGACAGCCTAATGTAAGAAGCGTGTTTCAGGAGTCTAGTAAGGCTTGAATCTATCTTTGTTCTTGGATCGTTTCTCCTTCTGTCGCGTTCCCTTGGCCGAGCCGTCCGCTTGCGTTGTCGAATCCCCATCCTCCGGCTTCCAGACACGGACACATCCGTCCTCGCCGCAGGTCAAAACAGATTGAGACTAGACACGGCGTTAGCTGACGTAAGGGAGTTTCGTGGAGAGATCACCTACCTGTTCATCCACGTAAACTGATCGGATAACCTCTTCGCCGTGAGCGCCTGGAAGACGCCACGAATTGTTCTGATCGAATTGCCACGATGGGGAGGACACAAGTGGGACCAGGTCCAACCGTTGCTCGCTGTTCAAGTCAGTTCCATATCAATTGCACGGGTCGGAAAGGGTGGGTATGCATACAGCTTGTTGCCTGCGGCGATGTACTGGCCCTGACTGTTCTGGCACAGTTGCACAATGTATTCGCAGTTGAGCGGTTGTCGCAAGTCATTGAACTGTATGGGCTCAGCGCCCTCCGAGGTCTGGTCATCCGGATTGGTCGTGGGATGGATCGCGAAATCCTCATCATGACTGAGGGCATAGACGGTCTTCTCGTCCAGGAACCCGGCATGGTGCACGGAGCCGTGGTTGATGACCTGCACCAACGCCTCATCCTCATCGGTGATGGTAGTATCGTAAATGTTGACCAGCCCGTCCGTACTGCCGGAGAGTGCGATATGGCTGCGGGTGGGGTGATATTGGAGCTGTCATGCATTTTAGCAGGGGAAAACGAAGGGTTGAAATTGACATCCAGCGCGGCAGGCCACTAACCTCGGTCACATCGTCGTTGTGACTTTCCACATATTCCAACCGGGGTTGATTCGCTGATCGGATGTCCCTGTTGCTGTTAGTGTGCTGCGAACCTTGTCCAACGATGCCATCTGCAGATGTCGTCCCAAACACAAAGCCAGATGCTTGGCGCACTTACCAAAAGGCGACCACGGCTTGCTGTCCGTAATTCGACGCAACAAGCTCGGTTCCTGCAGCAATATCATGGGTTTGCGGAGAGCACGCAATGGAAAGTACGGGAGCCTGGATTGCTATCGCGACGACGACTAGGGTAAGCGAACACTTGCAATACATAACAGACAATACTTGGTTCCCCCGCATTACTCCTTGCACAGACTGAGCCAGGCAACTCGTGGCTTCTCACGTTTATCCAAGAAAATTTCTCCCACACCAGCTGACACCAAGCTAAAAGGGAAAAGAAAAACCATCACCGTAGATACATAAGAGAAAAAACAACTTACAGGGTTGCATTTCTACGGCGGGCTTCTTCCCGCTGCGCAAGTCCCAGACCTTGACCCTGCCATCTCGTCCCGCGGTGGCCAGAAGCTGCTGGCCCGCATCGTAGGTTCTTAGCGAGGTCACCACCTCGTGGGCACTCGGGGTGACTATGGATGAATGGCCGAGGCCATCCGCACTGAAAACCCGCAGCGAGTCGTCCGATGAGATTACGGCGAATGACCCGGGACCTGCTGCGGCAATGGAGTATATGTAGTGGCCCTCGGTCAGGGACAGTGACGATGACGCCGTCGCTTGGAGCGTGTGCATGGTTAGACAGACAATTTAAGCAGTCCTTCTTCTATACTTCGTTGGGTAGATCTTTTGCGATGGATCTGAAATCTTCCGGTCCGTCATGGAAGGCGGTATAACAGTGGTCCGTGTTTGCACTGTTTGTGTGGGTGTGCTTCTTGCAGCTGAACTGACTCCTTTCTTTGAAACAGCAGATAACTAATAGTTTCCAGGAAACGGGGCTGGATAGGATGTGCTTCCAATATATCTGAAGGCTCTGAGTAAGTTTGTATCCAGATGAATCTGTTCTGATAGCGCCCATTGCATCGTAGCAGTCAAGGTAGACATGTGACTGCATCATAGCAATCACATGTCACGTGATAACCGACACTGTGACTGTCAGGTTATTCTTATATTAGTGGATAGATTCTCTCTAATTAATTCAACAGTTTACAGCAGCAGCAGCCAACAGCTTCTATGCAGCTTGAGCTTGGTAGCAGGGATAAACAATCTCACGCCGAGCTGTGTGATCCGCTGGGGATGTTGAAGCGGGGAAGCCTGGCTGCCTGGTTAACCAGGCCAAAAGACTACCTAATTCCTACCGAACCCGACCTGTGAATGCCGCTTCACAATTGTTCACATTGACGCTAAGGTTGCTACATACTACAGACTGCAGTGCTGGTGACATGGTTATTCTTGTCACACCTTTGGCAGTTGATCTCTAAGCGCCCAGGCCCAATAGCGCCCGCATTTCTCCTCTTCTAGCCTCCGATCCGGGCGCTACCAACATCGCCCCTCCACGAATGACATCCCAGAACGCCATCTTTAACCCGGCCAACGTGATGCCTCTTGCAGGCCCGTGTCTTGGACCGAATGATAAACCAATCCCAAGCTCCCAGTCACTGTATCTCTCCGCCTCTCGGGTGCAACGCATGGCCTCCGGCTCGCCAGACTGGACAGTCTTCCACCTGAACAGTGACCCTGGATGGTCGTCGCTGCGGGCGTTATCACATCGTGCTCTGCGATTTGACTCGTCAGACTGGACCTGCAGTCCCCGCCATCCTCACCATGCAAGCGCCATCGCAGGAACTGCCCATGCCCTCAGTCTGGCACTCAAAAACTCCCGCCAACCCTCCTGATTCACGGTGGCTTGTGTTTCAATGATTCTCATTCCTGCTCCCGAACTGAACTGCTTCCTTCAGTCGCTGGGACTGAAACCTTCGGAAAAGCTGCTGGCAAGCTTTGACTGGAGCGTATAGATCTCTTGGTCTGCAGTTGTTTGCCGCTTCGCTCACTTCTCCTCCTTTCTGAGCTTGGCGCCCCCTCGCGGCTCGCACCCCCAACTGAGACAAAATGAATGCCTTCCAGATGTCGATATCGCGGTGTATCGTAGCGATCACGCTGCTCTCGCTCAGTCTGGTGAACGCCCACAGTATCATCACCTATCCCGGTTATCGTGGCAACAACCTGCACACCAACGGCACGGTGCAGCAGACGAACGGATTGGGTGTTGGATGGGAGAACGGCTCATACGTCTATCCCTATGGGATGCAATGGATCTACCCGTGTATGCTTGACAACCTGCTCTTTTTTTCTTTGCCAAGCATCCTCATCGCTAATACAACTGTTCAGGTGGTGGGATGCCTACGTCGACGAACCGTACCAAATGGCCCGTCAACGGAGGCGCGATCGCTCTTCAGCCCGGCTGGTTCCAGGGTCACTCGACGGCCTTCATGTATATCAACATGGGCCTGGGGACGGTCCCTGACAACATGAGTCTTCCGATGGTCCCCGTCTTCGAGATCACGGGCCCCAGCAACAACCCGTACCCGGGCACGATCTGTCTGCCGCAGGTGCCCTTGCCAGCCGATATCAGCCCCAAGGTGGGCGACAACGCCACCATCCAAATTGTCGAGGTGGCCAAACACGGCGCATCTCTGTACGATGTGAGTATCATCATCGCTGATGAATATTTCGATCCCCCGCTTATCGTGTCTGATCCTAGTGCGTGGATATCACCTTTGCCGAAGACGACGAGGTCGCCGAGGTGACCAAGGACAACTGCTTCAACTCGTCGGACATCGGATTCAAATATGTCTTCGCCTCGAGCTCATTAACGGCGACTAGCGTCGCCCCACTGCATGGCCCTAGCCAGGCGCCAATCGTCTCGGTGCTGCTGGCGATGGCCCTGGGAGCATGGATCTTATAACGAGTTGAACCTTGTTAGCATTTGTTCTTTTTAGTGTTCACCTATTTTGTCATACCCTCAGCCGCGACTGGCTTTTTGGTTTAGTTCTGAACGTTGGTTGCATGAATGCATAATCTGCCTGCGTTGACGACTATACGATCGACCTCGGGTACGTCTCGGGTACATCCCTGTCATTTGTACCACTTAATACCATTGATGATTGTCAGTAGACGATGTCGCTTCTCACTAGTGAGTCCGATGCTCGGACTATCGGCGTACACCATGGAAAGACGTAGCCAAGCTAAGTCAGCTCGAGACCGCGGCGATGTCGCGGAGATGCTTTCCGCGGTTGACCGGACTAAGACCGGAGGCTGTTCTCAAGCGTAACGCTTACGGAAACATGATTGTAGTGCCAGGAAAACAAGCAACACGCTGAATCTGTGTGCATGCATTCTCGTCGAATGGCAACATCTTCAAGGTAAGCCCTCCTTATCGCCTCAGACATGTTACAGTTAGTGTCCCGATAAGACGGATAATGACCCCGGTCTCCAATACCCCGAGAATCAACCGCCTTTGCAACCAGCGGGGGGCACGTGCCTGGCATTTTTTTTTCTCTCTGTCGAGCTCGCTTAACCGGGCCGGTTCAGCCACTTGAACTCCGGTGGGGCAGTTGAACCAACCGGCCCGTCCACCGGCGGACTTCTTATCGCATCGACTCTAATCAGCTTATCGCCTGCCGATCCATACAGTAGTAGATTTGGGGATTGGAGTTTGCCTCCCATGCATTAACGCATCAAGCACTTTTCGAGACGTCAATGTTGAATCAATGCACCAGGGGAGGAAGAGGGGGAGAGGTTCATCAAAGATTGAGAATGGGTTCATTGGACCTGATCCAATCCACGATTCTTGGATTTGCCACCAGGTTCATGACACAAGTTCCCCCAAGTTGAGCAATCTGCTCCTTAAAAGATGCGGGTTGACATCACGAGGCGATCACGAGGCGATCACGAGGGGGCAATTGTAGATGTACATCCACATACTCAGAACTCAATCTCAAGAAGAGTAGTCATGTGTCCAGCTGCCGCCCCCTAGACTGCTTATGAGTAATAAGAAATGGGTACAACCGGCATTGGGTTTGGAGCTGCAGCTGTTACAGCTGCTGCCACTTCATAGATCTCGGTCGATATAGTAATAATGTAAGAAGAAGAAGAAGTAATGCGGCGACCGGCAAGGAGGAACCGCCCGGTTTCCACCGGCTACTGGAGCGGATTTCCCCTTCCCCCCCTTCCCTTTATCAGTTCCCAGAGAACTATCTATACAGGACTGTAGGACGACAAAGAATTAAATTTCTTCTTTCTTCTCAAGTACAACTTCTGGTCTTCTCATCTCTAGACTATTTTACACACTACACACTAGAAACTGTCCCTCTTTCTCTTTCATACATCCTCATTCATCCTCTTACTAGACTACCTTATCGATAAACAACACAAACACAATGAAGGCCGCTCGCCGCCCGATGCGGGCGCTCGCCAGCGCCCCCGGCCGCCGCTATGTCAGCCGGACCAGCAACGCAAAGTCCGTCGCCGCCTCGCCCGTCTCTTCCACCACCACCCTGCAACACCAGGTTTCCGCGTCTCTCCAAAGCACCTCCTCCTCCACTCCGTTGGCCAAGCTGCCGCTGTCGACCGTCCTCCGCTCGCTCGTCATCCTCTCTGTCTCCTCCTCGTCGCTGCTCCTGAAACCATGCATCTTCGCCCTGTCGACGCTGGCCCACCCCAAGTCCGCCCTGCTGGACGTGGCTCGCAACCCGCTCCTTAACGCCGTTGTCAAGCACACCATCTACAAGCAGTTCAACGCCGGAGAGAACAAGGTCGAAGTGCAGCGCTCCATCCGCGACATCAAGTCGCTGGGCTACCGGGGCGTGCTGTTGGGCTACGCGCGCGAGGTCCTGGTCGGCGAGGGACAGGTCGACCCGTTCGATGAGCAGCTCGCCCGCGAGGAGATCCAGACCTGGCTGGACGGCACCCTGAAGACAGTAGATATGGCCCAGGAGGGTGATTTCGTGGCTCTCAAGTATGCTCCCCTTTCCGTCTTGCCCCAAATGCCGAAATCAACCTTGTGAACCTAAGCTAACCAATCTCCCCCCCCCAAAGATGGACCGGAATGGGCCACCAAGTCCTCCACTACCTGCAAAACAAGTCCGACCCCTCGGAGCAAATGGACAAAGCCATCAAGCAAGTCTGCGACCTGGCGATTGCGCGCAACGCGCGCCTGCTCGTCGACGCCGAGGAGCAGGCCGTGCAGCACGGGATCGAGAACTGGGCGCTCCGGTACCAGAAGTACTGCAACGCGCGCACCCCGGGCAAGGCCATCTTCTTCAACACCTACCAGGCCTACCTGAAGTCGACGCCCGCCACGATCGCCCGCCACCTGGAGTTTGCCCGCGAGAACGGCTTCACCGCCGGCGTCAAGCTGGTGCGCGGCGCGTACCTGAAGACGGAGCCGCGGCAGCTGATCTGGGACGTCAAGGAGGACACGGACGCGTGCTACGACGGGGTTGTCGAGGCGCTGCTGACCCGCCGCTACAACGCGATGCTCCGCCCGGCCTCCGACAAGCACACCGAGCAGCTGCCCCCGCTGAACGTGATCATCGCCACCCACAACCGCGACTCCGTCCGCAAGGCCCACGCCATCCGCATGAAGCAGGCCGCCACCGGCGAGTCCCAGGGCGTGGATCTGAGCTACGCCCAGCTGCAGGGTATGGCCGATGAGGTCAGCTGCGAGCTCCTCCAGGGCTTCCCTGGTGGGGAGGGCGCCGCTGCCATCGAGTCCCCCAACGTCTACAAGCTGTTGACCTGGGGTACCGTCAAGGAGTGCATGGGATTCCTGATGCGGCGCGCGGTCGAGAACACCGAGGCCGTCGGCCGCACCAAGCAGTCCCAGGAGGCGATGATGGGGGAGTTGAGACGTCGGGCGCGTCGGGCTTTCGGTCTGCGCAACTGATGCTTTACGATTTTGACTGTGCTCGCTTTTTCTGCGGATTATATCCTTTTCTTTCTTGCGTGTTGAGAATATTGGCGTCCTTTTCTGCTGTCTGGTTTCGGTCTGAGTCCCTGAGCGTCTCATTGCATTTTAGATGGCGTTAGCATTAAACTTCCTTATCCTTTGTTGGTGACGAATGAGATCAAGATTCGATACTACTCCTTTGGTCTTCTCGGCTGTCTTCGTAGTCCTATCGTTTGTTCTTTGGCTGCGAACATTGTTGGGGTTGAATAGACTAGAATTACCCACTTATCAGTGTTTGAGCTTCGGCCGATCCAGTCAACTGACACAAACATCGACACTACACGTACTCAAAGACCCTGCAGCGTGAAACCGCCAACCTTTCCCCTACCAACAAATTGACAGAGAAATGCCACAGCCAGCTTCATACCCAACGGACTAGATTCAGGATCCGACGACGCATCCCAGAGAGCGGGGGATCTCCCACTCAGGTCAGTCAGTGGACGATTCGCCTAGCCCTTCTTAATATCTTAGGGTCTTGCTTCTTCCCCAACCTGCTCGCCACAATAACACAACACGCTCCCGCCACGCCGGACATAGACTCTTTCCGTGTCAAAGATCTAGGACCATTTCCTCCAAAGCCACTCGACCAGGAAGCATCCATCATTCGCAAGAGACATCCTTGGATATCTTCCGTTGGTTCGTGGTCAACGGCGAAGGGTTTCCAGTTTCCCTCCGGAAAGGATGGATGGACTAGAAGACGAGGTGGATAGCGACGAGGAACCTCAGAACGCGATGATGATACGCGGCGGCTTCCAGTACCACTACCACCATCGACGGGAAGCATGAATGTGAAGGGTTGGACCAATGGCTCGACCCAGTCTACTGAGCTTTAGTCGTGTGCCAGACCACCGATCCTCGTAACCCATCCTTCCCTCTTCCCGCATGGCGATTTCCAGAACCGGACCGGACAATATCCCCAATCCAAGGGTTGTTGGTTAAACGGCACCCAAAACACGAATAGCGCGAGCACGGACTGCTCACTGCCGGACGGGGTTTCAGCAGCAAACCGCCTGACTCTGGTCCCGCCGCAGGGTGATCGGGCCCGGCTCGTGCAGGATTCTGTAGAACCAGAACCAGGCCCAGACCTATTGCAAAACGGGGATGCTACCTACCTCCGACCGACGCGGGCTTGCTCGTTGAGCCTTGTGTAGACAGGAGGACCAGGCCCCATGCGGCTGGCCATACCTAGATATGAATCCACGATACATCTCTCTCAGCCTTATTGGGGCATCAGCGGTTCCGCATCCGGACGTAGACGTCAGTTTCGCCGCTTTGAGTACACCTAAAGTAGGCATTGATATGGCCAGGGCAAATCTAGGATGGTTTGATGGATCTTCGTCGGTAGTGCGTCGCTCGCTAAGTTGTATGAAGACAGGGACGGGGATAGGAACTAAGGCCGCTGTGATGAACAAGAACCCCTGGGTTGGATTGCTCTTACATCTACATTAATGGTTGGGCTGGAAGGACCCGGGTTAAGTCTCGGACAAACTCCCTTGATTCAAAAGCGCTAAGGGGAGATGGGTTTCAGCTATACGGTCTCAAGGTATCAATTAAGATGGCTTTGGGTATTGTTGTTCTGTGTATGTATACTGAAGATGACGGTTAACCGCTGAGGTTTGAGGTGGACCTAAAAGCAAACGACAAAAAAGAATCAAAATAGAAAATATGGAAAATGAAATAGAATAAAATGAAGGAAAGTTCGCTCTATCTTGTCCATCTAGCATTCATTCTACGATAAGGCCGTGCACTTCGTTTGCTTGCTTCCTTTTATCCTTTGCATCTCGGGCTAGAATTACTTGGTTGGTCTTGGTCGATGCATGCATGGATCTTGGAACTATTTTTCTCGGGTAGGGTTCTTCTATTTTGGATTCTTTACTTTAATTCTTTCTTTGGACGTGCTTCGATGACTGTCGCAACTGTAGTTGATTGTCGGATTCTTGCATATATTAGGTTTAGTATATAAATTCAACGCGCAGAGGCCGCGCAGTCCGAGTCGACTATTCTAGTCCTTGACACAAGATTCAGACCAGAAGCCGACGGTCCACCACCCCACCCCTCAAAGCTGCACCTTCAGCGACGACCGCAGGCTGAACCCATCCCCATGCGTCTTCTTGCCCGACTGCCCCTCCCCCCCCCCAGCACCGTGACCTTCTCGACGCGCAACTCGGACCCGGCATTCGCCACCGCGACCCGCAGCTCGCGGCCCTTCCGGCTGTAATGGAAGGTCACCTCCGTCGCGGCGGCCTGCTCGACCGAGTCCCCGTCATCGAGATACAGACTGCCGGACGCGGTGCCATCCAAGCCAGGGGCGATGAGCAACTCGAAGCCCTTGGTCCGGACCTCGGTCGTGGTCATGGCGCTAGCCGAGCGCACGGGCACGATACTGCCCCCGCGGACGTGGACAGGGATATGCGTGTAGTCGACGTCCGTCAGGGTGAGATTGGCCCCGCGGCCGCGCACCGCGCGGCCCGTGTACCAGTCGTAGAAGACATCGTCGGGGAAGTACGCGTCGACGGAGGTCGCGTTTTCCTGGGTGACGGGGCTGACGAGGAGGGCGTCCCCAAAGAAGAACTGGCGGTCGTTGGTGAAGGTGCGCTCGTCCGCCGGGTACAGGTAGAACAGCGGCTGCAGGAACGGTTCGCCCGTCTGCGACTGCCGGTGGAGCCCCGTGTAGATGTAGTCGAGCAGCCGGTAGCGGATGTCGATCGCCTTGCGCGCCGCCTCCGCCACCGTCGGCCACACGTAGAACTCCTGCGAGATGTCCCCCAGCTCGTTGTGGTTGCGGTAGAACGTGTAAAACGCCCCCAGCGCCGCCCACCGCGCGCACAGCTGCTCCGTCGTGTTGCCCCCGAACCCGCACACGTCCGCGCCGACCATCGGGATCTGGAACATCGAGGCGAAGGCCAGGATCTGCGCGATCGAGATCCGGTAGTGCGCCCAGTCGCTGATGTTGTCGCCTAGCCTGCGGTGGGTTAGGATGGGGAGGTTTATGAGAGTGAGTAGGGGGGGGGGGATGGCGTACCAATGTCCAACGTGCGATCCCGCTCCTGCGTAGGTACTCCGGGTGATGATGAAGGGTCGGACGTTGGGACGGCGCGTGGCCATCGCATCGCGCGACGCCGTGCTCATCACTGTGATCATGTGGTTAGTGTGATTCAGAGTTTGAAGGACTGTAGTTGGACTCACTCGTTCCGTAAAGGTTGTGCGTGTCGTACTCGACGTAGCCCTCCCCGGCGTGGACGATGTCGGTTTGGATGGTGTTCATGCTGATGACCCCAGCTGCATTCTGGATCTTGTAGAGCGGGTCGGTAAGGTTGCGGTTGGCTAGCCCGATTTTCGCGCCTTTGGTTCCTTGGCCGTTGGCGGAAGATCGCTTCGACGCGGAAGGCTGGAAGTCCTGCGGGAACCCAGGTAGTGGGCGAGGGCTACTGGCCCGTACAGCCGGTGCGGCAGGGGGCAGGTCGTCGGAGATGGCGAACGCCGCCGGATCCGCGCACGGGTAAGGGCAGAAATTCGACGCTTCGTTCATGTCGATCCACAGACCGTCGATGTCAACTCCCGCGGTAGCATTGAAGAACTCGGCGAACTGCGCGTTCCAGAAATCTTGGGTATCGGAGTGGAACCAATCCGGGTAGACGGTCACGCCGGGCCAGACGGCACCTGATTGTTGCAGGTCAGCTTTGGATATTTCACTGGTTGCGAAGGATGGCAATACCCTCGTATAGACTTCCGTTCTGGTGGTGGAGGAAGACGCCTTCGCTTACACCAGTGGTATATGCCGAGTTGTCTTTGAACGGACTGTCAGCACTTGCAATCGAGAATGCTGCTCTGAAAGTACTCACTGCTGACGCTCACTGCGGGGTCAACCATCACAATGTACTTTTGGTCGTGACGGTGCAGATAAGTGACCAGCTCGCGCATTTTGTTCAAGGGAAATCTCTCCGGGTCGAGAGTGAACACTCTTCTTCTATCCATGTAGTCGATGTCGGTCCACATGGTTTCCAAGGGGATTCCTGCCTTGCTGTAGTTGTACACCACCTCTGCTACATTGTAAACATCCTGGTATCCGTATCTGCATTGGTGGAACTTGAAAAGGATTAGCCATTATTGTGAACCACAATTCTAGGGGCGGGGAAAACGTACGCCCAAAGTCCAATAACTCTGCATTGCCGGAAGACCCACGACCTTGGCATACTCGATACTCGCCTCTTTAGGAGTAGGCGCAGTGAAGAAGTAGAAGTCAAACACGCCGCCCAAAGTGTTGTATTCAAGGTACTGCTGGCCGTCGTCGGTCTTGTTGATCTTGATGTCCATCCCGTTGGAGTTCAGCAGCAGAACGCCGTGGGTGCCAGATTCGCCACGGTGGTCGTAGTAGACCGGATGACTGCCGTAGAGGTTGGTCCCGTTGGGCGCGCTGTAAGCGTCACGGTTCCAGAGCGTGCGGGTGTAGTTGTCTGTGGGCAAGCGCATAGGATCTGAGTGCTCGCCAAGACCGTACAGGTAGGGCTCGTCGGGAAGCCAGGTGCGCAGGTTCAGATACTGGGATTGGAAAACGAGGTTCGATGCTGAGGAGTCGAAGAGTACCTCGTCGTCTCTTGAAACGACAAATGAGAATGGCTCTTCAACGAGGTCGAAATCGAGCGCCGATGTGTCGCTGGACCCGCTATCCCCGTCCACGCGGGGAAGGACAGATTCGGGAACCTGGTATACCTGTTCATCGGCATCGTAGATGATTACATGGAGACGTTCATCTAATGAAAACTGTGAGCGAGTTTCGCAACACAAACCCCGGTTTTGAAGCATTTCATACCGGTTTGATATTCCACGAGAAGCTTGAGGTCACGCAGATCCGTGCCATAGCTGTTGCAGGGCGAGCCAGCTAAAGTCAGGTCTGCCGTTAGAGAGTTCGCCTCCTTCTTGACATTGGATGCCTTGTAGCCAGGACAGTCATGGTGAGATGCCTCCGATCTGATAGCTGCAGCGCCCACAAGGGGAACGAGAACAAACAAGGACCCTAGCATCCTCAGTCAAGAGCGTGCCTTAGAGAAAGTATGGTGAGATCGACGCCCGATTGTGCGGGTATATATAGGCATGCATTCGGTCAGAGTTTGCTGACAACGGATGCAGGGCATGTTGATCCAAGGCCATCAGAATGCAGGCTGCAGTACAACATTGACCCCACCAGCCCTCACTACGTTCGAAAATGTTCTGATGCCAAGACCGTCCCAGTCAGGTATTTTGCTGACGAAGGTCGCGACTCAAAGTCCAGAAGTTGCTGCCAAGAGGCAGGTTAGACTAGAGTAGGAAGGCCGAGGTTGGGGTAGAGCGGAGTCTGAACCCTTAACGAGGTAATTGGCACCCTTTCCCAAGACTATTTCGGTCAATTATCGGGGATCATCGCCACTAGTGATTTGGGAAGTTGGGACTCATGCGGGGGGGGAAAGCAAGTCGGCTGGGCTTCTTGCGGTGGAGGCTTGCATCCGTCAAGGCCGGCCACCTCACAGCGTGGTATGGATGGTTGCATAGGTATGTATCATTTGTGACGTCGCTTGTTCTTTTTCTGGTGGCACTCAAGCGACAGGTGCGGTGCAGGCAATAATTGGGAGGTCGGGACCCTTAAGCTGAGGTGAGGGGAAAGTTTGGCTGCTGCAGCTGCAGCCGACGTGGAGCCAGCACGGGCCGTAAGACGAACACCATTGCATCACAACAGATAAGAGAAGTTAGTGGTTGGAATCGTCGTTCGAATTCAACTGTGTGTCCTGCGAACGAAGGGCGATATTGTATAGATACTGAGCATCGCCATGGATTGAGATTAAAACTGGGTGGCCCAGAGACATGGATAGTTGAGGAAGCAGTGCCAAAACTGAACCCGGGATCGGATCGGACTTGGAGATGCAAGCCTGGAGTGGAGTAAACCGAGCCTTACCCAAAGAGGAAAATACTTCAACCACAACAGCCAACTCAACGATGGCTTGTGTACCATGGCGTCTCCCATACTCCGCCCTTAGTGGTCAGTCAGCCTGCACAAAAGAAGTTCTAGAGCACTCAGAAGTGTTTCTAAACGTGCACTCATCAAACCTACCAGGACCACCTGGTGGGAAGTACTCGTCCATCGCCGCTGATATATCACTAACGCGCCTGACCGACCCTTAACCCGTCAAATCGCTACATCAGAGCGATTCCTCGAAGACCCTAAAACTGTTGTCTACGTTTTGAGCAGTCTAGTGACCCAATCTAGCTGATGGACAACCCCTTTTCGCACCTGCAAACACATCGGAAAAGCAGTAGCGTTCATCTCTGATTTACTGAGGCTACGGGGCTCATCACCCCCGGAAATCATTACAAGACTTTCTGAGCGCCCGTGTCGATAATCCCCCATATCAGCTTAGTCCTTCGGGTCCGAACCGTGGCTTCAGGACGCCAATGTCTACGGAGATTTAGCGGGACTATCTGTGGAGGACGTGGAAAAAAACCGGCCAACGGACGTTGGGGGTTTGGCATTGCACATAGTGCTGGGTGGTCGGGCGGAGCGGGTGAAGTGCGGGGACTGTTAAATCGGGTGGTCGGGGGCTTGGGGAAGTCCTCGGGACGTGGAGTAGGCACTATAGACGACGTCGTTTGTGCTTTGTGTGCAAGGACTCCTAAAGAAATACATAGTTTCCTGTGTGTAGGAGAGGCTTGACAGGGCAAATCAAAGCGCTGTAGTAGCTGTGCAGGTAGGCTTAAACCCCCTAGCTTAGGGGGTGGGATATGTCGAAGAGGTAGTAGCAACAGTCTCATGCAGACTTGCTACCAACGAAGACATGAATATTTGTCTTGGTTACCACAGAGATATCCCCCGGGCAATCTACCCATCTCACTAGATCGAACCAGGAATTGTTTGGTTGGGTTGTTTTGCTTGCTAACATGTGCACTGCAAGTCGTCGGTTTGTCCTTATCGCAAAGGCGGGAACCCGAGCCGGTCGGCCCTCGGGACTGATTAATTCCGGCGGAATTGATTTTACCCACCCTATCCGGTCGGATAACCCGGGCGCGCAGCGCTTCAGATTGCGATTGCACATAACCTTGTGATCAGAATATCACGAAATGTGTGTAAACAGGTCGCTTATCGACACTGACGGTCCTCGGAGTTAATGGTAAAGAATAGCCAGGGTTCTAATGGATCAAGAACAGCTTTTGCCTCATATCAATCTCAACCACCGGAGCACTGGCATCTCTCCGGCGCACGGCAACTGCTGTGTTCAGCGATTGTGGGGAGCTGAATTAGTCATCGTGGGGATGTGGCCTCGAAGCTACGTACGCATCGGCATGCATCCAGTGGACGGAAATGCCGGTAATGCTTTGCCCATCATGAAGCATGGAGCTGCGAGAAGGCATTACGCATGATGTACAGCGGGCGGATGTACGTACGGAGTATGCTAACCGACTAAGCTTCGGTCTTGCGCGTGACCTATCTAAACTATTCTGAGCTATTTGGGGATGTTGAAACCAAAGGAAACCCTACGCTACGAATCGATTCATGAAGGCACACGCTTGACAAAATCTATTATCTATACTATCGTAAACTTGCTATGGTATTTCAGGCTTGATTCTCGATCTTGGTGATCAACGTGCCGACGTGAGGCTGCAGCTCAACTGCAAACTCATCGCCGTGCTTCAAGAACTCCTTGGGGTTCTTGGCAGCGCCCACGCCGGGGGGAGTACCGGTCAGGATGATGGTTCCAGCGGGGATGGTGGTGCCCTGCGACAGGAAGCTGACGAGCTGAGGAACGCTGAAGATCAGGTCACTATACACAAATCGTTAGCTTCTATATTGCGTGCCGACTTGCCAGGACAATCAGCCAAACATACGTGAGAGGGCAGTCCTGCAGGACCTTGCCGTTCTTGGATCCCTTGATGTGAAGCTTGCTGGCGTCGGGGACTTGGGCGGCGGAGACGAGGACGGGACCTATTTTCAATCCGAGTCAGAGATACGCTGCTATAATGGGGCCGAAGGTGTGCTTTTGGTGCAGGGAGGTCATGCATACCGATAGGGCACGAGGTATCGAATCCCTTGGAGAAGCACCACTGGCTCTGGTTCATCTGGGAGGTCCGGCTGGAGATGTCGTTGGCAGCCGTGTATCCGAGCACGTAGTCCAGCGCTTCCTCCTCGCTCACATCCTTCGCGTCACGGCCGATGACGATGACCATCTCCGACTCGTAATCACCGGTGTTGTCCTTCTGTGTGATCTTGGGAAGGACGGTAGGAGCGGGCCACGGGTCCGAGAGTGCCGTCGGGGGCTTCATGAACAGCGTGGGGACGGTGGGAATGTCCAGCTTCATCTCAGCGGCGTGGGAGACGTAGTTCAGGCCAATGCATCGGATGGTGCCGACTTCGCTCTGTGCCAATGGGGAAAGAATGCGCTCGATGGTCTCGGTCGCGTCGGTCTTCTGGCCGGGGTTCAGGACCGAGGTGCCGGAGAAAGGTCGCACAGCGACTTCCTGGCCCTTGTAGACAGCCAAACCCACATCAATGGAGGCATCGACGGGCTCGCCAATAAGGACCTTGGATGGATTTGACTTGGGAACGAAGCGCACAAGACCTGGTGAGGGGGTTAGCAGCTGAAGGATTTTCTTGTTCGGACCGTTCACATACGCGAGAAGGTGGATGCGATTTTAGACATGGTGAATGAAGGATGAGTGTAAGGTATGTGAGTGTATGATGCGAACGTGGGAGATGTTTAGAACAGTGGATTCCACGCTTTTAAGAGGAACGCGGCATATAACTACCCCGACATCGCAGCTGCCACCCCTCTTTTCTGGTGCGGGGAGGGGTAAAAATAAGAGGTGGGGCAAATGGCGAATCGAGGCCGGGTGGGTGGTTCGGAGGTGGTTGAACCGTTTGGTGACTTGGACTCTCTTCTCTCTCGGACGAAACCCGGCGATGACTGACTGCTACTCCGTACACTTTACACTAAACAGCCCACTTCAACACTTCCCCACGCCGCGGTTGTGGGGATGTCGCCAGCGGGGATCTCGGTCGGAGAAAGCGGCGAACTCGCAATGCACTCTGCGCTGATTTAAAAGGCTACCAGGTACGCCGTCGCAACTTTTGTAAGAATCCAAATCAAAGCACATTCTAAAATCAGTCATCATGTCTCCCAAGGGCCCCTTCCGTCTCGTCACCGTCAACACTGCTCCCGAGAGAGCCAAGCGCCTGATCGGCCGCCTTATCGAGGCTCTCAAGGACCGCTACACTATCATTCACGTTGACAACTGCGAGAGTGAGTGAACTGATTGTCTGAATGTCTTTGTCATGTACTTGACTGACCACAAGCTCGAATAGAGATCGAGGAGGTCGAACCCAAGGTCAAGGAGCACATGCCTGACGTTCTGGTAAGTTGAATTCCTCCACCGCGAGCACCTGTTCGCTGGCGGGTGACTTTCTACCTCTGGTATGTGTCCTGACTTTGATCTACAGTTCAGCGCTTCCATGTGGACTGCCGAGCAGGCTCAGGAGATCCACTCCATTGCTCGTTCGATCAACCCCACCATCAAGCTCCACGCCATCCCCGAAGGCCTCCAGGTCGAGCGCGGCCCCGATGCCATCGTCGAATACCTTGTCGAGAAGGTCCCTCCGTTGTTGGATGCTTAATTGGACACGCTTCTTGAGGTGTGAGGGTGCCAGGGGCAACTCACAGATTATGTGGTGGAATTGATGATACTCTACGTCCTGTATATAGTTTACTTCCCAACAATGTCTGCGAAATCGCGACAATACAATCCATGCATCATGATTGTACTTGACTGCTGAGGCTTGTGGCTAGCGGCTGTACAGCGGTACTTGTCACTTTATAGATGTCCCCGTGTAAAAGGATTGCTCATCTCACCAATTGGGCACGCTATGCATATGAACCGCAATAGGTATTTTGAGAATACTAACAAAACACTGCAGGATGATTACCATGCAGGTGAGTATGGACAGTATCGTGCTCTGTCTCGTGCCCTGGTACATGTCCTGCAAGTTTTTCTTGTCTAATAAGAGCCAGCAGCCTCCAGACTTGCCAGCTCTCCCACTCAACCGAATCGTGATTCCAGCCCTTCGAAACCGAGACCGGGGGTGGTGATATGTGCAGTGACCGCCGCGGTATCCCAAAACGGTCATGCAGGCCGCAGACCGCCAGACCGCCTTCCTCGTACAGCCGGCAGAAATTGAATGTTTCCCCGCTCCTGCAGAAATGCTTTTTCGAACGAAACCCATCATAACCTAGACGCAAAAGAACTATTTACTTATTTCCGAGTCGTCGTGCACTTCATCTACACCTGGGATACTATATATAAAGATGCCAAGAGATCCATTGATCGGCTTGGTGGGAAAGGTCTTTTTTATCTTCTCCATGCCACCCACCGTCTGATCCACTGCTGATTCCAATGAGGGGAACCTGTAGCCGTCGAGCGGAAAGTCAACCACCCTCAACAGTTTGACCGATGCTTCCTCCAAAGTTGGTATGTTCTGCTGCTACTACAGCTAGTCTCTTCGGCGCTCATCGTATACTTACCATCATAACCACTGCCTAGGAAACTTCCCGTGCGTTTTGACACCCACCCACCCACCCAGCGATTTGTCAATCGTCCACCGAACAGCGCTGATTCCTGCCGCAGATTCACCACCATCGATCCCCAGCGCGCTATCGGCTATCTTCAAATCGAATGCGCCTGCCAAAGACTGAACGTTTCCGACAAATGCCGACCGAACTATGGGGGTTGCGTGGAGGGCCGCCGCTCGGTGCCGATCGAGCTCTTGGATGTAGCTGGTCTGGTTCCGGGCGCGCACCAGGGCCGCGGCTTGGGGAACAAATTCTTGGACGACCTGCGCCATGCCGATGCGCTGATTCACGTGGTGGATGTGAGCGGGACGACGGATGCAGAAGGTACAACCACATATCTGGGGGCTTAAGCTGATTGGGCCTCGAGGGGTGACTTGGTGGACTGAAAAGGGCTGACCGGATGTCTGCAGGCAAGGCCACACGAGGCTACGACCCCTCACAAGATATCGAGTGGCTTCACTCTGAAATTGTGCGATGGGTTCTTGGCAACTTGATGCAGAAATGGTACGGTCGCGTTTTGGAATCACAGACTAGATCGAGAAGCTGATTTTGTGACCCCAGGGGATCGATCAAGAGGAGACATGTGGCTACAAGTGAGTTGACGGCGTGGCGGATGGATTTGTGGCAGGCTCTCTGACGCTCCAGCTAGAATCAACGGCCGTGGATACATTGCAGGCTCAATTTTCCGGCTACGGAAGTACATCCTCCATCGTTGGACGGTGCCTGGATAAGTTGGCGCTCAAGGAGCCATTGGAGGCCTGGTCGGATGAGACAGTGGAGAAGGTGGTCACGACGTTCATCGATGAGAAGTTCCCTACCGTGTTTGCCTTGAATAAGATCGACCATCCCGATGCGGACAAGGTGTGTGATTCCCCGCTTTGGAAGGATGTGCCCTTGGACTAATATGCGTGACGCTAGAATATCAGCAAGATCGCCAAGATGCAAGATCCGAAGTCGATCGTGCTGTGCTCCGCCATCTCGGAAGTTTTCCTGCGCCGACTTGCAAAGCAGGGCTATATCAAATACATCGAAGGAAGCGAGTTCGTAGATATGCGAGAGGACCTGATTGACATGGGTGATCCGGATGGAGGTGGCCTCAAGGAGATGGACGAGAAGCTGAAAACGTACGACACACTTAACCTGACTTGTCGACGGAAAAGCTAACCCTGAGACTCCCAGGCGTGTCGAAAACTTGAAAGATATGGTTCTATATCGGTTCGGGTCCACCGGTGTTGTCCAGTGTCTTTCGCGTGCTGCGGAACTCCTGGGGCTTGTACCCGTGTTCCCTGTCCGCAATATCCATACCTTCTCATCTGGAGCTGGGACGGCAGTCTTCCGAGACTGTGTCCTCGTGGGCAAGTGAGTAGTCACTGGATCAAGCTAACAGGGAATGTGCTGACAATGAGTAGAAACAGCACAGTCGGCGACGTTGCCCGCAAGGTCATGGGAGATGTCCCCATCTCATACATCGAAGGAATCGGTGGCACTCGTGTCTCCGAGGACGAGATTGTGGAAGTTGGGAAACACGACGTAAGTGGATTCTGTGGTTGTTTACCGATCATGCACAGACTAATATTGCCTTTCTTAGATTCTTTCTTTCAAACCTGGCCGATAGATTCCCCCCGAATACAATCTATGTACAGTGAACATGATAATGAAACTATAAACCGAGATGATGCTACAATCACAAAGAGAACACGAGCGTTTCAACTGCAAAAGCAAGTAGTGTCAACGACTGGCGTGAAGCCAGCAATCCTCGTCCGTCGATATTTAGTGACCTCGCTGAGAGATAGGCGAGTTAGCCGAATCCGCCCCAACACACCGGGATCACATCACATCAACAAAAAAGTAAGGGTGTGCAAAATACCTGTCCTCTCTCATCATTCATCCCGATGACCGGTTCCGGCGCCTTCGGATGTTCCTTCTTGGCCTTGCGCTCGTGCTTCAGCCCCCCGCGCTCCGTGGCGCCCCCCTGCTTGGAGCTGTCCGGCACCCCGTAGCTCGACTTTCGGTCCTCCTGCCCGGCTGCCGAGGCATCGGTCGAGACATCGGTCGTGTCGCGCTTCTTGGTCCGGTTGACGGCGTGGTCTTCGGCCTTGGTGCCCACCCATGAGCTGTTCTGACGGGCTTGCGCCGTGGTGGCTGGGGCGGCAATCCTAAGGGCTTGTTGCTGCTGCCTCGCAAGCAGACCAGGGAGTCTCGAAGTGATGCGTGTCGTGGTGAACAGGGACATTCTTGCGGTTTTGTAGGTATGCTCTTGGGGTTGTAAATCTCTGGCTCGTAGTGTTTACCTCGACTCGACACTAGAAGTGAAGGTAGCAAAGTTGGAAATATTACGGATTGTAATTGTATGGAAGAGATCCAAATTGTAGGAGAAAATGACATCAATGACAATGCTACCTCCTAGCTCGGGTTATATACTCCATGGTCAATCCAGTGACATTTACCCCGGTAATGGGTCATGACCGTTCTTGGCGCTGCATGACGTCTCCATGCCGTAATGAGCTTGACCCTAGGGCTTAGGGCTTTTGGGTGTGCTTATCGATAAGAGACGGGAGTACTGGGGAGGCAGGGCGGAATGTCAGCGTCAAATCAAAACATCCCCCTTCCCCCACCCCACCCTCTTATACACTGCATGCTAGGTAATGCTATGCAGATAGCTTCTAGCACCGACTTATTCGAATAGCCAAGATGAAGCGCGCTCACTTACCGATCGAGACGCTGCCGGCGTGGGTGAAGCTCAATGGAATCGGGGTGGAGAGCGTTGTCTTCGGTACTCTGGGTACGGATCACCATGAGAATGATACCTCGGGCAGCAGCAGCAGCAGCAACAGCAACAAGGGCACAGGGATCATCGCCACGGAGGACCGCGCCGGGGGCGAGTCCGCTCTTGGTGCCGTGGATACGGGGGTTCTGTTGAAGGTGCCCCCGGATCTGATCCTGTCGTTGGAGACGGTGCATGGGTATGCCAAGTCGGATGGCCGGCTGAGGGTGGTGCTGGAGGCTGTTGGGGAGTTTGCTCGGGTATGTTTCTCCCCTTGTTCTTATTCTGATCCTGAGTCCGGTGGTTTTCTGGTTCTAGAAATTCTGGACTCGAGGGGACGGGGGGTGGGCTCGGTGGATTATATGAGAGACATGCTAACCAAAGAAGCCAGACCCCGCGCGGCGCGATCTTGATCTTCTTGCTCATGCAGATCACGCACTCCAGTCCGGATTGCACGGGCCAAAGCCAAGCGGTGGGGGTGGCGGGCCCCTGGACGGAGTATATGAAGTACATGCCGCGGGAGATTCCGCTGCCCACGTTCTACTCGGAGGCGGAGTTGGAGCTGCTGCGCGGGACCTCGCTGCGGCTGGCGGTGCATGCGAAGCTGGCGGCGTTGGAGAAGGAGTTTGCGCGGCTGCGGGAGGCGACGCGGGGGATTGACTGGTGCAGGGAGGTTTGGTGGGGTGGCGAGGATGCTGATTCTGGCGGTGATGATCTTGAAGGTAATGGTGATGATGACGTTGCTGGAGAAGAGGCGGCGCGGTTGACGCTCGAGGACTGGAAATACGTCGACGCGCTGTATCGGTCCCGGATGGTCGATCTCCCGACCAGCGGGCATGCGATGGTCCCCTGCATTGACATGGCGAATCATAGCTCTGAAGAGACGGTCAAGGCGCTGTACGATGAAGATGCGGACGGGAATGTGGTGCTGCAGTTGCGTTATGGGAAGAGAGTGCGTGCCGGGGAAGAGGTGACTATCTCGTGAGTTTTCATCCTGTCGCATTTCATGAGAGTTTGGGCTGGTTGAGTGAAGGTATGGGGCTTACTCTGGACATGAAAAGGTACGGCGACGAGAAACCCGCGTCGGAGATGATCTTCTCTTACGGCTTTCTGGATCGAGAGACCGCCGATGCGAAGCAGATCTTTCTGGATCTGGATATTCCAGACGATGATCCGCTGAAGGTTGTTAAAAAGGCGTTCTGTAAGGAGCCCCCGGGCGTGCGGGTGTATACTTCGGCTACAGATTCCGATTCAGCCCCCACCACGGCCTGGGAAAGCTCGATCATCTGGTGGGCGTGTGTGAATGAGGAGGATGGGTTAGATTTCACGGTCCTCCAGACCAATGATGGGGGGCGTGAGCTGAAGGCTCTGTGGAAGGGGGCTGAGTTGCGGGATTCGGCTCATCTCAGCGAGCTGCTCCGTGCGGACCCGCATTGGGATATCATCCAGCTTCGCGCGGTGGTACTTATTCTTGAGAGGCTGGAGACGCAGGCTTGGGTGCTCAGGGAGACGGGGCTGATGGTGTCTGAAATCGATGAGAATGAGGACATGCGGGCGATGTTCAGGCCGGATGTTTATGATATGATTAAGCGGTTACGGGTGTTGGAGATGAATTTGCTGGGTCGGGGGATTGAGGGTTTGGCCATGCGGGTATGTTGCCTCTGAGGCATGTTTGTCTTGCGATTGCGTTGCTAACTGGAGTGTTGCAGAGAGACGAGCTCATGGCCAGTCCGGCGGTCAGTCAGTATCTGGGGCAGCAGCAGCCAGAGACGGTAGGGGCGGAGGACGTCTCCAGCCAGCAGCAGTCTGAAGATGTTGAAGACGATTTTTCTTGATGCGTATCCTGAGGGATTCCGTCGAAAAGACGACTCGACTAGGTATAGAAGTCTAGTCCACTCAAGACAAGCCATAAGCGTACGGCGTGGCAGTATCGATTCGATCAGTAGCGGTATAGTATCAAGGTAGTTATAGGCCTTCAAGTGACGTAACATAGTTCCTAGGTGAACTGCTAAATATCTGAGCCGGCTACCTGAATAACCAAGCTACCACTGCATTAAAAAAACTGAGTATATTTGAATATCAAAATATTTCTTCAGACTACGGGAAGTAAGTCGGGGCTTTAGTAGAATACATGAAATCAAAAGTCACTACGTTGTATACTGTGGCGGCAAGGGCGAGGAGGCGACTGCGTCTTTCTTACGGAGCAAGCGGTGCATTTCCTCTCCTTCTACCTCCCTTCTCCTGTTCTCTCTTTAATTATCGACCTTATGGTCTTTAATCAATCAATCACTTGATCAATTCATCTTTATTCATCCGTTCATAGGCTGTTACCGAGAGCCCATGTCTTTCCAGTGGTAGAGAGATTCTTTTCTCCTCAATACATAAAATATCAAAACAGTCAAAGATACTAATCTGCCAAGTCTTAGGAACATGGGGAGTTTATAATCTAGCTGAGATGTAAATCTTTGTATTTCTACTCTAAAACAGAAACACTAGCTAGGACTACCCCTGGGTGGTCCGGTAAGAGCCAACTGGCTGTAAGGCGGCAGCATAAATTTCATTAACATCTATGATGCACTGCACAAGCTGTGCAAGAGTTTTTTCCGAGGAAATATTCGTATAAAGTGTTCCTTAATTTCAGCATGAAAGCCTTTACACATTACCTGATCAACATCCTACTGAACACCGAACAAGCACCTCACCACAATGAAAGCGACACACATCATTCTGTAACACCCCCTAGCCCCCTGCGGCCCACAAAGAGCTATTTTTTGTTCCAGCAGACCTCCTCACCCACCAGGCGAAAGGTCCTTACACCCCTCACTCCGCCGCACAATTAAAGCTCTTGGCCCGATCATTCCACCCCAAGTACGCCAGATTCTCATAGCCGGGGAAATGGATCTGCAGTTCCTGGCCGTGACAGCCCGATTCCCTGGTGCATACAACGAATCAATAGCCATCCCCAAGACTGTCCCCAGTAAGCCAGTAGGAGGGCAACTCACGAATAAAGCGTACACCAGCTCCCCCGATCCGATCCGGCGGCCGAAACGCCGCGATCTCCCGGCGGGAATTGATCGGTGATGGTTGCTGTTTTGGGGGGATCAGTCAGAAGTGATCAAACTGGGCTTGGTGGGGTGTGAAGAGGTGGGTGAGTAGGTAGGTGGGTGAGAGAAATCAGACGTACTGCACTGCCCAAAGGGAGAGGTGTAGTGGACGCAGTAGCCCCGGAAGAGCGCGTTCTCGCAGAGGTAGAGGCCGGAGTTAGCGTTGGTGTTGAAGAAGACGTGCTCGGAGGTGGTGACGCGGGTGGTGGTGGTGGGGACGGGGATGGGGGCTTCGAGGATGGTTTGGTCGGCTTGCTGCTCGTGGCAGGGGAGGCTGGTGGCGGAATGGGCGAGGATGGAGAGAACGATGGCGGTGGTGGTTGGAAGATGCATTTTGATCGTGGGTGGAATAGGGAGTATGAAGGGGAATGACTTGTTGTGCTGTTTCTCGGGATGGTCAGATGGGGGACGAAGGAGTGAGGTTGACATGACCTTATATACCTTTTCTCAGGTGTGGTGTGATGAACTGGATATGGCGTGTCTTTGTTTCACTTCAAGTAAGCTGTTGGATGCCCAAAGACGAAGGCTGCCCTCGAACATGCTTGCTTCGTGTTGGACTGCGTGCACCTCGAACGTGATTGGATTGTGCGTCTGTGAGTCGAGGTGAAGAATACTGCGAGATGAAGTAGGGCTTCGTATTCGAGGAGCCGCATTCCTGAGACTGCCCAATCGTAAGGGCTAATCCTGTCCCGTCTGTCCGGATGAGCTACGTGTGGGATACTACTAGGTACTATGTAGTACTCTCTAATCGAGCCAAGAAACTTGAGGCCACGGACTGGCCGACGCCAAGAGACTAGGAAGCTGTCAAGGCACTCTCAATTCGCTAGGATGATGTGTCTAGCAAAGCCAAGATCGGAGGATGTGCGCCAAGACTCGGACAGGAAGAGGACTGGATTGGCACAATCCAGGCTAATGCACTCCCTGCATCTTCTCGAGGAATGCTTAACGGCAGGACGCGAAGAGAACAAGCTTGGACAAATCAGCGATGGGCACGTTGTGAGCGGTGCAGATACCCCATGTTGGCGGTTGACAGGAGAAGGATGAGCAGAGGATCTAGAACGTTCATATTCTCCAGCTGAAAAGGGTGCATATATTGATACGAGCGTCGGCGTCCTGACAACGAGGAAAGTAGTCATTTTGTAGTGGAATGGGTGCTGTTCTTCCTTGGCAGGGTAGCTTTTCACTATGAAGTACTCTTGGTAGCCTGTAGCACCTTAGTCTAATATTGAGATATGTTGGTTGATTTCAAGTAAAGATATAATGATACACAAACTCCCTTTTCCATTTGAATATTTTGGACCCTGGGCCTTGTGTTTAGCAAACCCAGAAATTAGTCTTGCAACAAAATAATGGTGCTTTCGCCTTGCCCTATCTGCGGTCAACTACCCAGTCAAGTAGTTCTTTAGAACCCGGCCGCTTGCATGGCCGAATCTCTCAAGAAAACACTATAAAGGTACCATGTATTACGTGAGAACAAGGACTAAAGTGCCTTACAGGCAAATAGTGATTGATACATACAGTACACTGATTCTCGGTGCCAGAACCAGTAACAAGAACATGGAACGGATCCTCAGCCTAACAAGCCATGATCTAGCACCCCAAAAGGCCTAGTCTAACCAAAACCACCCCGTCTGGACACTCCCCCTTCCCCTCCCCAGGCGCGCCACTCTTCCTCCTAAAGCGCAGCACCTCCTCTAGTAAGGAGTCTGCTCATGAAACCACTTCATCATAAACTTGACCTGCGGCTTCTCCGCGATCGCCACATCGCCGAACGCATTGCCCAACTCCATCACCACCTGCGTCCCGTTCTTACTGTTCGGCCGCCACACCGGCAACGTGCCGTTCCCCGTGTACGACCCACCCTCGTTCGGGTCCAGGGTCTTCGCAAAGTTGGCCCAATACGCCGACATGCGCTCCTGGATCTCCCAATCCGCGTCCGTGAACGGGTAGGTGTCCACGTTCGCGTACAGCGCGTTCAACGCGTACATGATCTCCGACTGGTGGAAGGCGCCCTGGTCCTGGCCGGGCGGGGCGTGCGTCCAGTAGTAGGTGTAGAAGTCGGAAGTGGCGGCCTTGTACCAGTCCGTCGCGTAGGCCCAGGAGCCGATGAGCGAGGCGTCGCGGGCGGCGGCGTTCCAGGAGCGGTCGCCCGTCGCGGCGGTGCCGTTGTCCGGGTACAGGCGGATGTACTCGTCGTACAGGTCCCCGTACTTGGCCTTGGTGTAGGCTTCGTACTGCTTGACGGTGTAGGAGGTCGTGGTCGAGGCGCCGGACTCGTCCTTCGTGTTGCCGGTGATCACGGGGACGTCGTTGGCGGGCCCGTTGATCAGGGTTTCGAGGTAGGTCGAGGGCAGGACGTAGCCGTCGAGGACGGGCTTGAAGATGAGCGGGTATCCCGCCGAGAGGGCGGTGATGGGGTCGATCCAGGTGCTGTTAACGCGGTCCTGGGAGCCCACCAGCAGGTCCTCCATGCTCAGAGTGCGGAGTTCGGCGATGCTGCTGGCGTTGTGGAAGGTCGTGTAGTTAATGCCGTGGAAGATGGCGGTGGACATGTTCACGTAGGAGGTGGCCAAGCCCGCCAGGAGCGGGTCGTAGGGGTACCGGATGCCGGACTCGGAGATGCCGCCGTGGAAGTAGCCGGTGAACAGCGGGCTGTTGACGGCGTGGTAGACCTGCGACGAGCCGAAGGACTGGCCCGCGACGACGACGCGGTCCGGGTCGCCGCCGAACTGGGCGATGTTGTTGCGCACCCACTTCAGCACCTCCAGCTGGTCGAGGACGCCGTAGTTCCCGGAGGTGTTGTGGCCGGTGAGCTGCAGCCCTTCCTCATTGAGTTCCGGGTGCGCCAGGTAGCCGAAGGCGTCGTCGCGTCGGTTGAAGGTGATCAGGATCACGTCCTTGAGCGCCATGCCGCCGCCGTACCACCACGCGTCGTCTGAGGTCTCGTCGCTGCCTTGGTTCCACACCATGACAGGGAGTTTGTCGCTGGCGCTCCCTGCGTTGGTCCATAGGTTCAGGCTGAGGCAGTCCTCGCTGATGTCCGTGGCGTACTGGCTGGGGCAGGCCGGGCCGAACGCCGTCGCCTGAAGCGTCTCATTCCACGGCGTGCGCGGCTGCGGAGCCTTCCAACGGTTCTCGTAGCCCGTGTCCGCGGCGAAGGGAACACCCAAAAAGGCGGTCACGTTGGACTCCGAGACGCCGAAGTACTTCTCCAGGGTCGACTGGTTGAAGTATTGGAAGCCCTGCACGGGACCATAGCTAGTTTGAATGACTTCATCCCACAATTGGGCGTGGACAAGGGAGGCGCCTAGGGCCAGGGAGGCCAGGCCCTTGGTGGCGAAAGAAGGCATGCCTTAGTTTGTTGGACTTCTAAGGCAGGAGAGGAATGAGGTGGAGGGTGGTTAGAAGAAAGTTGGATGGTGGCAAAGAGAGGAATGCGCGGCTTTATAACCTGCATCCCTGCCAGCCACGGCTAAGACGGACGACCGTTAGATCTCCGTAACTACCGAGGGTGGTCTGACAGACTGGAACAAGCACACGTGGGGACGTGATTGAGAATAGTGTTTCATGCGTAGTCTGCATGACGATCCTTGCCGCAAGTTGTTGGACGCGCACTTCTGGAAACCATGGTGCCTTGCGAGACGCATCAGATATGCCTCAGCGGGGCGCACGGCAGATTGACGGGATGTCGTCATGGTCCTACTGCATTGGAATATAGCCCCGGGGAGTTATAGCTTGGATTCTTCACGGAATACTCCTCCGAGTCGAAGGATGCGAGACATCAGCATGAGCACCTGCAGATTTGTCAGACAGGCAAGTCTCGACAGTCTGAATGACCAGAAAGACTCGCTGATCAGACATAAGGCATAAGAGATCAAGGGTACTCAGTCGTGAGGAGTGACTCGGTTCAAGCACTCTCGATTGCCCGCTTCTGCTATTCTCATTCCGGGCAGGCGACGCGTGAAAGTGATGCAAGCGACCAGAAGATAAGGTCGGAGGATTCGGAGACTTGGCGGGATCGGCCGGCCCGCTTTACTGTCTGCAGGAACCAACTCCGCACTGCCGGAGATACTGCTCGGCGACTACTCCTAGGAAAGGTAGCCCCGCACGAAACATCCCTCTTGGGCGCGGGGATGCCCACAAAACCCGAGCTTGGCTCGCAAACTACCCCCATTCTGGGATCCAGTCTTGGCCATCTAATTTAGACGGTCTGCAAGACCCGGCGATTGTATCTACAAGAACGATTATTCACACCACGAAACCGATGAAAAGAAAATTGAGAACGAGGTAAAAAAGCTGAGAAAGATGGCCAAGTGGACAATTCAACTAAACAAGATGTGTTTATCAGCAAGACACTTTTGGAATTGGCTCAGCCACGGCCGTGAATCCTCTTCGACCGGTTCATCCCAACCATGAGTCTTCTTATTGTTGTTCTTCTTCTTTAACTTGATCTTGGAGAAGACCCAAGCATCACGGTCCCAAAGAGCACCTTGCAAAGGTTGCGTTGCGACTGGGGTCTCCGGAACAGGCTCCCGTAGAAGTCGCAGTGGCGGTTGGTCTTCCCACGACCAAGAACTGGCTTGAGGCTTGAACCTGGCTCTAGCGGCGGTTCTGGCTCCAGGTCGGAGAGAATCTTTGATACTGGCACAAGTTCAGACTCAAACACCAGTTTCAGCTCTGTTGCTTTGCCCGACTTACCAAGTTCGCACACCGGATCTAGCATGGGATTAGGGTCGCATATGCCTTCCAGTTGTACCAATCTTTCATCGAGAATATGGCATTTAGGGAACGGTCGAATATTGACTTCATGGAGGGCTGGACTGACCTCCTCCCTCTCCCTCACAAAAAGGGCCAACGTCTTATCGAAGATGAAGCGATCAAAACTCTCTAAGGCTGGCTCAGATTGATCTCGTCTATATATAATACATTCAAACATTACAGATCTCAGGTAATTCTACTGATTCTATCCGCCTCTATAGTAGATTGATTTTAACCTGTTGATCAAAGAATAGGTGTGGTAAGGTAGAATAAGTATGTTTAACAGGATACAAAGCCGAAGCCTCCAGGATCCAGTGAGGGCCCTAATTCTTGATGTTCCCTGCCGACGATTTTCTACTACGACGCACTCTGCGCGAACGAGTAGGTCTCTGTCTGTGCTCGGTGATAATTCCCAGCATGGAATAACGGGAGTTCGATATTGTATGAGTTCAGACTATATACGGTCTGCTCTCTGCGTCATTGGTTAATATTGTTGCTCTTATCCAAAGAAAAGGGCCTATATGAGATTGGATGGCCTGCAGCCATAACAGAGCTGTCTTATTTTTTACTCCAACTTTCCTAGCCTCAAGTGATGCCAACTAATTGGCCCTGAAATGTGGTATCAGCATTGAAAAGACCAGTTGGCAATTCCGCACGCGAAATCAACGACCGCAAAACTCTCGACTTGCTTGTTTCAAATAGACTATCGTCTAGTGTTCTAAGATCATGAAGTTAAGATCTAGCTACAAGCATTCCATGGCTCAACCTGACAGAAAGGCCAGTTGCTGGTCCATCACGCTCCGCACCATCTCCTCCCAAGGTCGCCATTGCATTTGCAGTTCGACTTCGGCTTTGGTGGTATCAGTTGGCATAGAGGCGCCCTCGGCACCCTCGGTAAGCTTCACTCCAACATTGGGGTAGAGCTCGTGCGCAATCCGAGCCACCTCTTTCCACGTTGTCGGCGGCCCCGAGAGCAGATACTTCGCACCATTCCTCATCCTCGAGTCTAACGCCCTGATATGGGCCTCGGCAACATCCTGGATGTGCACACCCGTGATCCCTCCAAGTGGGACGCCTCCCATCACACTACCCCAGATAATTCCATTGGACCCTGCTTCGATCTCTTGACCGGAGGCTTGCACGAGATTGTGCCCAAAGACGAATGACGGATGGAGAGTGACCAGTGCGTAATGCGGGTTTTCTGTTCTCCAGAAGTCCCATGTCGCATTGTTCGCAAGCAGTTTGGATGCTCGGTACAAGGTCATCGGGGTTGCCGCAGGGTTGTTGGGGTCAACAAAATCTGCTGTGGGATCCACAGCGAGATCCCAGTCGTTGTCCTCTGTGGTGGCTGATGTTAGCATGGCAGGGGCCGCAGTTCCCAGCTATATGTAGCAAACATACCTCTAATGACACCGCCGTCGGGAAGTCCAGCAAGAGGAATCAGGGCAGCGATAGATGAAGTGACCACAACCTTCTTGATGCTGGGGACCTTAGCTGCCTCTTTGAGCACAGCCAGTGTTCCGTTCACCGCGGGGGAGAAAAACGCTTCCTTGTCTGTGCCGTTGGCGAGAGGCGATGCTAGGTGGAGGACATAGTCCACTCCATCAAGCTTCCCTCTAAACGCCGCCTCCTCGGTGAGGTCCGGGATGATGACGAATTCCACCTGTCCGCGATACTCTGACAACAATGATTGGAGTTTCTCGGACTTTTGGCGAACGCCAAGTCGAAGTTGGTATCCGGACTTGAGAGCTTGAACAGCCGTGGCACTGCCAATGAAACCAGTAGCACCGGTCATGAAAATCAACGGAGCAGGCATGATGGAATGGTACTTTGATACTGATGAATTTGGATAATGATTCATCCTGAACCGGTAACTGAGCGACCTTTATAGTATGATACTTTTATAGTATGAGAGTGAAGTGATTATTAATGACTGTCGCCGGATATGGGTACGAAAATATCCGATATGATGGTGCCATGACTGCGCTAACCGGCTCATATCGTACCTGATGGTCCATCACCAGTATTCAAGTCATGAGCAAAGAGATAAAGACCTCAAACATTACTCATCACTCATAATCCGCTCCATCGACGTGGTCACTTAATCCCTGAGCTCTGGAACCTGGAACCATCCAGAAGATATTTTACTGTATCACACTTAGTGAAAGGGGTCATCGATACAAGGTGGACCCATAGAAAAAGGCTTTTGCATTGATAACCGGCAGCGTCCGATTCGATGACCGGGGAACTTGCCATTAAAGAGCCTTGGCACAGGCCTGTTTCAATTTGCGTCTATACACACGTCTATGATTATCAATCCTCTTCATATCATTACCTCCATCATGTCTACTCAGAAGGCCGTCATTGTTACCGAACCTAAGACTGCAGGCTTGTCCATTTCCCGTGTCATTCTCGAGCTCCGCGATGATTACGTCCTTGCAAACACTGTTAGTGTGGGTTTGAACCCAGTGACCGGCCGTACTTCGACTTCCTCTTACTGTCTGGTGTCATGCTAGGGGGTGATTACTCTGGCGTTCTTGAGATTATTGGTAATGATTTTAAGCTATGTTGGAAGAAGGGAGACGGAATCTGCGGTTCCGCTCATGGTAGTAATGCTGTTTATTCCGAGGATGGCTCTTGTGCCGAGTATATTGTCTGCAATCTCGAATTTATGACTACCTTAGCTTCCAGGAAGCTGCTACTTTAATCTAGAGAAGTACGTTCTGCGCCAACATCCGTAGAGTATCAGCGCCAAGCGACCTTGATCGTTGGTGGATCGGTAGCCAGCGTCGCCAAAGGCTACTTGGAGCCTAGGGCGACTGGTCTGGATCTCAATTCAGGGCAAGGTAAGGCTCGTATTCGTACCTGTGCCCACGTTTGGCATGCACGGAGATCGGCGGTGCGGCGGAAGCTGGAAGCCGAGTCCATATGTGGGTAACGTACAACTTGACCGAAGCCACAATCCTCCTTATTCAATCATGTCCTGCTCCGTTGATTGGTGCTGCTTGTCCTCACTTTTAACTTTTTTTGTAGTCCAAACCTTAATGCCAATATCCATTTTGCAAAATATCTTTTTCTTTTTTTTTGTGTTCTAGCAGTCGCCCTTGCTTTCTCAAAACACATTTGTAAACATCTAGGTTTGGGCAAAAAGACGGTGGCGGTGATTAGTGAACATGCCGAGCCGAGGGTTACACCTTCGGGGCAAGGAACTTGGAACCTACAACCGTTCGTCCGATTTCAGAGGAAATCAATCAATTAGTCGATTAGGAAACGCCTGTCGGATTCCCACACAGTCAGTAGGAACGTAATGGTCATCTGAACGAGCCAGGCAAGTCAGCGAGCCATATGCAAACACCATATATGTTTTATGCATACCAATTACTTGAGAAGTCTCATATCTCTACCATTTCCCTCTCAATAAGTAATATATCAAGCGAAGTGTGTGAGGCCTCTTGATGGAATAATATTGTCTGTAGTCTATAACACATACAAAAGGAAATCTGTTATTTGCACAAGCAATCATGGATATAACACAGCCGGTAATTTATTATGGTATATTCTACATATTTCGATTCTTGAGAGTTGTAGGCTAGTTCTATCTGGATAGGACCCTTATTGTATTGATTTTGTAGCTTTATACGAAGTCAGAATTGATAAAATCAGCAATAATCAATCCGCTCTGGAACAACAAGTGTATGTAGAGTGACCTGCCTCTCTTTATTCGGGGTGGTTTCTACCAAAGCCTGCCGTTATCAGCGGAGTCCGTGACCTCGGAGATCAGCTCGTTACGCTTAGCCTGATCCTATCTCCTGCCGGAATCACGTCCTTACCCAGTCCTAAAAGACTTGTCCCTGGGCTCGCATCTTCCTTCAACCGGGCAGGCACAAACCAAATACCCCTCTGAAAAGCAAAGACACCACGGCCAAAAAGACGCCAGCGAAGGATCGCGGAGCGTCTCGAGGAATAGGTGGCGGCAAGGTAAGTCCTGAAGAAGTCCGTAGGGTGTCCAATCGACACTTTAAGAATGCTGCGAGCAATTTTAGTCGCACCAATTGTGTGCCAGCCTCGTCGCTTGCAATGTCGCATGGCACAACGTGCATAATGTTTCACAACAGCAAGCTCCACTTGACGGCCTCCAGAACCGCATAACCCTTATGGAGACCTCAGTTGAGACACTAAGCTCTGCTAGGCTATTATTCGGTGAGCAGCTGGTCTAAAGGTGGAATGCTTAGGTCACACTCTGCTCTAACAGCGAGTTTACGTGAGACCATGAAGGCTGTGTATACCATAGCAGCCGGAATAAGCCTTGATGACGACGGAACCCGTCTATCGATTTCGATCAAGTCCAAAGACCCCTTGGGTTTATTCTTGTATAAAGAGCTGTGAGCGTCTGGCATTTTACTTGAAAGCGAAGTTATTTCTTCAACTAAGCCAACAGCCGCTGCACGGATGGGATGAAGAGCTTCGTTTCAGGCTGGGGGGAGGCCCTGCGCTGTCCGAAAGTAAGCTTCGAATTCATGTATATAAGTGATAACAAGTGGCCGATATACGCTGAGATGTCTATCCATACTGAGGCCCCCGGTTTGGTTCGTGTTTAACTTGGTCACTCAAAGCATATCAAACAAAAGCTGTGTGAGAGCTGGTATTCAATAATTTTCATGGTATTTTTGTAGTTTTTGTGATTGTTTGTAACTTTTGTAATCTTTTTTTATTTTACAGAACCAAACTATATGCAGAAATCTACCCTCTATAGCCACAAATTTTACAATTCTCTGCGCTCCACTAATAGAAGCAATAAGTAGATCTGGCTGTAATCTAGTATTATATATATTAGATTATATATAGAATATATAAAATATTATGATTTAAAATATAAACTATATCTATATTATAAGTTTTTTATAAAATATTATTTAGATGTGGCTGTATATCAACTTCGGGGAATTGTAAAATTCGTGGCCACGGAGGGTACTAAATGATGAAAAGTGGGGTTAAAGAAGGGTCTAATGGAAGGTTGAATGCTGGCAATCGGGGATATCACTAATCAATATTGCAAATACTTCGCCTGCTATGGATACCGCTGTGGCTCGTCGGCCCAAAGCAGCGGTTTGTCAGACAATCATTGGAACCGCGCGATCGATTTGTCAGCCTTTGCCAAAACTAATGACGTCCAGTGAAATGAAATGGAGGTTTTCATTCTTTTTTTTTCTTTTTCCAAGTCGGCGATTCAAGCGGGATTCATATCATAGTAATGTGGTGGTTTGTAAGCGCTGCAGCTTCACAATAGTTCGCTGCTGTTCCAGGGATTCTGCGAATTCTAACGAGCCATGGGCTAATCGCCTGATGATTATACCTTGCGTCCGTCGACCTGAGGTTCGTTTGACCTTCCAAATAGTCAACCTTTCAAATACCTACCTTCACGTTGGTCTCCGTCAGTTCTTTAGTTTGATTGAGTATTGCGCACGAGTGCTCCAATCTGTTCAGTGTTTCCTGTCTTCGTCCTGAGATCACAACATTGCCAACAAGTCACCCGCCCTAATGAAAGCGATCATCACACATCGATTCTTGCCTAAGCGTCTCCTGAGTCTCGCTCTTCGGAGTCCTCTTGGGCAGGGTGCGCAGGTCAAGGATGTCCCAATCCCAAGCATCACCGATGATGAGGTCTTGGTCAAGGTACGCGCTGTCGCGCTGAACCCCATCGACTTCAAAGACATTGATTTCATTTCCCCACGCAACTCCGCCATTGGCTGCGACTATGCGGGCGAGGTGGCTCGGGTCGGCAAGAATTCAGGACAACGTTGGAAGGTTGGAGACAGAATCGCGGGCTTTGTCCACGGGGGCCTGTACCCCGAGGTTGGCTCATTCGCCGAATACCTGAAAGTCGATGGAGACTTGGCCTGGAAGGTGCCTGACGAAACGACCCTGAGCGAAGCCACCACCTACGGAGTGCCCGCCGCCACCGCGATGCTGGGCCTTTCGTATCTAGGCATTGACCGGGTCGATATCGAGAACGGACGCAGCGTTCAACAAGGTGACCAACCGACCATTCTCATCTATTCAGGCGGCTCGAACGTCGGTCTCTTCGCCATTCAATTGGCCAAGAGAGCAGGATACACGGTTGTGGTCACGGCCTCGCCACGTTCCTTCGACCTCGCAAAGCGCTATGGTGCCGATGCAGTCTACGACTATCGGACATCTGCCTCCATTGGCGAGATCAAGAAAGCCTATCCGAACATCACAAAAGCTCTGGACTGCTTTTCCGAAGGCACTTCCGCCGCCTTCTGTGCTGATGTGTTTCGAGAGGAGGGTGGCAAAGTGATCACACTTCTTGATCAAGGAAAGCCGCGGAAGGCAAATGTGACCTATGATTTCCTCATGGTTTATACTGCCTTCGGTCGCAAGTTCCAGTTGTTGGCGCCCCTTGGCCCCGTGTTCCCAGTGAGGCCGGCGGACCGCGAAGTCATCGCCAAATTTTATGATAACTTATCCAGCCTGAATCTGCAGTCTCCACCTATTACGACGATTAAGGGCGGATTCAGCGAGATATTTGAAGGTCTAGACACGCTTCGCAAGGGAGAAGGTCGAGGTACAAAGCTTGTTGTTGAGTTTCAGTAATTAATATAACCCTATTCTCAGTCGCTAACAATTTTGTTGAGCCTGTTCTCTTTCTATGATCCCACTATCGTTTTTCTTCTCTCGTTGTATTGAGGCTCGCGGAATATTTGTCAGAGTCTTGCGAAACGTATTTTCTTTGAACACCGAATTTCAAGCACAGTTTTTGTTATTACATGGCATAACCTCTTGCTGACTTTCTCCCCTCATTCCATTCACTACGGTGGGCTCTCTGCGCTCTAGGCTAGAAAAGCTTAGCTGACTAAGTAGGTAACCTAGTAGCTACTCGATACTAGGTAGTAGGTACTAGTAGTAGCCTTCAGTAAGTTACATCTCATTTCACTTTCTACAGCTAGTGATATTACTGAACGTCAAAGCTTAGCTTCGACTCGAACTACTACTAGTAGCATTCAACCTCCACCCTATGATTCCAATCATTTTCACTTTCTTTCTATCATGTCTGCTATCTCATCATCCTCTCTCCATATATCAATACAACATATCCAAGGTACATTACCCCACCGCTAACTGTTGGCTAAATTGTAGTAGCAATACTACCTATTTTGAGGCTCAGGCTCAGAGACCTGGCTGGCTACCTAACCTACCTAGTAGTTCAGGCAGCCACTCGTCGAGATAGCGGAAGAAATCTCTCACCCGGGTCACATCTGGACGGCTATGCATATCTGCTGGTGGGTTGTCTACGTCAAGTCTCCTTCTAGGCCCCAGGACTTGCTTCAATTCTCCTTTACTCCTCCCTGCGTTGGCTGGAAAAGTACTGTGAGGCAGGCCAATCCGCACGCACGCCACTTCCTTCCCGTCGGTAGGAATTTCCTATGCCCACCTCGCTTATGCATTCTCCCCTCCGACCACAACAAATCAGCTCGCGCCTTGTGGGAGGTGTGTGGACTCTACCAAGGAGTATATGTCTTCTGAAGTAGTCCCCTTCTTAGGGCTGACCTCAGAACTTAGTGCGTTAATTGACTGTTCAAAAATCGGTAAAACCTGTTCAAAGGCCGTGTGTTTTGCAAGTATACGAACAGCACCGAAGGTAGATAGATTCGATCACAGCGAGATCTGAAATGCTCAATAAAAATCAGTCAGAAGTGGTGAAATTCACATGTTTGAAACGGGCTAGATTGTAGTATTGGGAGATACTAGTCCGGCAATCCCCGAGTCCGGACTAAACCGGAACTCGAGCGTCTAAAGTGGATCTGTGTTGACAGCCTTCAAGTACCCTCCGTGGCCACGAATTTTATAATTCTCCGTGCTCCACTGGTGGAAGCAATAAGTAGATCTAATTATAATCTAGTATTATATATATAGAATTATATATAGAATATATAGAAGAAATATTATTTAAGGTGCAGACTATATCTATATTACAGGTTTTTTATAAGACACTATTTGGATGTGGCTGTATATCAACTTCGGGGAATTGTGAAATTCGTGGCCACGGAGGGTACTATCAAGAAGCTATGTAAATCCTGCTCGCCTTTCCTATCAAAGAAGAAGATGCTTGGAGAGGTAATTTGTTCATGAAGCCGATCGTAGCTCTAAGAATACATAAATGTCTTGCTAGCCGCCTATTTTGCTACATGTTGAGAGACCACCATGCACGGCTCTTCGCCACTCCCAAAACCGCTTCCACCAACCCCTCCTGTATTCGTCGACCCGATTTCGGACCAAAGCTATCTGAACCATGTAGCGAAAGCCTGTCAGCAGGAGGCGATAGCGCTCGACACTATACCCTGCAGGGATAGAGAGGCTGCCCGATCGCTACGTGTCCTGCATGAAGCTAGAGCGCGCGAGTGGGGAAGTGATAGGTTTGCTCTCTTGCCCCCTCATCTTACCGGCTCATGTGACTCCTGGGGTCAGTTTTTGGCGCCTATCTGGAGGTTCGTACTAGTAGCCAGAGGGGTCACTGGCTTTCTGTTCAAATTGCTCTTCGTCCCCTTGTGCCATCAACCCCATCCATCCCAAGTGCTTCATCGATATTCACCATGACGGGTGGAAAACACCATTGTTTAACCTGGTGGTGGAGGCGCCACAAAGGAACCAAAAACCACTCCACAGCTGAGGGAGATGAATCTTCTCACTCTCCAGCCCCTGAGCCACTCGTTGTGGACTCTGGAGCTCCCATTCCGGCGGCTGGGGCTGTAAAGTCGCTGGCTGCTTCGGCCACGTCCAACCTTGTCGCAGAAGAAAAGCGAGAGTTTCCGACCGAGCCCCAGCAACTATGGGATGAGTCGTACGAAAGCCTCAAGATCGAGCAATCTTCACTGATGAAAGCCTACGAGAACATCCTGGCTCGTGAACTCAACGCGGAATCCCTGCAAGCATCCGCCTCTGTGGATCAGCAAGATGTGATTGAACAGAAGGACGCGGGCATGAGACGGGCGCAGATGAGCAGGATAATTCAGAAAGGGCTGAACAGAACGGAAAGGGAAGCAAAAATCAAACAAAGTGTAGGAAAGGGGGTGGAGGTCGCACTAGCAGTGGATGAGATCATGAAATTGGCCTTGAAGGCATGTCCCGAAGCTGCGCTTGCGTGGTCGGGAATTTCCCTGGGGCTTCAGATCTTGTCCAACACTGCAAAAGAGACAGAAGCCAACCGCAAAGGGCTTGAATACATTTGCAGCAGCATGAATTGGTACTGGGAGCTATCTAGGCGCTTTCTTGGTGAAAGTGGTATAGATGCCGCGCTCTATGAGGGGTTGAGATGGGAACTCAAGGCGCAAATTGTGGGCCTCTACAAAGCGCTGCTCTTCTATCAGATTATGAGCGTCTGCTCATATTACCGGAACCGCTTGCTTGGCTTTCTGTGCGACATGGTTCAGCTTGACGACTGGGATGGGAGCCTAGACAGCGTGAAGAGCAAGGAGGCCACTGTCCGCGAGCGCTTCAGCTCTTATTTGGATCAATACACGCTGGAATATCAGAAAAAATGGTCCGAGTTTCTGCAGGAGATTAGCAAGAATGTCCTGGCACAGTCCCTACAGCTGAGGGACATGCAAGAGGAAAAGGACGACAAAAAGTGCCTGCAACATCTGTTCCTCACAGATCCCGCCACAGACATGATAAAAATCCAAGAGGAAAGAGAATCTCTCATCTCTGAATCCTGCCATTGGATTGTGAACCATCCCCAATTCACTACCTGGCAAAAGTGCGAGACAACTCGGCTACTGTGGCTCAAGGGTGGCCCTGGAAAGGGAAAGACGATGCTGTTGATGAGTATTGTCAATCACCTTTCTCTAACATTGGAAGACAACAACATCTTTTCATTCTTCTTCTGCCAGGAGACTTCCAAAGATGCCAATGCGCGAGTACTTCGAGGGTTGATTTATCAAATTCTCATTCAGAATCGCGCGCTGATCGCTCATCTCCGCGATGTGTATGACACACAAGGGCCAAAGCTTTTCGAAAGCAGCAACACCTCCACGGCTTTGAAGGCCATCTTCGTTGATATGATCGGAGATCCAAAATTAGATCAAGTTTACTTAGTTGTCGATGCTCTGGATGAGTGCCAACCTGAGGATCTGAAACATCTCGCAAGCCTGATCAATGAAAGTGCGTCGAAATGGCCGCATGTCAAGTGGCTCGTCTCGAGTCGTCACAGTGTTGAGATCGAAAGGAGTCTCCAGACGAAGGAATACGGACAGGTCCTAGACCTTGAAAGAGACGTGGAAGATCTCATTCACAGTGGGCTGAGTCACTACATCAGTCACAAATTGTCGGACCTCTTCAAACGGTTCGGCGACACTTATGCAGATGAAGGACCTGGTGTTATTGCGGAGCTCCAGGATCTGCAGAAAAAAATTGCCGACGAAGTACAGAGTAAAGCCAGTGGCACTTTTCTCTGGGTGTCCCTTGTGTTCAGGCAGATCGACGAGTCTGACGTGGATCCTTATGGCGTGAGTGAGTTTATCCGCCAGATGCCATCTACCCTGAAGGGGATGTACGATAGAATGATAGAACGTATCATCAACACTCCAACAAAGGGGACTTTCGAGTCTTGTCAACAAACTCTGTTGGCTGCAACCGTCGCCTACCGACCTCTTCAGTTGGGCGAAATGAAAGAATTGGCAGCATTCAAATGGCTTACTGATGCCAAACGGAGCATCCTGCGCTGTGGATTACTCTCAATCAGAGAGAGCGATCAAACAGTCTCCTTTATTCACCAGTCCGCAAAGGACTATCTCACCGACAAAGAGTCAAAGTTTTATTCGAGGCTTTTCCCCAATGGACATTTAGATGGCCATCAGACGATAGTCACCAGATCTCTCGATACCATGGATCTCCTTCACAAGAACATTGACAATCTCGACAGCCCGGGCTTTCACCTGCCGGAGGATTATAGACCTCACTCTGATTTGCTGGCTTTGTGTGGATATTCATGCATATACTGGATTGACCATTTGTGTGAAACAGAGAGTGACCCTGGCAAAGTCGGCCTCTGCGATGAGAAAATCATAGCATTCTGTAGAAAACACTTCCTCCATTGGCTTGAGGCGCTGAGCCTTCTCAAGAGCCTCCCGAAGGGTGCGATTGCGCTCAAGAAATTCACTTCTCTGCTCAGAAGACGGTCATCAGGCTCTGATCTGCTAGAACTGGTCCGCGATTCACACAGATTTCTGCTGTACTGTCAAGGCGTGATTGCAGACCATCCGTTGCAGACTTATTCATCGGCCATATTATTCAGTCCCGAGCGGAGTCTCATACGGACAAACTTCAAGAACGAAGAGCCAGACTGGATCATGACCAAACCAGCGGTAGAAGCCGAATGGGGAGCTTGCTTACAAGTGGTAGAAGCCCATCGTGATTACGTTCGGGCAGTGGCCTTCTCCCCTGACGGTGAGCGTATCGTCTCCGGATCAGATGACAAGACTTTGAGAATCTGGGATGCAAATAATGGCGCCCGTCTCAACACGCTCAAGGGTCATGAGGACTGGGTCCGTTCAGTGACCTTTTCTCCTGATGGCAGGCATATCGTATCTGACTCAGATGACTCTACAATCAAGATCTGGGACTCAATTAGCGGTGACTGCCTTCATACACTGAAGAAACACAGCGGGAAAGTCCATTCTGTTGCCATCGCACCTTGTGGTAAATATATCATTTCAGGCTCGGATGATCAAACAGTTATGATGTGGGATGTTTCTACTGGAGTCTATCTGCATACATTATATGAATGTGGCGATATAGTACAGTCGGTGGTTTATTCCCCGGATGGTCGCTACATTGCGTCAAGTGACCTGTCGGGTGACATAGCAATTTGGGATGTTGAGCACAGTGTTCGTATTCGGACGCTAAAAGGTTTTTCTGGGTGGTGCAACCCAGTCACCTTTTCACACAATAGCCAACTCATCGCAAAGGTGTCAGTCAGAAGCATTGAATTATGGAACATAGCCAGTGATACCTGCCTTAAGAGATTCAATGAGGAGTCTTGGATCAAAGCCCTCGTCTTCACTCCTGATGGCGAGCGTGTCATCTACAGCATATTATTTGGCAACATTAAAATCTGGGATATAGTCAGCGGGGCTTGTCTTTACACGCTACTTGGCCACACAGGCACGGTTTCTTCAATTGACTTTTCAGCTGCTAGCGGACTCATTGTTACCGGATCAGAAGATTACACCATCAGAATTTGGGACACAAGCAACGGTGTGGGTGTGAACAAGTCAAGCGATCACACTAAGAGAATCAATTCAGTGTTCTTCCCACCTAATGGTGAATATTTCGTGTCAGCTTCAGATGACGAAAAAGTCAAGATCTGGGATGCAGCCCATGGTGACTTGCTTCATACTTTCAATCATTGTGGTGTTGCTGAGTCAGTCGCCGTCTCCTATGATGCCAAGTTGATCGCATCAGGAACAAATAATCGTGTTCGGCTATGGGATGTAAGCGGCACATGTCTTCATACACTGGAACATTACGGTCGTATCAGAGTGGTCGCTTTTTCTCACAACAGCCAATTTCTCGCATCAGGGGGATATGTCAGCGAAATTAAGATCTGGGATGTAAAGAGTGGTGCTTGCCTCCACAAGATAGGCGTTGAGTTGGGCCACATCGAAGCACTTGTCTTTTCCCCAAATAATCGACATTTCGTATCGTTGACAAGTCCAGATAACGTCATGATCTGGGATTCCAACACTGGAGTGTGTTTGAACAAACTACGAGTGCCTTTTGATGACTGGACTCGGACATACGCCTTCTCATCTGATGGAAAGCATATTGCCTCGGCATCAGAAGACGGCAGTCTCAAAATCTGGGATGCAAGCACCGGTGCCTGCTTAGTAACGACTCGCCATGATTACGCTATCCGTCTTGTCAAATTTCTTTCCGATGGCAATCATGTCTTGTCAATGTCAACCAAGGGCACGGTCCGACTTTGGGATGCAAAAAGCGGCGCATGTGTCAAGATGGTCAAAGATCAGACACCGTCTTATCTGGCAGTGCACAGATCTTTGACGGGCGAAAGAATATATGAGGGTTTTAGGATCAATACAGCTGCAAGTGATGCTACTGCATTGGTTGAGGGGCATAAGTATAGCTTGGATGAGGACAACATGTGGATAACATACAATGGCCAGAACCTCCTCAGATTTCCCCTTGGTCATGAAGTATCCCGCTGGACGTGCAGCTCGAATAGTCTGGTTTTTGGTTTCAGATCAGGACGGATTATGCACTTCAAATTCTCCGAAAAAGATCCATTCGCGAGGTGAAAATGCCCGACATCACAGAATCAGTTTCAAAGAGGAAGTTGTGCTCCTTCACTGACATCCAGGCCCCACGGCGGAGAACAGAACTTGTCACTCCGCTTACAATTTGGACATTAGAAGCAGAAAGGGTTGTTACTTTGGTCGGAGCGACTCAGTCTACGAATGCATGAACAAGTGAAAGCCGATAGACCGCGAAGCCATCGGCAAGTTCACGGCTACTTGTCTAGCCTAACCTGAGGCCTCCACCCATCCCAACGGTTAGGGGCGGATTCAATGAGATATTTGAAGGGCCGAATAAAATTTGCAAGGAGAAGGTTGCGGTACAAAGCTTTTTGTCGAGTTTTTGAGTTTCAGTGGTTCATTTGACCCTATGTCCAGTGGCTAACGGCCTGGTTGAATCTGCTCTCTTTCTAAGATCTTATTGTTGTCTGTTTTCTTGTTATATTGTATTGGGATTCACGAAACATATGTCAGCCTGAAGTACAGTTTTTTCCTTGCATGACGTAGCCTCCGAGCTGTAATTAAGAAAAGCTCTTTGCGGAGCTGGTGGCCATTCACCGTGGTATCAGCCTACCTAGTAGTTCCCCAACTCGCCATCACAGACAATGCCCTAAAACCCCTACCCGACGGCCACACCCACCACCCAGGTTACAGCTCAGCCAGCTCAGCCAACCTCTAGATCCGTCATGTGTCGCTTATCCCGGGTGATAGAGCACTCATGCGACGGAACAAAAGTTGTCTCTCCGCATTAGTCAGTGAGATCACTCAGCGTCAAAGCTTAGCTTCGACTCCAAGAATTCCACCCCTACTCTGTTGTTCTAACTATTCAATTGATCTTGATGTAATCTGCAATTTCTTCATTCTTTCTGCATCTATCAATACAGCACTCCACCGCCAACCGCTGGCTACTTTGTACTGGCAGTGCTATTTTGACAAAGGCTCGGGGGCCTGGCTGACTAGAAGATACTAAGTGGCTATGCAAGTCTGGTGGTTCCCAGTTGTTTACCTCTAGTCTCCTTCTCCAGCTAGGCTACAGGACTTGCCTCCTCCTTTGATGCTCCCTGCGTTGGTTGGAAAAGTGCTGTCAGTGCTGTCAGTCGGGCCAATGCGCACGCCACTTCCTTCCCGTCGGTAGGAATTTCCTATACCCGCCTCGCTTATCCCTTCTCCCCTACGACCGCATCAAATCAGCACGGTCATCACAGTCGCTCATGCAGTAGTCGATGTAACTATCCGGAGATTAAGAAGTCTAATTGGATAGTTGTTATGAGAACGGACGCCCGTCATGAGATCTCCATCAGCCGTAGCTGCGAAGGGAGAGCGACACGGGCGATGCACCGGATATAACCCGCAATTCATGGCCAGCAGAGCGTACGATTCTGTCACCGTGTGCCTGAACTTTGTCTTGAACGCTCTGAAACCTGTTGCTCCCTCCCGTCAGTCGCAACGAGAACGAGCACGATGACAATCCCGCACTCAGCGCAGGATGAGTACAACTTGCAGGAGGCATGGGACCGGGTCTGCACCTCGTTCATGCAGACCACCCACGCCGACCTCAAGACCGCCCCCACCAAATACACCATCGAGGAGGTTCTGGACCAGATCCGCGCCAGGCAAGAGGAGGCAAACGAAAAGAATGCCAAATACCAAGAGCTCAAGACCGTGATGAACAAGACGTTGACCTTTGTTGGACTGTTGGGTGGGATTGCCGCACAAGGCGCGAGTATGGTAAAGGGCCCCCAGGCTACGAGACTGCCACCCTTACGCCGGCAGACGGAACAGCTGAGCTTGTGATGACGCAGGTCTTCGCCCCCAGCAGTCTTTGCTTCAACGCGGTCGCATACCTGATCAACACCGGAGCCAAATACAAAGCGGATTTTTAGCAGTTTGGCGGAACTCTTCCGGAAGGTTTCGGATATGTTGGACCGCCTCCAGATCTATATGCGTGGGCCGCCCGATGCGGTGGATATTGCCCTGCGGAGGATTATCAACGACCAACTGATTTGCTTTGTGGATATCTGTGCACTGTCGATCCAGGTGCTGAAGGGCCACAAGGTTCTGATCGCCATCAAGGGTTTTGCCTTTGGTGAGGACGAGGGGGTCAGCGGGCAGCTGGCTCGGTTGGAGAGCCTGGTCGAGCGAGAATCCCAGATGCGCGCTACTCTGGGGTTTGAATCGCAGAAGATCAGCGAGAGGGGTATCCTTGAGACAAAAGAGGGAACCAGGAAGATCAATGTCACCGTGACTGAAATCCTGGATTTAGAAAAGAAACGAGATACAGATCAGCACATGAAGAAGGAATTGGAGGATCTGGATAGGACCCTCGACAGGCCGAGCAAAAGCTGGCGGGTGAATCAATCCAGGTTCCGGCGACTCCTGGATGAGAGGATCGCTGGAAGTGGGGAGTGGCTCGCAGCAGATCCCTTCTATACCTCGTGGGCACGAATGGAAAGCCCATCGATGTCAAGACTAGGGATTGCAGGAGGGGAGGTATAGGGAAGTCGCTCCTTTTCACCAGTGCTATCAAGAACTTGCAGGAGAGCCACTCCCCGATCGCAGATGATTCAAGGCGTACTTCAGTTGCCTACTATTTCTTGGACCAAGAGAGGGGGACTGCTGGATCGCTGATCCGCGCTCTGAAAGTGCTTGCATGTCAAATCGCCAATACTGATCCGGTCTACCGCAAGGAGCTGGTCTCCATCCAAAGCGCCAGTGCCGCCGCGGATGTGGGAGTGCTGTGGAATAAGCTATTCTCCAAGTCGTACAAGACCGACTCGACCTTCTTCCTTCTCTTGGATGGTCTTGAACGCGTCAACCGCGAGCAGCTTAAACAGTTTGTTTACCTCCTTGCGCACTTGCAGAATGAGTCTGCAACCTTGGGGCGACTCAGGCTTCGGATTCTCCTCTCTGGGCAGGACGAGGCGGTCGGCAGGTTCAAGGACCAGCTTGGGCACGAAGTGGTTCCAGTCATCGATCTGGCGCTCAAGAACGGTGCGGACCTGCACAAATTCATAGAGAACCGCATCGACCGGCTGGAGAATCTTGCCGGCTCATCGGAGGACAGTCGCGCCCTTCGGAGCCAGGTGATGGAAGCCCTGACAGCAAAGGCGCACGGTGACTTCATCAATGCCGGGTTGCTGCTGGACGAGGTCGGCGTCCAGCAGCGCCCAGGCGACATTCGAGCCATCCTGTCGCGCTCGGGCAGCAGCAACCACCAGGACACCATTGCGAGAAAGATAGCACGATTGAGCGAGACCCTGCGCAAAACCGATATCACCGATCTGAACGAGATTCTCACCTGGATGATGTACGCTCCCGACCGGGTGCTGCTGGCCCAACTCGAAACCGTGCTGCTTCTGAAAAACGGGGAACGCTCGCTGAAACCGCTGTGGATGATCATCACTGACCACTACTCCGCTCTCATCTCGGTCGTGGGCGTGGCGCGCGGCGATGTGAAAAAGGGCTTTCCCCCGTACTCGCGGGTGGTGTTCGCGTCGGACGTCGTCAAGCAGTTCTTCCGCCATCGAGCGGAGGCCAAGGCTCAGAAGAAGGCTATCCTCCACGAGCCAGCATCGAGTCTCCCCGAGCAGGTCACAGAAGGCGAAATCCGCATTGTCCGTCGGTTCCTGGAGTCGGTCTGCGACCCCGACCTCTTCCGGAAGCTTGGCTTCGAGCAGTATTTCGGCCAGCTGTTGAAGGGAAAGACGGCTGCGCCGATCGATATCGACGCAGAGGATACGGCACATCTGCGAATGCTCAGCACTTGTCTGAAGGTGATTGGCTCAGACTCATCTAGTGGCCTGGGCCCCCTGCTGGGGTATGCGATGAATCATTTCGCCCACCATCTAAGCCAGTTGGATCCTTCGCTGGTCGGGGCGGAAGATAAGTTAGCCCTAGGGCCCCCGTTAGTGAAGCTGTTCCAGGACCCTCAGACCATCCAGCGCTGGTGGAGACGTGCCGGTTACTATGATGCCGAGTTACGATCGGCTTGGATCTACACAGACCCGTACTCGGAGGTCGTGATCAAATGGCTACAGGAATCCGCCATCATCAAAGGGCTTTCCGAATCACAGAAAGACTGGGTAAGAACTCTGACTACCAAGTCGGAACCTGATGCAGACCTGCTGGAGCATATTGCACGGCATTGGATTGGTTTATGTAGATCGAACACCGGAAGAATCCACAGGTGCGTCGCGTGACAGACGATTCGCAAATTTGGGAGCTGGACAGCTCCCGAATTTTTGCCGCGGTCGACTGGGGCCGACAGCAGGTGCAGCCAGAGGTTCCAGAAAGCAGGGCCATTTTCATCCTTGCGATGACGTTGCACGCCTACAGAAAGTTTGACGAGGCGATTGAGCAGTACAAACTCGCGATCTCCCTCGCACCAGCCGACTGGAATATGCAGTGGCGCCTTGCAGAAGCGTTCTCCGGTAATCAGGACTTTGCATCGGCCATACAGACGTTGGAGGCAGCCAAAGGACTGGCTGAGTTAAACCAAATCCCCGAAGGTTCCCCTGACGAGCCCGTCTGGTTCCTTGCTTCTATGCGGCAGCAGCTGGCTTGGTGGTACAATGCCAGTGGCCAACCGGACCGGGCATTTGCCATGTATGAGGCTCTGATGCAGGACTACTCCAACAGCTACCGTCCCGTTCTCGAGATCATGCGAATATGCCGCGCGGGGGCCCAACACAGCCGTCTGCTACAGTTCCTACAGTCTTTAAGGAACACTCCAAGTGACTTCCCGGAACTCAACCAGCTCACCAGGGCATATTGCTTACTCTGCGACGAGAAGGACTTCCACGACATCCTCTTCACTTTGGTGCGGGTGAACATCGAGACCTTTGATATGGCCTGCAATCACTACCGCATGTCAATCGCTCATGCGACAGATCAGTGTGTCAAGGCCAAAGAGGCGGGTGACGAAGAGCGGGCGGAGGTCCAGCAGGGCCGCCAGGGAACTCTCATGTACTACCATGCGCTGCTGCGCTACGAACACGCCAACCAGGATGTTGCAAGTAGGATGAATGCCATCGAGGAGTGGGAACGTCTCTGGCAAATGGAACATACGGACCCTCTGGAACACGTCTACTATGCGGTGAGACGGAGGCTCCCCCTCGCCTACTTTCACGAAGCGCAGCAGCAGCAGCAGCAGCAGCAGCAGCAATCTGAACGCATGGAAGCCCTCTGGCTGACCAAACTGGAGCAACTCGCGGAGCTGAGCACCGCGGAGTACCTCACCTGGGCCGACAAGCAGTATCCCGCGCGGCTGCTCGCCCGTTACCATGCCCTGCGGGGTGACTTGGGGAAAGCCCAAGCCGTGCTACGCGCCCACGTCAAGATCGGCCTTGACATCCTCTCGGACACGGACCCGCTGAACGATCCGGACGGATATTTCCGTCTCGCGTTCCACTTCATGTTCGTGGACTTGGACTACGAGGCCCTGGCGGCGTGGTCGATGATTGTCCCCAAGCTCCTCGGCGGCGCAACAGGAGATAAGGATGTTCAGAATGGGAAGCTCGAGGGCCCTCTCCAGGCCCAGTGTGATGGGAAATGCGGGACCACCTGGTCGTACGCAAATGACCTCTACGTCTGCAAAGAATGCCAGATTGTCCAATTTGACCGAGCTTGCTTGGAGCGGGGGCGCCAGGGGACACTGGAGCTGTGTGATGTCTGTGCACCGGACCACGAGATGCTGTACGTCCCCGCATATGATCCGGCCCGGCGGGAGAGGATCGGTGAAGGCAATATTCAGGTGGGATCCGAGCCTGCCATTTCGGTTGACGAGTGGGTCGCGCGGACCAGGCAGTACTGGGGAATCAAATCCTGAGGGTTTGGGGTTTGCTAATCGGCTGTATACGCCGGGGAGGAGTATGGCGTCCATCCTGCACATCCCTAGGTTGGCTGTGTCTTACGTAGGTTATATTCTACCTAATGATGGATTGAATGATAGTACTGGATTTTGATTGCTGAATTAAGTTCCGCGCACCAACCTAACGCTCATGTTGAGCATATACAGCAGTCCATGTATGCACATACCACCTCTACATTCACCCGCGTATCCCACCTGCATTGAGTCCAACGCAACCATCCAAGTTGACGGTCGCAAGGCAGATACTAGGTATCATTCCGCAAACGCTTTAGCCACAGGCACTACATGGGTGACCGGCCATCCATCAGCTGGCAAGCTCAATCAAATCCCGGATGACGCTGGCATGGACCTCGTCGTATGTGTAGGCCACAAACGGCATCATCCACCATACACATGTGATTCTTCTTTGCACCGTGAGCCGCCATTCTAGTCTTCGCGTCAGCGTCCGAACTTCGATGCTTCTCCATTCCTTTTTCTCTTACCTTGTGGACCTTGTGGGCTCGGTGGGTCGGACAATAACGCGGTAGGCTCAACTGCCCAGTGGCTAGCCACCGACACGCCAAAGGGGGCGTCCGCCCGGGTCTTGACTCCGGTCGGGGTATCTCGTAGCCAGGTCTCGAAGTGGATGTTCTTTTGTCCCCATCCGCGTGCGCCAGGCACTATCGTGATCACCTGGCTGAGGAGGTAGGTTTGGATCGGGGGTGTTCCCGCCTCCGCTGGAGTTTGAAGCCACTCGTCCTCGTACCGCTCGGGTGCAGTGGGCGCGAGGTCAATATCAGTGACTACCGGATTCAATTTGATGAAGACTGGCTGATCTTGGAGCAGCTGGCGGATGGTGTTCGGGCTGGCTGACGCGGGGATGCCGGTGGTGACGGTGCGATTGTTCGAGACCCGCCAGGTCACGGTGAATGATAGAAGAGAGGCAATTAAGAGCCCTGTCAAGGATATCTTGGGGTGTACCATTGTATTGAATGGTGGGCAAGGAAGGTTTGGAGTGAGTGAGTGAACGATGAGAGCATGGGACAAAATTGCGGACGCGGATTGAGCTTGATGATGATAACTCAACAACAATAATAATAATTAGTGTTGGTCTCACGTGATTCTGTGAACAGCCGCTCAGTTATTAGTTGCGTAAGCACCGTCTATCACTTCAAGTTAACTGTAGTCCTTTTAAAGCCAAGGCTAGATAGAGTAAGCTGAGGGAAGGCTTGTAACTGGCCGTGGTCCACCTGCAGCTGCGAAAGTGCGAAAATGTGGTCTATCGGATAAGAACGACAGACAATCAACTCCAACAAGACCAATAAAAATGCAAGACATGATGCAAGTCTGACCTGTCCAGGTGAGTGGACACCGGGCACAGAGCCGATAATCACTTTTGAAACTCCATGTTATCAGGCTTTGGGCTTACTCAAAACCTAACTCTAAAATCCGGAATAAACAAGATCGCGGGTTGCACAAATGCAATGCCTCGCACATTACCTCCCCTCCTGACTTCCCACAGCTGAATTGCAGATTTATAAACCCGCCGTAATTGCAGTTCCATCTGGCCCACTCTTTTAACAACTCCACCGTCGCGGCAAAGACAATGCTATCGACACTTTCTGCTGCGCTCCACACCATCTTGGGCAGCTGGATCAACCCACCGCCCGATGTCCCGTACATCTCCTGCTTTCCGACCTTGGGCCTCTTGTCCGAAGAATGATCCCATGAGTTCTACCACACCTCCATGGGGCCCTGTTCGACGGCGCGGCTGAGGAAGGGATCTCATGGACCCTGATCGGGGGCCTGCCTGTCGTCTACCTTCGTGACCCGGTCCTGATCCGGCAGCTGTTCGTCCAGAACGCCGACTCCATCAGCCAGTGTGGAAGCCAGACCAAAGGCCCCTTTGGCACCGGCAAGCGCATCGTGCGCAATGCCCTGATCACCGCCGACGGGGAGGTCGCCCGGCAGTGGCATGCGGATATGCTTCGGGGGTTTCACCACCGCCTGCCCCTTTAAGGGTTCCACCCGAAGCTCGTGACGATCGCGCGGAGGTCGAGAAGGGTCAAACGATTGAGACAATGTACGTTGGTGATATAGTCTGATGTGGAGGTGACTTGTTCAAGAGGGTTGAGGAAGAGAGATCCTGTCTGAGGATGGCTTCACGCGGCACGTAAGGGAGTCTACCCGAAAAATCCTTATCTTAAATTATGGAATCTTCCGTACCCCGCACTGTGAGGTATGCTGAAGATTTTCCCTATACACGTACTCAGAATCTCAAAAAGATGAACGTCCAAGGGATTAGTAACGGGTGGTCCGTGCATACGCGCATAGACTCGAGTATCCCCAGCCACGGGCTCCAACAGGAATCCATCGGCTAAGTGGGTTCGGGTATACTACATTTATTATCTGTACACCGGCGGTCATCTCATATCTAATGAAAGCCCACTAATCTTGTTCTAGGTAACATGTTAATCATATATCTGCCAATTCTCCATAAGTAGTGCATTATCGCTGCACAATTAAGAAGATTCACAGTACTTAACGCTTTTGATATGTGACATGGAGAGATAACATTGATCTGGTAAATAAGATATAAGAAGGCTAAGATTGGCGCCACCGGTTTTTATTGGGCAAATATGTTGCCACACAGTGTAGTGTACCGTTCTCTTGGAGTGAAAAAGAAAAACCTAATACGCGTATTCGAGCAACCCGCCCGCCTAGCACGGGTCAAGTGGAGTTAGATTGAGCGCTGGTTATAGGTAGGTCCATGGGCTGTCTACAATCGGCACAAGTATCTTCAAAACACGCCACAGACTCGGGTTTCTGGTTATGGACGATCCCCAATCTAGTATTTAGATATATATAGAGTATTTCTGTTCTTTTGATGCCGATCCCAAGGCATTCACTCCGTGGTCTCTTGCTTGATCTTTCATTCTTTTTGACGTAGCATTCTGCTGCATTTTTGTTTTGCTTCTTGCTTTTCTCTCTATCTCCAACCCTCCGGTTTGTCCGCACCGATTGCTCAACATGCCAGAAATTGTTCGTCGCTCATACACTTTTTGGTACTATACCCCCTCACTGGCTGCGGCAGTCATCTTCATGATTATTTTCATGGGATTGACTGGGCTTCATTCCCGGAAGATGTTCGCAACTAGAACCTGGTTTTGCATTGCGTTCACCCTTGGTGGCTTGTGTATGTTGGCACACTTTAGAATGGATCTGCCTACCAAGCTTAAAAAAGCTAACTCTTCTTTCCCAGTTGAAATCATTGGCTATATCGGTCGCGCCATCGCACATAGTAACACGACCACTATGGGGCCATACATACTGGCAAACATCTTCATTCTACTCGCTCCCACTCTATTCGCCGCCTCGATTTATATGACTCTGGGCCGTTTAATTCGTCGCGTCGGGGCTGAACATCTTTCGGTTATCCGCGTCTCACGTCTGACAAAGACCTTTGTCTGGGGCGATGTTCTGTCTTTCATCGTTCAAGGCAATTCCTCTTCCCTCTCGGTTTTGGGTTATGATCAATGGGGAAAGGTGTGTGTCATTGTTGGACTAGCGATCCAGCTTATCTCATTCTCCATTTTCTGGCTCTCGGCCATTGTATTTGAGAGGCGTATCCGCCGCAATCCTACTCCCCAATCTCTCCAACCGGGAATTCCATGGAAGAAGACATTATACATGCTTTATGCTGTGAGTGCTTTGATCATGATCCGCTCCATTTTTCGCATCATTGAATATGTGCTTGGGAACAGTGGATATCCCTTGCAACACGAATGGACGATGTATATCTTTGATTCTGTCCCTATGGCGATTGTCATGATTATCTACCTGACGTGGTATCCCAGTGGTATAAAGGCCAAAACTGATATTGAGGCAAGTATTCCCCTTGGACATGTGTACTCGAAGGTCTGATCGAGATCATTGGAGCTGAGGCTGTCTTCTAATGCTAGATTTCTTCCTTCCAATTGCTTTTACTTGTTGGTACTCTTTCTTTTTTTTTTCTTTTTTGTTTTGATCGAAAGCATAGCATTGCAGGCTTTCTTGAGTTGGAGAGTGATATGCGTTTCATGCAATTTTTATAGGTAAAGGTCACGTTCTTGTGAGGCAGAAATACAGGAACTCAAGCTCCTTACACATAATCACCGTCATCTTCTGACTCATGCTCACGACTCATATGTCAGAATTTGTCACCAACAAATAAATAACATTTTGCGATAGAACGATAAAGGGTGGAATAATACCCCTTCGTGATTCCTTGGTCCAGGTATGCGAAAAAAGGGGTCAGACGGGGATTCCGGGTTGCTGTTCCTACTCATTCACGAACAAATGATGAGTTACAGAGGCAGAATCTCAAGCTTGCTGCATATGAAGACTGGCAGAAACTCAAGTCTTATACTCAGGAGTTGCTGCGGTCGGACGATGACGGATGGGTGCCTCACCAGCTTGATTTTAACAAGGTCAAAGCCAAGCATGATGATCTGCTTGAGTTCGTCGTCCAAAGAGAATCAGGAAGGCTTTTGAAAGCGGAGGCAAGTAAGCTTTGGTTCCATACTGTGGATAACAAATGAAGGCTGAGACATAAGTGATTGGATAGACTCTGTCCGTATCTCAACTCAAATGCTGATTCACTAGAAACGCAGCCGGAACAGCTGTTATATGTTAGCAGCGATGTTGACCTCCATACGAGGAGCTTACACTATCTCCCGCGAGGTATAGAGTGGCGGAAAGTCTACGCACCGAGTCAATGCTCCATTTAACAAACGGATGGAAGTCATCACCGTTAGCCCAGACCACTGGATGGCAATTCAAGCTGGGGTCGGGTAAGTGACACCATTGGGCCTAGGAACCTGCCACCCAGACTCGATCCCTGACGGCTGTAGATCTGATTGTGTTTTATAATAGCTTGACCCATGTGTCGTCTGAACCTATATCACTTTCCTCACAGCCTTCTGAAAGCAGTGCTGAGAATATGTTCTATTACTGTTGGTCGTCCGTATGAACGTAAGCAGACAGGAGTGAAAGCAATAAGTTACGTAGCGCATCTCCCTAGCTGAATCTATCTGAGGGCGGTGAGAGTCAACTGGCTGCAAGGAGGCGGCAGAACCCTGCGCTCAAAGCGCCAACATGTCCGACTGTCACTTGCTTAATACGTGGCTTTAAGTACGGCTGAGTGGGCGGGAGGCCCTATCTTTCACACCCCGTGGTTGTAGTGCTAATTCTCTGGTCAATATGATTTGTACATCACGTGGGTTATTAGTAACAAAAACAAGAAAAGTATCGGCGGAACTGTCCACGGGTGTGGGACAGAGCGCTATGCATAGGTTCTCAACACTTTGTGTTCAAGTTGCAGATCTGGCTCCCAAAACAACCAAAAGAAAAGATTTCCTGGAGCACCCGCTTAATATAAGTTAGCTTGGTACAGTAAGCCTTTGCTTATATATGACTAGTTTTCCCTAGGTCCTCGACTAGCCCCCTCGCTACCAAAATGAGCCTATGAGGGGGACTGTGTTGGGGTAAATGGGTCAAGAGTGTGGCCTTTCCGTCTTTCCGCGGTGACTCCCCCCATCTGACTAGATAAGCTTCAGCGTTGTGAGTTGTCGGATTGCGAGACTTATCTCTGATCTGCATGCCCGGATCCGAACCTTATTCCTAGCCGAGAGGATTCCCCGACGATCTAACCACTCATCCCACTGCCCATTCGTTGCCTCGGTCTTGCTCGTATCCGCAGAGAGGTCCATAATGCTCAATGCTGTGGGAGTCTGGCCTGGAATTTGCCGACCGGTCGCATACCAAGGGCTCACACTCACAGTAATACTGCATACATATACCCGGTCTCGCTGCTCATCCCTGCCTTCCAATTCAGTGTGCTTCCCTCAATTCCCTCCCACTCACCATGTCCTCCATCAAGCTGGATTCGTTCTCCCCCGCCGAGGTGGTCGAGCTCATTGCCCGCACCGGCGCCAGCAAGGGCCACATGCGCCTGGACAAGGTCTTCTTCAGCGCCGTATCGGCGGGCTCTCTGCTCGCCTTCGCCTGCGGAACCTCCTTGAGCACCAATTCCTCGCCGTGGTTCACGGAGAATGCGCCGGGGCTGCTCCGCACCATCAGCGCCTTGGTCTTTCCCTACGGTCTGTGCATGATCATCCTAACCGGGGCTGACCTCTGCACCGGTTCTTTCATGGTATTTCTCGATCCCCTCTGGGAGATGTGGCTGCATGAAATCTAACCCCCAGGTCTGGCAGTTCACAACCGTCGCCGCCCTTCAACGCCAACTCCCCTGGTGGAAAATGCTCCTGCACTGGTTCGTCACCTTCTGGGGCAACCTGTGCGGCTCTCTCTTCGTCGTCGCCATCATCTTCGGCTGTGCGTCCTTTTTATTTTCCCCTCCCCAACCTGTGACCTGGATATTAATTTTCACCCCAGACGGAGGCATCTTCACCGCCGACCCCTACAAATCCGAGGCCATCGACTACGCCACCAAGAAGCAGCTCACTCCGTCCTTCCACGAGATCCTCCTCCGCGGCATCGGCTGCAACTGGCTCGTCTCCCTCGCCTGTTTCTTCGGGTTGCAGGGCCGCGACCTCGCGTCCAAGGTCATCGGCATCTGGTGGCCGATCTTCGCCTTCGTGTCCATGGGCTTCGACCACGTCGTCGCCAACATGACCTTCATCCCGCTGGGGATCTGGTTGGATGCCCCGGGCCTCTCGGTGGGGCTGTATATCTGGAAGGGGATCATCCCCACATTGATTGGGAATATACTCGGCGGTGGATTTTTCGCTGGTAGGTTTTCTTCTTTGGGTGCTTGGTGGGAAGGAACGGAGAGACGTGGGCTGGCTTTGCTGACGATATGCGTTGCAGGGACTTATTACTGGTATATGTATCTTGTCGATGGGGGCAGTGTATCGTTGGCGGGGCTGAGGAGGCGGACGTACGGCGGGGAGGTGGGGTCCGGGGGGTCCGGTCCGGGAGAAGGGGAGATGGTCGATGTTGAGGCTGCTGCTGCGGTGGGGGATGTGAAGAGGGCTTGAATGGTGGGCTGTGATGAGATCATGATCAAATGCATGCTGTCTGTGGAAAAGAATATTTAGACTTCATATGAATTAGACTTTACAGTGTTTCATTACTAGCTCACACGACGGAATTCCTGCGGTATCAGGATTAGTGCTGGCATTTTTGTGGCAATATATATCTCTAGGCAAGGGTAAAGGGATGCACAAGAAAGCCCAATTATTCCAGTGGAAGGTAGTGTTATAGTAAACCTATCTGGCTAGTAGTGTAGGAGAAGTGTGGAGTGCCTTGCATGTATACTGTATCTGGTTCCACGAATCTCCAGAACATACAGTTTTAGTTGGTGACAAAAGTACTCCGACTGTGCTCTGGCCGATTATGCTAGTTCAAGCATTCAATAAGAACAGATAACCAGCTTAAGAGCCTCTTTTCAGCAACTGGGGCTGTGGTTTAGTGGTATAATATTCCCTTAGCATGGGAGAGGTCCGGGGTTCGATTCCCCGCAGCTCCATCTTTTTGTTGTTTTTTTCTCCTTCGTTCTCCATCTATTATTGCCTCAGGCCAGGAGTATCCCGTCCTGTTCGTCGTGCGGGACAGTGCTAGCAATTTGTCTTATTGGTTGAACAACGACGAGCTAGCCACACTAGGTATCCATGTGCTATCGTTCCAATGGTCCTCGTGCACTAATTAGCAGTAGTTAAATACCAGACAGCCCACTGGAAAAATCTGTTCTAGCTGGAAGTGTGTTGTCATGGGACCTCTCACTTGCACTAGCCTCTTATCTCTAGATTAAGCCGGGACCATTGGTTGGAACCCCACATGGGAAGAGGCCAGCACCTAACCCTGATTTCTGTTTTATACACCCTTGAAATCAGCCAACAAGCACTCATGACAGTCTCCGGTAGCTTCCCTTTTCTACATAACTACACCGCATATGACCAACCCAGAATCCCACCCAAAAATGTCGAGGAAATCATCCAGGTGGACAGTTTCTTTGTTGAGCCGGAGGGAATCCCGGCCCAGCCCAACGACAGGGGTGTGTTCTTAGTGAGCACTAGCCCTTGCCTATCTTATAGCTTCCACCAATGGTAGACAGGCAATACAGGCGAGCTGTAGAGATCCCTGTCGATGGCCAAATCGAGCACAGCCTAGCATGGCTGCGGGCATAGACAGTGGGGAAACCGGTAATACGACCACAACAGACGAGCTGCCGACCCTGTGCAATGACTGAGGCGGAGCATCCTCTAGTGACTACCTAATACTTACGCTAGAAGGGAGCCCACGTCTTAAAAGACCCCACGACGCCGCTGGTTGCTGCGACTAGTCATCTGGCACTCGGTAACTCTCACACAATATGGCACTCTCGAGGCTTGCATGGAGCAGCCTGCCACTCTCATGGCTTCTCACGACGCCACAACAGTGTCTCGTCCGCGCCGAGGGCTTCACCTTCCCTACCACCGACGTGGACGAATTCATAGTCGGAGACCTGGTCAATGTCACCTGGGACACGGTCTCACCGCGCATCTCGCTCTATGAGACGTGCGCCATGGCCGTCCTTTTAGAATGTAGGTCCTTCAGCCCTATGCTTCCCTCAGTCAACCCCAGACACAAGCACCGCTGACCCTGATGATCCAAAGCCAACGTCTCCAACACACAAAGCTACGTCTGGAACGCCACCCGAGACCACTACACAGAATCAGGTTGTGCATTCGAGCTTGTCCCCCTGACCGACGAGGGTTCTCTCATCCCCCCCAACCTGACCAGCGTTAGCTTCGGCGTCAACAAACGATACACCGATGACCCAGCACCGACCTCCTATAACTTTGGCGACACCCCCTCCACCGCCACCTCCGCCGTATCGACAAACACCCTTTCCTCCTCCACCACCATCACTGCTAACCCATACACCGCATCCGCAGAACCAGCATCAGCAACAACATCATCCTCCATCTCCAACGAACAACCCACCGCCATCGCAAAGGGAGGCCTCACCACCGCCCAGAAAGTGGGAATCGGGCTCGGAGTCCCGCTGGGCGTTCTGGCATTGTCACTGGCCGGGGCGTTGCTGTTCATGTACCGTCGTCGACAGCGTCGGGGGCGCGGGGATGGATCGTCTGCGCAGCTACCATTGCCGCCACCGCAACAGCAGCATCTGTATCATAGTGTTCCGGCGATGGCTGAGCAGCCGAAATCCCCGTTTGACGGGTCACGGATGTCGCGGGTGTCCGGGGCGGAGACGCTGATTGCGGAGCTCCCGGCGGCAGATGTGGAGGCTGATTCGGAGAGGGGGGATAGTTTGCGGCCGGTCAGTGAGCTCATGGGGACGCCGAGGAATGAGTTGACTTGATGATGAGGGATGCTGGCTTGGGCGTGTAAGGTGGGATCTGTTGGTTATGCTCTCCCAGCGTTGAAGTTTGTTGATGGATCGCGAGTTGGGCCTTGGGTATGGGGTATGTAATGTCTTAATGTAATGGTAATAATAATGTGTTCGAGTCAGTATTTACTAAACATTAGGCTAGTACGTACTGTGTTTATACAAACCAACAGTATTTTTGTCTTTTCTATATGCCTACATATGGGATGAGAGCTAACTTTAATGTCAACACTATAACTTCATTCGAACCTTGCTTTCAGCCCGAACTGTGTACTGATGATGATGATGATGATGATGATGATGATGATGTAGGACTTATTATACAAATAATCTAGGTCTGACCTCGCCCCGTGAGTCAGTTGATGAGGATCATTCAATACGTGCATTGTTTGTCAGGTTTATTCTGTCTGATCTGTTTGTCCTACGCGTACTGGTTGCACAAACGAAAAAGAAGAACAACAACTACTATGCCGAGAACGTACGGCGAAGTCAGTCTGTTGTCTATGAGAGTATTGAATAATCTTTGAAATGGTATCCTGTCAGCTTCGCCGTGCCAGTCCCCCAAGACCCTCGACAAACAAGCCCAGCAGCCGCAAGCGCAGGCCTCATCCATGCGACCCTCGTACCATTGGAAATCCTCCTATAGTCGATCCTCAACCTCCCCCACCCCGAGAACATAGGCCACCGAGGTCAACGGCAGAATCGAAGGTCTCTCATACCGCAATCTGCTGGGCCCAACTCAGTGGCCTTCCGAGTCGTCCCTGCCGGAATTCGCGCCTCTCGTCCAACGGCTCATCAAGAAGAGAACCGGGGTGGCGACCACCATCCGCAAGCTGGCTGCCGAAGCTATTGTGAATGAAAACAGTCTGTCAGACCAACTGTTTGGTGCCAAGCAGCAGTATCGCGGACGGATGATCAAGTACCCATCTCCTCCGACCGATGCGGATCCGGCAGCGGTGCAGGCCCTGGGTGCCCACCAGGATACCGCGTTCGCAACCCTCATCTGCCAATTGACCGACCACAGCTCGCTGCAGGTGCAGAATGCCCAGGGAGCTTGGATTGGTTGTCCGCCTGTGCCTGGCACACTGGTCTACGTGGTCGGTAAGGGCGCAGATGCGGTGACGTGCGGTGTCTGCAAGGCAAAACACCTAGGCCCAGGTACATGCTGCCTGTTATTTCTGGTAGAGGATACCTGAGCGTGCATCGGACTACTCTGAATACTCATGTGCAGAGGAATCACATGAAGGACTGAAGGCAATACAAAGTATATGTTAGCATTTGAGTTTGCAGTTATAGTACCAAAAGCGTCCCGACTGACCAGGTATCTGGTAACCTTTTGCTGAACGGTCAAGGGCTATTTCCAGCAGTATGTCTCTCTGAAGGCTTCTATCTCCCTGATTGTATACCTTAATCGGTTAACTTCAATGAGATACATTTGGTCTGGGTAATATGCAACGAACTATGTTCGTGGTCCATAATTTTGGACTTCAGTAGCTGTTCTATCTCATATAACCTGGTCATGGAGGATAGAGTCTCTAAGATTATACCAGTCTAGCCATCCTTTCTTCTCCCAGCTTTTACCTTCAGCCATCTTTTGTCTCATCTATGATAGGAAGATGGTCCGCTTGTCTACGGAGGTGACATATCCAGTCAGAGTCAACATCGAAGTATGATGACTTGTCGAAGGCGTGATGCGAATTCAACTAAGAAGATACCCCACAACAGATCAGCTTAAAAGGCAGTTCCTATTGTTACCGACGGAACGGGTGGTCGTCATAACAACGATAGACAGCGACTGGGATGCTGGGACTTTGACACGCCAGTCTAAATTGTTGTGTCGCAAGGACCCAAGAAGGGAAGTATCGGGGTACTCTTTATCCAGTAGTAGATGATATCACGATCACTGCAGTCACACGCTCTAGACGTGGAGATCAATATGCGTTGAATTGAATTAGCCCGACCCATGACGCCGCGTCCAGGTAGATGCGCTCGCAAGCTGTCGCGTAAACAATGGTAAACAGCTGCAAACAGGCTTGAACTACAAAACTAGACCTCAGAGACCGTTCCCCAATTCCAGATCATGACAACTCGTCATACACATCGCGCAGGGCAGATTCATTTTCACGGCTCAGCTGGGGTTAGGGTTTTCGGGAGCCTCGTGACGTCGGAGGAGCATGGAGAATCCCGACTTCCCGGTGTCGGACCATGGAACCTGGCTGGCCATTCAATCAATAAACAAAAACATGTGAACGTTTATCCCCGTGCAATTCGGAATTGCCCACACGTGTCCTACCTTGTACCAAAGTCTGGATGCGGCAAAGTCAGGGCCTGCCGACGGGTCTTGCCCTTCCTGGCATAGCCCCTTTGTTTCAGTAGGACTATGAGAGTTTGCTGTACACACAAGGTTTGTAGAATGAAAGAGTTTGGATAGCTTCAACGTGGTGGCTTAAGTGATGATATATGCAAGCACTACAGTCAAGTCTTTGGTTCATTTTCTGTTTATTGTCGTATCGCGCTGGCTGTCAGACTAGACCTCGAAGGCCATGTACCGCGTCATGGCACGCCACAAACCATGGAGCTTGTCAACCTGTCAACCCGATGCTACCATCATGCTATTCAGACTTGGGACACGTAACACAATTATCCTATGAATGGTAGACCCTTGAATCGAAACAGAGAAAGGGAATTTCAGGTTTTGAGCCGAAGAGAAGCATCGCATATCTTGAAAAGGTGTATACCCCGCCAACCCCGAGGCTAAGGGCAAACGTATATATAAGTGGACTTGTTCCTCAGCCTTTGTTCAAAGCTGTGGACTGTTTCACATTGATTGTTACAAAGTCCAAATCCAAAGCCGAGCGGAGAACCCAAAACTGAACGAAACAGCTTGAAATTATATTTCAGACCAACATCGAAAATGGGTTCCTTGTTTCAATCCACTATCGACAGGATCATTTTATCCCACACCGCGAAAAGCCCTCAGGCTACGGCTGTCGAAGATGGCGACCGCAAGCTGTCATATCAGGGCCTCGAGCAGAAAGTAGCCAGCCTCACCTCCATGCTCGAGGAGCACGACCTCAAACATGAAGAGCCAGTCTGCATCCTGGCGAATCTCGGCGTTGAGGTCGTTGTCGCTCAGCTGGCTCTCATACGCCTTGGCTTGACATGTATTCCTCTGATTCTATGTACGCCCAGGCTTCGCCTCATGAGTATCCTCAAAGATGTGGGTGCAAGATATGTTCTTTCGGACTCGGAAGGCATTCTCCTGGATAGTGAATTCACGGTCCTTCCCATCACAGTCCGCAACGAAGAAAAGCAGACCCGTGACGCGGACCGTGCTAGCTGCGGCGACGGTGTCGATGGCACCCAAGACTCATTCGTGGAGTGCCAAAACCCCAACTATCGCAGCCACATCCTGTACACCTCTGGATCTACCGGCAAGCCCAAGCCGGTGCAGGTCATGGAGCGAAGCATTCTGCATTTGGCAACCAAGAGCCCCCTCGGAATCCTCGACCCGACCGATAAAGTGGCCATGATTAACAACCCCGGCTTCGACATCTCCCTGTTTGAGATCTTCTCCGGCCTCATCGGAGGAGCGACGCTTGTGATCGTGCCTCGCATGGTGGTCACGGACCCCTTCACCTTCCGCGAGTTTATCGTGGAGAAGAGACTCTCGGTCATCTACCTGACCTCCACCTTGTTCGGCATCATCGCCCACGCCTGCCCGACCACCTTCCACAACGTCAAGCACCTTTTGATCGGCGGAAGTATTGCCAACGTCGGAGCAGTCAAGGCTGTCGTGAATTCGTCTCTGCCCCCGAAACATCTCTGGAACACCTACGGTCCTACCGAGATCACGACCCATGCCGCGATGCATCTGGTCACCCCGTCAGAGTTCCAGTACGATAACATCGGCCTCGGAAAACCTTTCGGGAATGGACGCCTTCGGCTGGTGAATGAAGACCTCAGTCCCATCACCACCCCCGGCGTCGTCGGTGAGATTCTCCTCACTGGGCCCGGCTTGACACGCGGATACGTTGGCCTCCCCGAAGAGAATCAGTATCGGTTTGTGCAGCTGGAAGACGGCCTCCGGTACTATCGCAGCGGTGACCGAGCCAGATGGAGAAAAGGCGAGGCCGATGTTCTCGAATTCGCCGGACGCACAGACTTCCAAGTCAAGCAGGGCGGCTTTCGCGTGGAGCTGGAAGAGATCCAGCATATGCTACTCTCTAGCGGTCAGCTCGTGGGCGCTGTCGTTGTGCAGGTACCGGGCAGCAGCGTGAGCGTGGGGGCGTTTATCGTTGCATTCGTCATTCCCGCTATCGCTGATACTCTGCGCCTCGGGGAGCTCGACGAATACCTGGGGGAAAGGCTGCCCGCATATATGATCCCCAGCGATATCGTGTTCCTCCAGGAGTTCCCCTTGAACGATCATGGGAAGATTGATCGCAAGGCCTTGATTCGGAATTACCTGACGGAGCGCGAGCACAAGAAGTTTGAATGTAAGGACAGCCGTGACACCACCGCCGTCGTCAAGGGCCTCTGGTCCTCGTTGCTCAACAAACCGTCTTTCGCCCAAGACGACGACTTCTTCCGATTGGGGGGCACCTCCTTGCAGGCAGCGGCCCTGATAGCCAAACTGCGCGAGCACACGGGCCGAACAGTCTCCATGCGAGGGCTTGTGGAGAACCCTCGTCTCCACGAGCTGGTCGCCTATCTGGGCGAGTTCGTCGAAGGCGGCAATGCTCCCGACGAGGCCGATACTTGGATCGCTGATGCCCGCCTGGCCGATGACCTGAAGGTCAATCCGGCCTGGTCGGCTCAGGATTGGGATTCAGTCATAGACTGGACTGCTCCAGGGGAAGGCCGTCTTTTCCTGACCGGGGTCACCGGGTTCGTGGGGGCGCATTTTCTCTCTCGCTTGCTCAAGATGCCGGAAGTGCAGGAGGTCGTCTGCCTTGCGCGCGCGAAGAGCGGCCAGACCCCCCGGCAGCGCGTCGAGAACACTCTCCGGCGTTACGAGTTCCATGAACGAGTGGCGGATCGCCTCGACAAGCTGACCGTCCTCGAAGGCGATATCACGCAGAAGGACCTCGGGTTATCCGCCGGCGACTACACGCAACTGGCGGACAGCACCAGCGCGATCTTCCACATCGCGGCCAAGGTCAACTACTGCGAGCCCTACTCAGCCCATTTCGAGCCCAACGTTCTCGGAACGAAGAACCTGCTTGAGCTGGCGGCGCAAGGCCGCCGGAAACCCTTCCACTACATGTCCAGTCTCGACGCGTGGGGCGCGACCGGCCTCATCTACGGGACACGGGTGCTCCTGGAGGACGAGCCGCTGCTGCCACACATTGGGTCCCTGGCATTCGACATCGGCTACGCATCCAGCCAGTGGGTGGCCGAGCAGATGGTGCGAGGCGCGCGCGACCGCGGGCTTCCCGCCGTGATCTATCGCCCCGGGTTCGTCCTCGGGGACACCCGCCACGGCGCCGGCAATCCGGATGACTTCGTGTCCCGCCTGTTCATGGGGTCGATCCGCCTCGGGGCGTTCCCGCATCTCCCCAACCAGCGCATGGAGTTCGTCACGGTCGACTACGTCTGCGACGCGACGCTGCACATCGCCGCCAGGAAGAAATGTCTCGGCCGCTCGTACTGCCTGGTGCCGCCCTCGCCCGCCGTCTCCGTGGATATGGAGGGGACGTATGAGATCCTGGTCGCCGCAGGCTATTCGCTGCGCTTGCTGCCGTACTGGGACTGGGTCCGCGAGCTCCAGGAGATCGAGGACCAGGACAATCCGTTGAACCCGCTCCTCCCGATGCTCCAGGAGCCCGTCATCAGTGGGCTGTCGCGCTTCCAGACCAGCCGGCAGACGCCGCGGTACGATTGCTCCAATACCCTCGCCGCGCTCAAGGATGCCCCGGATATCAAGTATGCGCCGCTTAGTGTCGATTTGCTGGGCCGGATGCTGCGTTTCTGGCGCCGCATGGGGGCTTTTTGAGGCGGGTTAGGGCTGATTGCGGAATTGGGCGGGGAAACGGATGGGGTTTGCTGGTGCTGATGGCACAGCTAGTTATGGATCCCCTCCGGGCTCTTGTTCTTCTGCGTTCGACGAAAGCAGCTGGTGTGAATTGTTGCGTCCCTTGGATAAGTGAAAATTGGGAAATGATCATGTAGGGTGGATCTATTATATAAACAAATACAAATGGAATTGCCAAGAAAAGCTTGAAGGGCCGACAAGCTGCATGGATCGTCTGAAAAAGAACTTAAGCTACCGTGCGGAGAGAGTGTGATCCGTGTACCGGCTGGATGCTAAATTTAGACAGAATACTCTTCGTTATCAATTGCAGTGCTAGGTTGAATTGGGATTCACAAATCAGGGCTAAAAAGGCGTCAGCACGACTGACCGCCAAGATAAGAAGCCGAAGGCCTGCCCCTCACAGCTCACAGTACCTTGGTTGATCAAGCTTCGGATGCTACTAACCATAACATCGTTTGTGGCTGTCTGCTCAGTCTTCCCTAGCCACAATGACTCCAAGCTCCACGCAGCTCATAACTATCATATTCACAACTTGTGCCTCACTTCTTGTCCTGATCGTTCCCTTCAGGCTTTGGAAGCTTCGTAAGTTCGGTACCCGGAATCCTTCACGCTGGCTGGGCCGTCTGAAAATTGTCAGTACTACCTTCCGTTTCGTATTGGGAATGAGCAATTAATGTAGGCAAGAAGCTAGCTCTTGGCAATTTCCCTGTCTGTGGTTTTGTCTTACTACTGGGTCCAAGTATCGGCCTTGGATATTGAAGATAAAAATGAAATCCTGATTTCGCTTATCGCGTCTATTGCTGCTGGGCTGAGTTTAGGCTTACTCCTATACAAGGAGCATCAACGATGCTATGGACCCTCCGTCCCAGCGTTAGTGTACTTGGTCCCGGCTACTATATGCGACGCCGGTTACCTGAAGATAATCTATGAAGACAGCTCGAACGGCACTGTCTCGCACATGGTATTTACTCGCTGTTCGATGCACATTATGCTTTTCGTCATTGAGCTCTGCACCTCTCGATGTTCAGACTTCGACGGTGTGGCCAAAGACCATTCCCCAGAGGAAAGCTGCAGCCTCATCAGCCGGACTTTCTTTCTGTGGATTAATCCCATCCTTCTTCAGGGATACAAGAGCATTCTCAGCCACGAAGATGTGCCACCACTGCGCCAAGATATGAGCCCAGCAAAAACACGGCATTCGATGCTAGAAACATGGTCTCAGCGAAGTGCGTCCACCCCCCTTGTACGATCATTTTCATCTTGCTAAATTACACCAGTCAAACTGGAAACAAAGCGGACCCTGCCAATGGCTCTCTACCAATGTCTCAAAGGACCCTTTCTTGCAGCTATTCTTCCGCGACTATTCCTTCTTGTCTTTCGATACTCTCAACCGATCCTGATAAAAGAGTCTATCAGATACGTTGCTTCGGGCCCTACCATCGCTGCCAGTGGGCGTGGCGCTGGACTCATTGTGTCTGCGGTCGCCATCTATAGTGGTCTAGCTGTAGCTCTCCCTCATCTAGTCAAGCATCCTTCTGAACTAATATCTCAATCCAGATCTCGACCGCCATATACCGACACCGGATCAACCGACTGAAGCTCATGACGAACAGTGCGCTGGTGGGTCTGATCCACGACAGAACCATGAAGTCGCCCAGCATCGCGTACAACAACGGCGAGGCGACCACGCTCATGAGCACTGACGCAGACAGTCTCGATGGCATTGCAGAGATGGTCCATGAAACATGGGCTCAGGTTGTCGAGGTGATGATCGGGATAGGGCTTCTGGCCAGCCAGGTCGGCTGGATCTGGCCCCTTCCCCTTATCTTCATATACCGTGGGCGCGCATATTTCCGCTATCTAGGTACTCTGAGTCCGAGGCTAAATGTTGACTAGTCTGTTCGCACATTAGCCGATTCGTCGCAAAGCACCTGCAACCGCGGCAGAAGGCCTGGAATTCAGCTACGCAGCAACGGATAGGTGCTACCGGCTCTCTACTGAGTGCGATGAAAGGAGTAAAGATGCTTGGCATCCAACAAAATCTCACCGATCGCATTCAGGACTTGCGAGAGGAAGAACTACTGGCTGCCTCCAAACTGAGATGGGTTATGGTATACTACAATGCATCGGGTTTGTTATGCACACTTCTCCATCTCCCTTTGACATTGAGTAGGAGGCCAATGGGCCAACAGCCAATGCGCTCGGGATCTTCTCTCCAGCGATCACCGTGGTGATCTATGCTCTCATCGCGGTCGCTCGCGGGAGCACTCTGGACACTGAGACGGCATTTACCACCATGGCTATCTTGAGCATGGTCACGCATCCAGCCAATATGGTGATGACGATCGTCCCGCGTGCGGTGGCTGCATTCGCTGGCTTTGAAAGAATTCAAGCCTTTCTACTGCGCGAAGACCTACCTACTAATCGTGCGGTATTAGCTGAAGACAACCCTGACATGTCCTTGGGGAATGAGGCAACTGGCGAGATAGCACAGGCAGCCTCTGCTATCCGAATCACTCAACTACGCATCGGAAATGAGCAACCTGTATTGGCGAACATAGACCTCAACATAGCCAAGAGGTCATTCGTTATCATATCCGGTGCGACTGGGAGTGGCAAGACGAGCCTCCTGCGCGCTATCCTGGGGGAATTGGTCCCTGCTCATGGATCAGTCAGTGTGTTCACATGGCAGATAGCTTATTGTGCGCAGAAGCCGTGGCTACCCAACGAGACTATCAGGAAGGTAATCTTCGGCGCTACCGAGGTCAGGACCCCAGATAGTGAGAAGTGGTATCATGAGGTCACAGAGATGTGCTGTCTCACCCATGACTTCGACTCCCTTCCTGATGGAGATCAGACCATGTGTGGCAGTGGCGGACTTAATCTGTCCGGTGGACAGAGACAGCGAGTGGCATGTTTGCTGCATCTGCTCCAAGCCGATTAAGCTAACTTTGTCCAGGCCCTTGCACGCGCACTTTTTGCCAGATGCGATCTACTTCTCTTAGACGACACTTTCAGCGGCCTGGACGGGGAGACGGAGCAAAAGGTGTTTAATAACATCTTTGGACCAGACGGACTTCTCAGGACATCGAATGGAACTGCTGTTCTTGTCTCAAACTCAGGTACACTACCGATAACGTCTTGAGGCGTCCAATTTCTGACAGCAGGACAGCTCAATATTTCCGATCTGCAGATCATATCGTGGTTCTCGGTGAGCATCAGATCCTAGACCAGGGACGCTGGGAGAATCTGAAGATCAAAGCTGCATCCATCGAGAAGTTTCCAGGCACTCAACACACGCAAAACAATGCTGTCCTGGCTGCGAATTTCGAGAAGCTTGGCGCTCAACTGCGAGCCAAAGCCGAGACGGAGTTGGATCTTGCGAGACAGACTGGTGACCCAGCTCTTTATGGTAAGGATATATTCCGCAAGGCAGTACATTACTGACCGGGATACAGCATACTATCTAGGATTCATCGATGCCATCAACCTCGCTCTGTTGATTGCCACGAGCGCATCGTACAGCATCTTCATCACCATCCCGCAGTACTGGCTGCGATTGTGGACCGAGTTCAATGGCAGAAATACCACATTCTATGTGTGTGGATTTCTGTTTCTGTCGACTATGTCGTGGATGTCGACTAGTGTCATGATGGGGTACGTCTATCTTTGCTTCGAAAACGTTGTTCCAGTGCTGATAATCAAAAGAATTCTTGTGATTCGGATCGCACCACAGTCAGGGAAACGGCTGCATCAGCGTCTTCTGGATATAGTCGCAAAGTCAGTACCATCAGTTCTCACTGTTTGAGATGAGACATACCAGACGATACTAAGCATCTTCCAGCGCACCTTTGTCCTACTTCTCCAATACAGACAATGGTTCAACCTTGAACAGGTTTGGGTTAGCTTCCGTAGGTATGGATCAATATAAGTTGACGCCTACCAGATTCAGCCAAGACCTCCAGCTCATCGACAAGCAACTTCCCACATCCTTCCAGACTGTCATGACGCGTAAGCCGCCAGTCTCTGATTTCAGAATATTCCCGAGCTGACAATCCAGCCAGAGATATTCAAACTCCTAATGCAAATCACCCTCCTCTGCATCGCCGACAATTGGCTCGCGGTATCCCTACCAGCGTGCGGGCTTGTTGTCTACTTCGTACAGAAAGTCTACCTCCGGACCTCACGACAACTCCGCTTGTTAGAGCTGGAATCGCGCGCGGGCGTCTTCTCCAGCTTTCTGGAATCAGTGTGTACTTCCCCACCAGGTTCAAACACGTTGCATCCCCTCTAACCAAGGGAACAGATCGACGGGCTCGAAACCATCCGCGCGTACGGCTGGTCCGACGCCGCCATCCAGGAGAACATCCAGCGCGTGGACCACGCGCAGCGGCCGGAATACCTCCTCCTGTGTCTGCGGCGATGGCTGAGTCTTGTTTTGGATCTTCTGGCTGCTGCCCTGGCCACGATCGTCGTGGCTACGGCGGTTGCATTGCGCAGACAAGTGAGCGGCGCGCAGATCGGCATCGCACTGAACGTGATGCTCGTGACGAACACCACGCTGCTCAGTCTCGTGGTCAGCTGGACCAGCCTGGAGACCTCCCTAGGCGCGATCGCGAGGTTGAAAACGCTGGAGGAGTTCACGCCGACCGAGGGCGGGAAGGCGGGGGGGCTGGATCCTCCGGGCCACTGGCCTTCCAAGGGAGAGCTACAATTCGACAATGTCACTGCGTCGTATCAGTAAGTGTTTCCCACAAAGATACTCGTCAAAGTTGCCAATTAACCCGATGTCAGTGCGCAACCCAACGCGTTCGCGCTCCGGAACCTAAGTCTGAGGATTCCCGCCGGCCAGAAGCTCGTTGTCTGCGGCCGGACAGGGAGGCAAGTCACCCCTTTCCCTTCCATTGATATGCATCCAGCTGACACGCATGGTGGGATGGCAGCGGCAAGAGCACATTGCTCCTCACCCTCCTGCGCCTCCTGGAACTTCAATCCGGCACCATCAAGCTCGACGGTCTCGACATAAAACAGGTGCGACTCGATCTCCTCCGTCAGCGCGCCTTTATCGCCGTCTCACAGGACGCCCTTCTCTTCCCCCAAGAGACACTGCGCTTCAACCTCGACCCCGACTCCGCCGCATCAGACGAGATGATTGCTCTTGCGTTGGGAAAAGCGGGCCTTCAGAAACATTTTTCCGCTGTCGAGGCGCGCGGCGCAGACGATTCGTTGGCAACTGTCATCGACATCTTGGAAGATAGCAGTGAACACACCGTGCTGGACAGGAAGGTCTCATCATTCTCGGAGCTTTCCGTTGGACAGTGCCAGCTGTTCGCGCTGTGCCGCGCGCTGATCAAGGCGCGGGTGCTGCGGGGACGTGGTGTCAGACCTGTGGTTGTGCTGGATGAGGTCACTTCGGCGCTTGATGCGGAGACGGAGGCGACGATTCAGGGGATCATCGACGAGGAGTTTACCCAGATGGGGCATACTGTTATCGTGGTGGCGCATAGAGTTGGGGGGTTAGTGGAGCAACTCATCCCGGGGAGAGATGCTGTTGCCGTCATGGCGGATGGCAGATTACTGGATGTTGCGGAGGATTTTGCATCGAATGGTGTCTCGCCGATTGGACAGGTGGAGTAATCGGGGTTTGAGGGTAGAGTTGGACAGAAAGAACAGGATTGATTTATCGCAAGGTCCAGTGAATAATGCAGAACCACATTCTCCAACGCTCATATCATCCCCTTTCCACAACCCCAACCCCAACCGCAGAGATCACAGCAAGCGCCAGTGCGTTAAACCCGGCTGCAACCAAGAATGGCAGACTCACGCAGAGGTCGCCCGGCACCATTCCCAGGTGGAACATGCCCGCGAGAAGAGGGCCCGCGATCAACATGCCGACCGAGCTCACCACCCCGATCAGGGTGTAGACGGCGCTCAGCGACCGAGGCGCCACGAGCGATGCCACTGGGGTACGGGCATCTCGCTTCTCCAGTCTCGGCTGAGTTTGCTAACGAAACATTGTTCCGCATAGCAGAACGCATATTTGACCTAATTCGTCCACAGATTAAGATAAAAGAAGAGACACTAGAGTCACGGAGATTCTAACAGTCTCAAATGCAACGCGTAGTTTGGTGCGTATCTTGGCACCTAAGGTCAATTCGTACATATGGCAGCGCTCTAGCCAAGGAGACAAGCCTACGGTGCCGAGGGCAGCTGAAGATAGATTCCGCGCTGCCAACAATAGTGATTGGCGTAAACTGGCGACGACAATCACGTTTGACGATTATCGACAGACGTGGTTGTAAGCTAGGCTTGAGATGTACGGCTTCCACAATTGAGAACCAGCCCAATTTCACAATTTCCTCAGAATCCATGTTGCAACCCCTTAATCGGACGCGAAGTCTTCAAAGTAGAGGAGATGGTAATACGGTTTCCCGAGGACTGCTCACACTAGTGTACATAAAAAAGAACAATGAAAAAGCAAGGGAAACCAATCGCCTAGCTACAGCGCTTTGGTCATCCCGCTATCTATCTTTGAATGGCTTCTGAGTATGTCCATGTTAATGTTATCTTTCAGTGCTATCTCACATTTATAGCTTATGGAAACGGCCCGGGAGAGCTTGTTAGACTTGAAGTTATCCGGAAGGGTGACATCTACAATCGATCGAAGTTCGATCCTCATCCGAGTGCAAAGAAAAGATTTAGCCGTGATGCATACAGCCACGTGACTATCATGAAGTCCTTGTAAGAGTTTCGAATTGTATAGACATTGACTGGTGATGGTATAAGTCTAAGTATGTTTAAGAAGTCGACTCCTTCTGGCGCGATGTTTGTTTGAACTTTTGCTTGACCAGAGCAGCGAAGTTATCCCCTATCTCGTGTCGCTAGGGCATCTGGAGGTATGAAATTCAAGCAAGTCCAATCCACTAAACCAGTCACCACACTTAAGACAGTGCTGACGCCGGTGCGTATTGGTTTCGTGAGCCTCTCGAGCGGCTATTGTCGGAAACAACATCCTACACCACTGGCACCTGGAAGGGTCTTTTGGGTGCCTCCTCCTAAGATGTTGGCTAAGACTAGTCTCCCATGAGTACCGCGAAGGGCAGTGTGGGCATTGGAAGCCGAGGTGCTTGGGCTGGCGGTGCCTCTTAGTCTTGGCTTTGCTCCTAGTTCGTATGTTACATGGAATATTTCTCGGACTTAGTAGTTCGTCGGATGGTTCCAGTCGATCGGACATGGGAATATGAGACCCAACTTGCCGGCAGCCCCGCTGCACCTCTGGGGCGACGGGTGGTTGATGCTGCTCCGGCAGATCAAGACTTTCGTCCACATCGGCCCCCTCGGGCCCGTTCTCTTCGCCGCAATCCCCAGTGCCACAGAGCTCGCTGCGCAGAAACCAAGGGGTTCTGCATTTGGTGCAGCCAAATGTGGTGGGAAGACCATTGGCATCTAACTCTGGCTGCAAAACGACGCATTCGTCATGGTGCATCCCGCCACACCTCGAGCACCGCCAGAACAAAGTGCGCTGAACAGGATGTTGGTGCTGGTGACAAATCTCGCATTCCAAGTCGCTGTAACCATCCATGTCCGAGGGCACGGATTCTACCACCGCCTGCTGCTCTCTTCGTTCCTCTGATGGCAACATCTTTGAACAGACTTGCTCTCCGGGGTGTAATCGCGCTTATGTTTGGTGCAATTGAGAGCCCAGGTGGGGATCTTGGTGAAAGTCGAGTTGATGGACTACGCGCAGTTTTCGAGTTGCGACTGTTGGCTAAATCGTCACAGCCTGATGTTTTGGGTCATTATATACACCTGCAGAGCCCAGGACGCAGAGCATAAACAGGGGAGATGATTGCCTTGTTGAAGTCTGAACAAAGTATCTGTTCTTCTTTGTAATTCCGTCGTGTCTTTAATTTATTGTCTGGTCGGGATAGGCTGCATGGCGCCTACCTTGTATTCTTTATTACATCTTTTTTTGGAACAAGCATAGCAGTGATTTACTCCCAAGAGATCTTCTTTTTGAAGCTCGAAGTGGTTGTCTGATGTGAGGTTGGGTATAGTGGTCTTTGTCGCTGAGTGTACGGGAAGCCCTACTTTTCACCTTTGTGGCTGTACAGTACGCGGTAGTCGGATCGTCGGTACGGGCAATTCAAGTCTAGCAAGACCGATACAACACGCCTTAGGCTTTTCATAACCTGGTATACCCCTAGTCAGACCTACTCAGCCACTAGTCGGGTATGTTTCCACGAGCGCAGAATGATATTTTGTGGTTAGTGTAACCAATCAATTCATCCAAAAATTGTATGTCAACTTCCCAACGCGCCCTCATCTTCTGCTACGGGTTGCAGATAATCCTCCGTCTGGCAAAAGTCTGAGACAACGGCACTGTTCTCGAGCCTATGCTAAGCATTTGTGAATTGTCTGCCGCAATCAAGCTTGCGTGATGGGCCACTAATGCAGGTCAAGTGGAGATGGTCTCAGCACTCAAAGCGGGCCATGTCCCTGATAGGCGAATCAGCACGGCAAGATTCTTATCGTATCCTCACCAAGTGACTAAAACGGCATATTGAGCTATATTCAATCAAGGCGCTAGATGAACCCTTCTGCAGGACCGATGTCACCTCCGTCGGAGGAAACGGAGATTGACCGGCCCACTGAGCCCAGGTGACGAGATTATAAATGTTCCCGTCGGACTGCCACTGTTTCATCTCCACGGTCAGGCTGCAAGTCAAAATGAAGTTTCTGTCCTCCTTCGTCGCATTGTCCTTGGCGGCATTGTCGGGGGCTCTCCCTGCATCTGATCATGTCGTCCATGAAAAGCGCAGTAGCGCCTCTACCCTGTGGCAGAAGGCTGCTCGTGTGAACGGGACCGAGAACGTGATTGTGCGAATCGGGTTGACTCAAAACAACCTCGACCGCGGGTATGAATACTTGATGGATGTGTATGTGGTCCTTTCCCCGAGCCTATGGCAATCGCAACTAACAAGATACAACAGATCAGACTCAGTTTCTCCTAACTACGGAAAGTTCTGGACGCCAGAGAAAGTGGCCGAGACCTTTGCTCCCTCGAATGAAACCGTCACTGCTGTGAGGCAATGGCTCATCGAAGCCGGGGTTGACAGCTCTCGGCTTTCCCAGACAAAGAACAAGGCTTGGATTGTTTTCAACGCGACGACTGCAGAGGCAGAGACTCTCCTTCACACCCAGTATTATCATTACAAGAACGCGGTCACTGGTTCGACCGCCATTGCTACCGATCAGTAAGCCTCTTTGAGACTCCCACACGTGGAATCTGTATTGACAAAGTTAGATATCGTCTTCCCCAGTCTGTCACGCAGCACGTCGACTACATCAAGCCCGGTGTGATCCTGCCACTGACTTCGAGAAAGCGTCAGGCCGGCCGAAAGCCTCTGCGGTACCAGCCTGCCAAGAAAACTACCCCGAACCCCTCCTCTCTTGCCACCTGTGATGAAGCTATTACCCCAGCTTGTGTGGCGGCATTGTACAAAATTCCTGGGGCAAGCAAAGATGTGAGCCCCAAGAACTCACTCGGGATCTTCGAGGAGGGCGACTACTACGCCCAGGAGGACTTGGATTTATTTTTCAAGAACTTCACACGCTGGATTCCCAGTGGGACGCATCCCAAGCCTGCATTTATCGACGGGGCCGAGGCACCTGTTCCGGTTGATGAGGCCGGAGCAGAGTCGGACCTGGACTTCCAGCTGGCATACCCCATTGTTTACCCCCAGGAAATCACATTGTTCCAGAATGATGACTACAACTACGCTAGTGAAGAGATCTACACCTCGGGGTTCTTTAACACCTTTCTCGATGCGCTTGATGGGGTAAGTGCTCTTCCCTGAGTCCCTTCCCAAGGCATACCGCGCTAACTAAGGTCCCTCAGTCATATTGTACCTACTGTGCGGACGGCGAATGCGGCGATGCATCGGGCCTTGACCCTGTCTACCCCGACACAAACCAAGGAGGGTACACCGGACAGCTGATGTGCGGCACCTACAAGCCCACCAACGTTATCTCTATCTCCTACGGCCTGCAGGAAGACGATCTTCCGGAATATTATCAGAAACGCCAGTGCAACGAGTATGAATAAGCTCCTCCTCCCTGAGGAAAGTGACGAATCTAATGTCCTAGGTTCCTCAAACTCGGTCTTCAGGGTACTTCTATCCTGATCGCCTCCGGCGACGACGGCGTCGCGGGCCCGCCGGGCGATTATACCGACGACGGATGTCTTGGAAACGGAACCATCTTCAGTCCCGCGTTCCCCAACAGGTAGGCCTCGTTCACCTTCCACGAAGATGTCTCTTTGCTAAGGGGAACGCAGTTGCCCGTGGGTCACCAACGTCGGTGCGACAAAACTGTATCCAGGGTACACTGTCGCCGACGGCGAGAGCGCCGCCTACGACCCGATCGGCGACCCATACTCCATCGCGTATGCCTCCGGAGGCGGCTTCAGCAACATCTATCCTATCCCAAGCTATCAAGCGGCGGCTGTCGCTGAGTCAGTCGCCCCAGTCCAACTAACCATCTGCCCTGCCTTCGAAACTAACCCAATGTGCGCAGGTACTTCAAAAACCACAACCCACCCTACCCATACTACAAGGGCGCAGCCAACATAGGCAAGAACGGCGGGCTCTACAATCGACTGGGCCGCGGATACCCCGACGTCGCCGCCAACGGCGACAACATCGCTATGTTCAATGCGGGCGGGTACATTCTTGAGGGCGGTACGAGTGCTAGTATGTTGTCCACTACCAATCTCCTCCTGGGACCTCATCAGAAGACGATAGAGCTGATCTATGTTCAGGTACCCCCATCTTCTCTTCGGTGATCAACCGCATCATCGAGAAGCGCATTGCCGCCGGCAAGGGCCCCGTGGGGTTCCTGAACCCGGTGCTCTATCGCAATGCGGATGCGCTGAACGACATCACCAACGGGACGAATCCCGGCTGCGGGACGGATGGATTCTCGACTGCTCCTGGGTATGTAGCCATCGCGCTTTTGCTCAAGTCGTAAGGTGATGCTAACGGTAAATTTGCAGGTGGGATCCCGTGACAGGACTCGGAACACCGAACTTCCCTAAGTTGCTGGAGGTGTTTTTGAGTCTGCCGTAGCGTGGAAATACATACGATGGGGGAACTGAACGTACCAATGAGGGTAATTCATGTGGAGATCTGCGTCAACTCTTTATTCTAGTTCAGAAATCCATGAGATGTATTCCAGAAGTACAAATTTCCGCTGTACGGGTCTATATGATAGGGTAAACTGATAACCGTTCATACAGTACAGTGACTAGCCGCCATTGCAGTTGAGTCATCTTCCCACCGCATTTGATTGTATATACAGTCTGGGGTATAACCTTATGTAAAACGTACCAGAAAGGTCACATAAATTCTGAAAGCTTGAAGACTTGATGGACTTTAATCATCGCCAATTAGCAGTGATGAAGCACGCTCCAAGCAATATACAACGGAAACAAATAAGACACGCTGGCAATTTCTCAGAAACCCCGCCACTTAACAACGGTAAGCGACTTCCACCCCCCGCCTCGGTTCTCCGGGTAGGGCGCCCAGTCTTCCAAGGTGCAGAGCACCTCGAAACCATTCTTCTCGAAGACACGGAGACTCCCGACATTTTCGACAAACGCCGACGCCATGAGTCGCTTGGTGTTCATCCGCGGGACTCCCCAGTCCTGGATCAGCGTCCGCAGGACCAGAGTCATGATTCCTCGGCCGTGATGAGACGGTGCCAGGAAGTCTGAACACGAGAGTAAATCATTAGGGAACAGAGCCCAGAACAACATGAGTAGTCTGATACAGATTAAAACACTGGTGTACTCACAGCCAATCCCCCACGCAATTCCCTCATCCCCCGGCGGCAGCTCATTATTCAGACGCTGCGCCTCAGCTCGTTCCGGACTGTCGTGGCGATACTCGTAGAACATGTACCGCGCGATCTCAATGTCCCCAATCAAGACATCCTGTTTTGGATGGCCCGTCTGTGGGTCCTCTTCTGTGACTTCCCGAATGACCGTGAAGGGACACAGGTCAAAGTACTCTTGCTGCGGAACCGACGTCTGGAATTCGGCGCGTAAAGCCCGAAGGACCGGCTCAGCGGCCGCGCATTTGGATTTGACCCATGCTTCTTCATGCTCGCGCAGATAGGGGTACGGGGGGCCAGTCAGATTGAGGTAGATGCGCGGGTCATTGAGGAGCGGGACTTTGTCGGCGATGGTCTCCTCGAGTTGGTGCAGTCGGTGCGGGGTGAGGATGATGTGGCTGAGCGGTGCCGGGAGGCGCAGGTACGGCTCTTGCGTTTGGGGGTTGTAGAGGATGGGCATGGCGGGCAGCAAAATATGGATTTTATATCTGAGACTATTTCTCCGACGAGACAATGGGCAGTCTAGAGGCTTATTTATGTGTTTTGGGAGTACCTTTTGTTCCTTCACAACAAGCGGATGCTAAGCTCACCTGAGCCTCCATGAGTCATTCCGATGCCGATCCCGAGGCCGCCCCCTGCGATTCTGTTCCGCGTTGTTGAATGAAGAAGGCTGCGTATAGGATTGTTCCATGTCAGCCATGGAGGACACTGTAAAAGCTCGATAGTGCAGCAAGCAGAAACCATGAAAAGTCTAGTATTTTAGTATAGTAAATAAGAAAAGTATTTTTAGTAGAAGACTGGAAGTCTAAAAATACAGTATTGCGCAATCGATGATTTCCAAAGTATGTTTCTGCTCAAGTATATACTGGGTCAAAGCTTTCGTGGGCATGAACCTCTCAGTTTGTTTTTATTATTGTTCCAGATCTGTATATGTGTCAGGGAAGGACCATAATCACGTTCTGCATCACCCTTTAATTCACCTTTCCTCTCTAATAAGCATATACCCAAGGGGCACGGATCATCACTAGTCATTCAGCTCGATTCAGACTTACTTATCACGCAATGGTGGTGCACCTAGTGGCGCTTATATTCACGCTGATGTCATCGCAACAAGGTAGTAGTGTTACGCTGAGAAGATCGGAGGGAATTCCGAATCGCCAACCCCCATCTCAACACAATACCTCAAGCCCCAGCCATCCGCAGTTAGCGGGCAGGTGAAAGGACAATAACACATCATACGAGTGTCTGCATAAGATCTTTCAGCATAGTGAGATATATAAACCCATCCAAACAACTGTCATCATGCAAGTGAGACCTGTCTGTTACCTTGCATACCATAACTACCGGATCAGCGTTCGAAGGAGGAAGTTCGATCAGAAACAGAACGCGAGACACCGTCTGAAGGGGGGGGCATACCAGACTGACTATAGCTTCTTCACCGCGACGGAATACGCTCTGAGCTTCTGATCAATATCAACAGTTTGAAAACGTGATGAATCTCTCTTACGCGGTTGGAGTGTAGAAATCGGCGCGCCTACTACGCCTATCCCATATTGGAAAAGGAGAACCGGGGTGTTGCACTGGGGACATGAAGGACAGTCTGTGAATGCATGCCATGAACAGTGGACGTTACAGTACATGTAAAGTACACCAAGAGCCGATGCTGTGATCCGGGAAGAAAAGTGCTTCGTTCTTGATGTTATTCCATTGCTGGCCGGGGAACTCGAGGGTATGAAAATTTGGAACAGGAGCCTAAGGAAATGACATGGTTTCAAAATATGGTTCGAGACGAGACTATTGAGATCTCCAATGACCAAAAAGAAGTCCTGGGACGTTAAGCACAGTTGCACTATGTGTCAGAGGTAAATATAAGAATGAGTAAAGGTAGGAAATTCCGGATTCTCATACGGATTACTAGTCTCAAAAAGATTCCGACGTACCCATACGCATGTTTGAATTCAATGTGCGATATGAATGTGCGATATGACTTCCTGCCCGTTGTGGGCTGTAATGGAAAAGTCTGGGCGTGCGAGGAAAGTGTAGCCTGACATCCCCGACTTGGAATGGGACACAAATTACTTAGTCTTGAATGTCTGAAGAAGTGTTTGTCCCATGCGATGGCCACACCTAGAACATCAGGACCGGCTCCGGGCTGTGAGCCCAATTGCCGGTATCATGATCCACATATGCTCAGCAAAGTGTTCCATGTCACTCATGACACACAAAGACCCCCGCCGCGACCGGCGCTCCACCCTGACTAGTGGTATAATATGTGAAATAGCGTATATTCAGAACCCATCATCACACGGAAGATAATTGAAGTCCGTTTTCTTCCTTTCACTCTTCTTCCTACCCTTGCGCATGGGAGGAAAGACTCTCATGCAACCTGCAGTCTGCGTAGCAGGATGGATTCAGCCAATTGCGCAAGCGTGAACCATTTGTCAGACAATCGATTCACCAACAGATTCTTTGCATCGGACTCGTGCGCCTGAGAAACTGGCCTTGGCAGAGCGCTGGACAAAGAGACTGGCACGGGTACGGCCCGATTCCGCTCCAAGAAGGGCAACTTTAATCGCCCTGGCCTGGGGTATAGTATTTCCTTGGCGAAGCCAAGAGGGATAAAGGGTTTATGGCTGATTTAAATAAAGTGAAGCAATACGGGTATGCTTGGCAACTTGGAAATGGGTTCACTGTGAGTGGTAGGAAAGGACGCGCGTCCACAGACCCCGCCGGAGTTGGACCCTGCCCTACCTATTTCGAGCCAAGACGCTGACGACGACGTTTGTACCATCATGTCCCTCGCATACAGACTGGTACGGAAAAGCGGCATTGATACTCTTCTTCGCTCTTAGTAAGCGGAAAGACCGCAATGAAGATGTTTGATACCGGCGATGGACAACGATATTGCACCTTCCGTGAAGAGAGGGGAAGTATGAGCAGACGAGGTATAAAAGCGCTCGATATCTCGCTGGGTCTCGAGAGGAATTATCTCTAGCAACAAAAGCAACAGCTTCTCCATAGTAGAAGCTTGATACCTACCATTTCTTGTGCCTTCGCATCAATCATGGTCTCATTCTCAAAGCTCGTTGTCCTAGGGATGGCCGCTGTCGCGGTGGCCCATCCCGGCCATGAGGACATTGGCTCCAATGTGGCACTGAAAAGGAGCTTCCTTCGTCACTCTCGCAACAGCCTGTCCAAGTGCGCGGAGAAGGCTGAGTTTCGTGCGCTGCAGGCTCGCGCGGCTGCTCGTCGCCGGGATATCGCAAGCAAGAAAGCCAAGAGAAGTGCAGACGAGGGTAAGTACTGCAACAGCACGACAGCCGTTCTTCTCCACGAATGGTCCTAATCCATGTAGTAGGCTTTCTCAAGGCTCGAGACCTCACGACTGTGATCAACACCTCTCACCTCTCCAGCCTGACCGGTGTGACCGCCGACTCGTCCGAAGACGTCTTCTTCTCAGACGATGTGTCCTGCATTCTGTCCCCGGAAGGCGAAGTTGGCCCTTTCTGGGTCAAGGGCGAATACATCCGATCCGACGTGACCGACGACGAGCCCGGGGTGTCTGTCGTGATGGATGCGCAGTTCATCGACATCGACACCTGCGAGCCGATCGAGAATCTGTACTTCGACGTCTGGAACTGCAACTCCACCGGCGTCTACTCCGGAGTCCAGGACAGCAGCAACGGGAACGGCAACGACGCCAGCAATCTGGACAACACTGCGCTACGCGGCCTGCAGCCCACCGACGCGGACGGGGTGGCGCAGTTCACCACCATTTTCCCCGGCCACTACAACGGCCGCGCCACCCACGTGCATGTCATTGCCCACATTGGCGCGACCGTGCTGTCCAACGGAACCCTGACCGGCGGTAATATCGCGCATATCGGGCAGCTGTTCTACGACCAGGACCTCATTACCCAGGTGGAGGCGCTGTCTCCGTACAGTGAGAACACCGTGGCTATCACCCTCAACGCCAATGACCGGGTCTTGGCAGCCGAGACCGAGAACAGTGACTCGGATCCGGTGCTCGAGTACGTTCTACTTGGTGACACTGTGGAGGATGGACTCTTTTCGTGGATTACCATTGGAATCGATACTTCTGCCAGCTATAGCGCCAGCTACGCGGCCACTTTGACTTCATCTGGCGGTGTTTCGAGCTCCAACAGCGGGGGTGGTAGCAGCGGTAGCGGCGGAAACACGGGCAGCGGAGGCAGTGGGGGTAATGGCGGTAACGGCGCCAGCGGCCCTCACTAAAGGCTTAGCTGGGGTATAGCGAGTATTCGATGCTGTCACCAGACAGTCAACGCTCGAAGGGTATATCAAGAGTCGACGGAGATGGGGGTGGGTGAGGGACTGAACTTGAGGCACAACACCGAACCGGCGCGGTACCAGCATAATGCTATGTTATTCACTCGTTATTACTACTCAGCTTACTCAATCATTTTCGAGGCAGTTTTTAGTTTGCTGCCGTCCCCAACTTTGAAATCTTATGAGCTTCTGGCGCGAATAACTGGACATTGAATGCTAGTCACAAGGTTTGGGGAGCAGCCAGAGTTATAAGCATTTCAAGCTTGGACAAGGGTTTATATACCCACCAGAATAAAGACAACACAATCGCAACTACCCTGCTTACTCGTGGGGTATATAACCCTCACACAATGGTAGCTTCGAACGATTTCCAAAAGGCCTTGTGCTCTAATGCCTTGGTCTGATTGCAGACTTTTACAATCCTTTCAGATCAGATAGTATGGGTAGCGCGACTCACTTCATCCTACCTCAGAACAGAGAACTCCAGACCTAGATACAAAGCTTGAATCCCTTCACTCCCGTCCAATAATCCTGTCCATCAACATCCTCGAGTTGCTTCGCCTCCTCGTGGGTCATCACACCACAGTAGACCATCACCCCGCCGTCATTAGCGTACACAACTGCGGGTGTTGGCCCCGTGGCGCTTCCAAGAGCTGCCGGTAGCCGGACGATCGCAAGCTGAAAAGAAGACACCCGCGCTCGGCCAAGAAGGCCAGACCAGGGTCAGCATGACTGGCGGTGTCATAAAGAACAAGCGGGGTCGCACCGTTTGGGGGCGAGTGAGATGGAGACCGGGGTAGGGCTGAGGTGAGATTGTGGCACTTCCACATTTAGGTTTGTTCCAGTGAATCACACACGGTCTGACGGATGCCTGGGGCCAACCAAATGAGGGGTGTGATTTAAGAAGCCAAAGGCTCATGGTTCACCTTTTTCCTCCTGCATCATCCGACTCTTTTTCTTCATCATCCATACATCGTCTTCCAACTCCCTTCTCACCCTCTTCTCATCCTTTTGCCCCTTAACAGCCACCAACAAGTCCAACACACCCCCAGAAAAGAAATCCCAATGTCGACTCTGGTTCAGAACCCTGACTATGCCGAAGAGGGCGAACATCAGCCCCTGCAGTTCAAGCTGTACGACAAGTGGGATGATGAGGATGACCTGTGGATCAAGCACAGGCTCGAGGCCCTTGTGAATCAACAAATCACGCCTGAGCAATTGGCCCTCGACATGGACCACCGCATCACTGCCCTCACGCGCCGCAATCGCAATGACGGGATCGAGCCCCAGCGCGCCGAACAGTTCATTGGACCCTTCTTCCAAGCCTTGACGAAGATGTGCTCGGTCTTCCCACCCTATCATCCGGGGCAAAACCAGCTCATCGCGTTGGTCAAGGCATTGAACGCGCTCCCCCGCCATGTCATTCCGGAAGGCCTGTCGCCGGCCCAACTCGAAGAGAAGCCGTGGATCACGACAACCTTGTGGAGCTTCGATGATTCTTACCAAGAGGGAAACTGGAAATCGTGCGCCGAGGCTTTCAATTTTGAACATGTTTGTTAGTGCACTCTAACCCGCCCTCCTTCCTTCCTGCCTCTCTCAGCGTCTTGTATAATTCCGCCTCCATTATTGTATCAAAGTTAACAAGTTACCCCACTCTCTTCCTCCGCTTCGAGTAGACGTCTTGGCCCCCTACCGCATCCGCAACTATGATTCCGCCATGGCGCGCCTGACCTGCGCGGGCTTGATCGACTGCGCCTTTCTGAGCTCCCTCCGCTTCATCCTCCCCACGGACGAGTACCCCGACCTGACCAAACGACCCATCGACGGGCCCAACAAACTCGGCAACTACCTGGTCGGCGCGGCGCAGTGGATCTTAGGTCCCAAGGAATGTCGATATGCGTACACGGAATGCCAGAAGGTGGAGCGGGTGGACGTGAGACAGCGCGAGCTCTGGAGCCGGGAGAATTGGGCGGAATGGAAGCGCCAGTTTGCCTTTGTCGCGGGAGATGAGCGGTTCGTGCAGAAGTATCGCAGCGTTGCGGCGCAGGCCCACCATCAGATGATCACGTGCGAGAAGGAGGAGGAGCTCAGGCAGGATGTGTGATGGGTTCGTCGTTTGTATGCGAATTGGGCCAACATAGAAGCTGTGCTTTGTTAGTCTTGGGGATAATTGATTGAATGGCGATGTTGCTATCATATGATGGTCTGAGAATTGTCTATGTCTTCTGTAATTTGATTCCATGGAGTGTATTCTGTAAGCTGGGGGGGAAGCACTCAGTGATGGATGAGTCAGGAAACGAGGCTATGCCGCAAACGCTTAGTATCCTAGGTATGGATGTTACAGTACGATAGTGAATGCTTGGGTCAACGCGGGTAAGCGAGCGAGGAGGTGGAAGCCTTCCGACTGGTGCAGGAGAGGCCACCGCCGCGTCTCCCACCGCGATTATCCGTGGCTGGGAGAAGAAGGCCCGCGTCCCGTTCACTGTGTCAAATTCCCACACCACTGCCTAACTACCTTGGTCAAGACTCTTCTCCTCAGTCTCTTCGATGCTTGGACGACATTTGCGCTCGTTGCGCCCCTGTGACTTCACTTTTAAGGCCGCTTCATCAGCCACACTCTACCCGCGCACGACACCCCTGCGTAAACAGCCCCGCCGCTCTTTTGCTACAATCACATGGAGGCCAACGACTACTCACGACGATACTGAATTCCAGGCTCTATACGAGCCTCTGGATGGAGTCGAGAGACTTGAACGTTATCAACCAGGAGGCTATCACCCCATACAAATCGGTGATCAATTTCATGGTCGCTATAGGGTGATCCACAAGCTGGGTCATGGCTCCTATTCGACTATGTGGGTGGCTCAGGATGAGCAGAAGAAAAAGCTCGTGGCACTGAAAATCTGCACGGCGCGCTCGAATTCGAACGAAGTGAACATTATATCGGCTCTCACACATCCTCGCTTTCCTGTGACCAACGACTCAGGCAAGGCAATGATCTCTTCCATCCTAGACACTTTCACTGTCCACGGCCCAAACGGGACTCATGCTTGCCATATCACCACTCCAGCACGAGCCAGTCTTTCTGGTCTGAAAGATGGTTCGTGGATCCGTCTATTCCAGCTAGATGTGGCTCGTGCATTGGCTGCCCAGCTCGTCCTTGCCGCGGACTACCTACATACGCAGGGGTTTGTGCATGGAGACATGCATCTGGGTAACATCCTCCTCAAACTCACTCCTCACTTTGATCAGCTCTCACCCGAGTAACTATATGAGAAATTTGGTGCCCCCGAGCCCGAGCCTGTCATTCATTTGGATGAAAAGCCGCTTCCTCCTGGTGTCCCATCTCACGGGATTGTGCCTCTATGGCTTGGCGCAGCAAGTGAGAAGATCACACTTCCCGAAGCCAGAATTCTACTTACAGACTTTGGGGAGTCCTTTTCATGCTCAGACCCGAAAGAACTCAAGTATGAATCTCGCACACCGCTTGTCATTCGCCCCCCGGAGTGTCGATTTGAACCACATAAGCCGCTATCGTATGTGTCGGACATATGGACTCTCGCCTGCACGATATGGTCTATCATAGCTCAAAGACCGCTGTTCGAAGGGTTCCTTGCCACGGAGGATGACATGACCCGTGAGCATGTCGATACCCTTGGCATCTTGCCGTTGGAATGGTGGAGGGGGTGGGAGGCGCGACGGGAAAAGTTCACTGAAGATGGCAGGCCCATCAACCGCAATCCATTCCGGTCTTGGAGCGATCGGTTTGAAGACAGCGTGCAGCAGCCCAGACGACAGGAAGGAATGCCCGTTCTTGGCGACGATGAACGGGATGCTATCTTTGACATGCTACGGCCGATGCTCGCATTCAGGCCCGAGGAACGATGTACGACTAAGCAGATCCTCGAGTCAGAATGGATGGTGAAATGGGCATTGCCTGCATATGAAAAGATTCCGAGGAGTGATCAATAGATGGCTTTGATTGTCGTCCAGATGGGTTGATGTTTCTGCTACCATTGGCTAGGGGTGTGATGCGATGGTAACTTGATGCGGTTAGCAGGGGCCACGCCACCATCCATACCACTTCCAACCTAGCGCTTACGACTAGAATGACTCAACGAACACCAACCCCCACGAGCTTATTTGCTATAAAATATGGTGTTACTGCGTCAGACCCATCTCTCATATCATCAGTCTCCAAATTTGACATCATATCTTTTTTTGCCCAATATCCACGTGATCAAGCATGTCGTTACCCACAGAACCCATCCACTGGACCCGAGAGGGATTCCTCATCTCCACCGATAAGAGATATCTCTCGCCCACAGCCATTAACCATGCATTCGCGCAGGACTACATGTACTGGGCCAAACCATTTCCCGAGGATATTCTAAAGAAAATCATCGAGAATTCATTCTGTCTTGGCGTCTACGACCTCCGCTCGCATCGACTCTGCGATGATGAGAACGAACACCCACAGCGACCGGTCGGAGACTTGAATGTAGCCGATGTGAAGCAGATCGGGTTCGCCCGGCTGGTAACTGATGGCGTCACATTCGCCTACCTCACCGACTTATATGTTCTACCGGAGTACCAAGGGCAGGGGCTGGGTGGGTGGCTCATCGACTGTGTGGACGAGGTAGTCCGCCCCCTGCCGTACTTGCGGTGGCTGATGCTGCGGACCTCGGCCGCAAAGAGTCAGGCGTCGTATGAGACCCGGCTCGGGATGAAGGTGCTTGATACCGGGGATGTCAGCCAAGGCCCCGTCATGATGGGGAGACAGGGAACGGCTGGAGGAGTGTAACCATCAAAGGTTCTTGGGGGCAAGGATGTGGTTCACACTCGGATCTCAGGAAATGATGTAGCTCCGATTTCGTTACTAGAGGAGTACGGAATGATAGAGACTGACCAGAGAAGACATTGGCGCTCCACCCTACCTTATCTCTTGCAGCATTATTGCCTATGCTTCTCCGCAGAACAGTTTGCAGAAATTGCAGCGCTAATCTTTACTTTCATTATTCTAACCCAAATCCCAAAACTCCCCTCTATGTTTCCTAAACATCCGTGCCATCCCAATATCATTTCTTATGCTCCCCAGCGAGCTCATCATACATCCCCCCAAACTGCGCATACCACTGATCCACGACCTCCTGACTCACCCCCGGCGCAATAACATCTTGCCCACCCTCCAGCCCCCTGATAAAGAACTCCATGAACTCCTCCACCGTCAACGCCTTCGGATTCTTATGCTTCTTATTATCATCCGGATCCGACCGGTCGCGATGCAGATCCGTCCCCACGGAGGGCGGCACGACCTCCACGACCCTGATGCCCTCGTACCCGCCCTTCTCCAGCTGCGTGCGCAGCGTCATCGACCAGAAGTGCAACCACGCCTTGGTGCCATTATACACCGGGTTGATGACGGAGAACGGCACGAACGCCAGGATGGACGAAACGTTCATGATCGTCGCGCGGCCGTGCGGGTGTGCGGCGCGGAAGTGCTCCAGCAGGCCCAGCGTCAGGTGCATGGGCCCGCGGATGTTGATGTCGATCTCCTGGTCGGCCTTGGCCAGGAAGTCGGCGGGCGCGTCCCCGAGCACATCCAGCGGGCGCTGCACGCCCGCGTTGTTGATCAGGCAGTCGACCTCGGGGTATCGGGCCGTGAGCGTGCGGATGAAGGCCGGGATCTGCGAGACCGCCCCCGTGTCCAGCACGAAGTAGTCGGTCGCCCCGATCTCCTGGGCGGTTTGTCGCAGGGTGTGCTCGGTGCGCCCGGCGATGAGGACTTTCTTGCCCTTGCGCAGGAGGTAGCTGGCGATCGCTTTGCCGAGGCCGCCGCCGCCGCCGGTGATGAGGGCGCAGTTGAAGGTGAGGTTTGACATTGTTGGTTTTGGTTGGTAGCTTGTTGGTGGTGTTGTTCCTTCCTATCTCAGATCAGGGAGTTGGGAGGCAGGTTCGCTCGACTTATGCCCTGCACTGTTGATGAAGGTAAAGAAGACAGCGGGGTACAGTATTTGTATGTATTGGATTTGATGTATGACGCAGTTCACTTCAAACGGGCTGGTTCTCCAAATTGCTCATCGGCTTGGATCCCCGAGGAAATTCGGGGAAGCCCCACCCGCGTGAGGAATTTGGAGAATTGGCTTTTGGGGATTTTCCTTTTGCTCGTCCAGGGTCTAGAACCACGTGCAGGGAAAGCCACAATAACCTTATTCAACTAATTCTGTGAGGGCTTATTTTCGGAATTTCGTCATTCCTTTGCCTTTAAAAAACTTGTATTCGTTAGTGAGGCAGGATGCAGCCTCAGGGAATATCATAGAGGCTGCCAGCATAGCAAAAGGTAGTCTGGAGAGAGTGCTTGCAAAGCAACATTGCTAGTGAAAGGAATCTGAGAATGTGCTCAGAAGAAACTCGGCGTAACTAGGTGGCCTCGAGGTGAAAAATCTCCAGGTGTTCATGACTCAGGGATTATCGGGTCCGTACCTTGAAATGCAGCGCATTGACTGATCCAGGGTACACTGCGCCCTACCCTAGCGCTGTCGCGCCCTGTACACCTTAAACTTTAAACCCGAATGATGAAGATGATGATCAATCACCTAGTTCACAAACCCTTCGACCACTTTCCAGAACCTGTTCAAGGTGTATATATATATGATCAGAATAATCTTTCTCTACGCATCATGTTGATGAAACCCACCAGACTACTTAGTGCGACAGAACGATGGAAAAAGGAAATCCCTGCCGCATTAATTCCGCAAGCCCGGAACAAGATAATCGTGACAACAAAATCAGAAAGAGGGTTTCAAGGGCCTGCGATCGCTGTAGAACGAAAAAGGCAAAGGTACAGTACAACAACACCACAGATTGAGCTACTGTGCATTAAGACCCCATGCAGTGTGATGGTGCAGACCCTTGCCACCGGTGCAAGGCTTCCGGTACGAACTGCACGTTTCAAAGGACTACAAGAGCCAAGGACAGGGTCATACCTAAAGGGTAAGGCAGTGAAGGCACTGCATGGGCGTGAATTCGACACAACCGTGGCTGACATGAATAGATACGTGGAAATGCTCGAGAGCGATCGCCAGCGCTTGATCGATGGGCTCCAGAAGTTATATCGACACACAAGCGGAGCATGTCCCCGGGACTCGTTGATGCTTCATCCCAGCGGACAAGAGCAGCCTCTTATCCATGAGATCCTGAGTCGGCTGCAAGTATTACCAACAGAGTCAAAAGATTGTGACCCTCATTACCATCGGTCTACCACTGAGACAACGACGAATCTATCAGCGACAAGTATATCCAGCGTGGATGGGTCCAGGGAGAGTGTCTGTAAAGACAGGATAATGTCTCCGCAGACACTCACGGGAATTGACAATTCCGTGAATGACCCGCTTTGGCCGATGCTTGACTCCGCATGTACAGTTCAGAACCAAGACTTAGTGACGATACCCGACGCGACGACAGACTCCAAAGTACTACCACTGTGGGAAGGGTGGCCTATGCAGGTGGCCACGGACCATTTATTCTCAACTACGGTCAGTCTTGACAACGGATGTATAGATGAAACGCAGTGGCTTCCACATAGTTCGATAACCGACTGGATAGGTCTTACGTGACTCTGCGCTTGTTGTGACTAGTGTAAACGAAGCAACCCAACATCAACATCCCATTACGTAAAGTGTTAGAGCGATCTAGATCCACAAAAGCAAAGGAATCAAAAGCGAAGGACTTCACAGCTTGATTCTCCGAACTCTATCTGCCCCACCCCCAACTCTCCGAATCCCCGAATCTCCAACTCTCTACGTATCTTTCCCAGCCCCGTCCCGTTGACCCGCCCCCTCAATACTCCCTAACTCGACCAAAAGACCCCTTACTCTTCCCCAACGGCATCCCGAAAATCGTTCAGAAACCGCCACCTTCCCCGTTCGGCCAGCCCCGCCTCCCGCCAACCATTGAGTGTCCGATGCGGGAAGCACCAGCCGGCATCCCCATCCTCGGCGCCCGTGAAGATAGGCAGGAGACTGTGGTCGTGGGCCGTCAGCACAAGGACCCGCTCGTCAGCGTCAAATTCGGTGAGGCCATCAATTGTGCAGAGACACTGGTCGAAGTCATTGGTGAACTCTTCCGCAGGCTCGAAGAACGGGCTGTCATTCGCCCCGGGGTGACGGCCCAGGGAGTGGAAGAGATGGCCAGGGCAGACGCTCCCGAATCGGGGGTGGGAGGGCAGTGGAGATGGCTGGATGGTCTCTGGGAGAGGACTGTGCTTTGAGGGTCGAAACTCGCCGGGGTGGTGAGCGAAATCCTATGCGTCCCTCGTGGGATTTGCGTCAGTGGGTTGTTGGGCTCTTCAAGTTCTTCGCCAGGAGGCTTTAGGGCTGTGTTGCCGGATGGGGTTAGAGGAAACGCCGTAATTACTTACCGCACCCATGAGAACAAATGAGTCCGACTGCACGCGAGCCAATCCAACCATGTGATCCGGTGTATGGCCTGGGGTGTGCAGAAGGTAGAAGCTTCCATCACCGAACCAGTCCACGGCAGGAAAGCGACCGATCTTCAGCTGCTGCTCGTCAAACTGGATTTCTCGCAGGCTGCGGCCTGCCCAATCTGCTGACTTCACCGGAGAACCAGGCTGCTCGGGCCATCCCGGTGTAAAGTTCCTGGTGAACCCCGGCCCCACGACCAGATCAGTCGACGTGGGGAACAAGGACGGATCGCCGGTGTGGTCGAAATGATAATGCGACCAGATAATGGCGTTGATCTCAGTGAGCGGCACCCCGTTCGTGACCAGGATATCTGAGACGTTGTACGGGGAGGATATCTTCCAGCCACTGCTGGCAGGGTTGGTGCAGCGCTCGGCAAAGTCCGGGGCCAGGTTCTGGAAGTCGGACCGGATGGAGAGGTCGAACAAGACGCGCTGGCCCGATGGGTGCGTAACGAGAAAGCAGTATGAGGGCACAGCCATGCGGTCGTAGCCTCGGATTGCCGGGGTCATGAATTCCTGCGCTGGGAAGTCCAGGCGGGCCCCCCTACATGTCGTTCGACGCGTGAGCCGGGCTTTTGGTAACAGGACAATCACCGGGGAAGGAACCTACGAGTCGATGAGGCAGACCTCGACGGTGTTGGCGGACTGTGGTAGATGAAGCGACGCCATTGTTTGTGCTTAGTGGTGAGCAGGAGATGAAAACTGTATATGGAGTCAATTCCAGACTCGGAGTTAGTTGATGTAGAGTAATAAATTGATTCCCAAGCAGCTCCAGTCTGTGATGTAATCCAGTTGAGGATCGGTAGGAGTTCGGGGTAAATAGTTGGGGCTCGACCCGCCCGCAAGCTTTCGGCCGACCCCACCGATCCAGCTATCAGTAAGTCATAGTCATTAGCATTTTCTTAAAAAATAAAATAACCATTTTCATCCTGACCTCATCGACTGACATTCGAAGAATCTATTGAAGCAGCGCCTCTTGGCAATAAACGTCTGTTCAAAGGTGGTTATTCGCAATGAGGAATACTATTGGTGGCGCTGGTGGCGGCGCCGTCCAATTTGCCAAATGTGTCATCGTCGGCCACTTCTGCGGATGTGCGCAGTGTGTATGAGTCGGGGCATAAGAAGGGCTTGGGCTTCATGAATCAGGGTTGTATACTTGAGAATGTCTTCCGCTGAGGTCAGAAATCTGATATATACAGGATGGTTCGCCTTGTTGAGACATTGGCCTGGACTACTTGTATGTGACAAAAACAAAAGTCACAACCTAGGTATTTTGACAGTAGTTGACATCGATAACTTTGAAGAAACTGGGATTCTTAAGAGACTGCTCATAGTATGACCTTGCTTTTTGCGAATCACGCAAGAACAACGTGGAGTCGGGGGCTCTCAGCCCCGAAGTGTTTATGTGGGTGGAAGATATATTTTAAAAGAAGAAATAGATTCAGGATGTCATCGTTGCGACATGACCTCAGCGTCTAGACATTATTGATCTTTTGTGATGGGGGTACTTCATGCGTATATGATTTTGAGAGTTAGAATTGCAACAGATTGACTTGCTTCACCGAACCAAATGCACATCGAGCAAGGAAAAGGAAAGGTGAACAAGTGGGCCCGGCCTCTGCCTGAGGCGCAGACTCCCGGCTTACAGGTTCCAGGCAGGACAGGGTCCCTGGATTCAATTACTGCCTTTTCCAGTGTCCCCATCGTTATTATACGGCTAGAAGATGTGGTCTTTATCCTAATGCTCAGGAGAAGTAAAACTTCAGCTTGACAAATGCTGATTACCTGATCTAGTGTGAAGTATGGTGGTGAAATTGAATGCATGACTGGCGCTGACTAATCAAGCCACAACCCCAACCGATGTAACCCCAAATCCCCAATCCTGAATCCCCAAAGTACACTGCGAGTTGACAATCTCCTTCTCCAATCTGCATTCTTTAACCACGGACCCCCTTCCCCCTCATCTCATCACCCGCAATCGGCGAACCCCAAATCTCCTCCCGAACCTGCGTCTTCTCTCAATGAGTTATCCCCCTACCTGATCGAGCTTCCCCCCCTCAATCCTTCATCAATTGGAGATCCCCAAAGCTCAGCCCCCACATTGCAACGGACGACTCTGCAGCGGCCAAGCCATGTCTTCGGGAGCAACAAAACGTGCCGAACGGTCGCTGATTTGTAATTTGTGCCTGCGTTCGTTTGCACGATTAGAGCATCTGCAGCGTCATCGGAGAACCCGTACTGCCCCCATTCCAGAAATTTAACAATGCCTTCAGGGACGACCTAACCTAGGAATAGATACCAAAGAGAAGCCTTTCGCTTGTCCCTGCGGCCGAGCTTTCACACGGAAGGATTTGCTGAGGAGGCATGAGCGACTAAACCATGGGATTCGTGACGGTAACTGGCCTGTCGAATGTACTTGAGTCCCCTCCCCTAGAACCCATCGTTGGGCTGATTGGAAAACCTAGTAAGCGAGCAATCCCTCAACATAGTTCCGGAGTCAACCACGACGGGTCCTTCCTTACAAGATAGGAATTCTGCGCCGTCTGAACGGGCGCAGCCTCCTATCCCTGCCAATTACCCGGGGTTTGCTGAGCCCGTACCCCAGCAATCTCTCCCGGTAAACGCCCCACTGTACTTCGATGATCTTCTAAAAGACTATGATGATCCGGTGTTAGACTTTTCAAGGTTCATGGATATGGTGAGTTCGGACTTTGACTGGAGCACAATGAACCCGGGCATGGGGGTCGACCATCAAGAGGTCCAGCCTATCGTCCCGGTGAGCGCCATGCTCTCCGATCAGACAGACATGACCCCAAATCACAGTCATCCAAGAGTACCCGATGGTGCGACTGATAACGGTGTGCATAACCCCAGCAGGTCTGTTCCAGGACGAACCAATGATATTGACTTGAGATAGACGACTTCCAAGAGCTGAAGCCCACGCTTGATCCCTGGGTGGTCAGCGAAGCTCAACGAGCTGCGATCACCCAATCACTGGCTCCGTTTCAGACCTCACTTGGCGACTTCAAGCTCCCATCCAGATCCGCTCTCGGGCGGTATGTTAAGGGCTACGTGGACGGTTATAGCAATCATCATCCCCTCGTTCACATACCCACGCTCAGCATCGCCTCCCCGGAAAGAAGCCCAGAGTTTGTCCTAGCGCTTCTGGCAATGGGCGCGCATTATCGATACGAAGCAAAAATCGCTCGCCATTTGTACCACGCAGCTAGGTCAGTTATTGTCGACCGTCAAACCCGCGGCGGGCCGCTCTCGAGCCCGGCAAAGGCCGGTGTACCCGGGCGTGGTACAATGGACCGACTGCGCGCACTCGTCCTGGTGGCGACGTTCGCATTGTCCCAAAAGGACGGTGATTTCATCCGTGAGTCTCTGGGGTGTCAAGGATGGATTGCCTCGCTTCTTCGTAGCGTTCCTATGCCACAACACAAGCACGCCAAGGCCGGGGACAACTGGCGGCAGTGGGCCTCGATCGAGGAAGACATACGCACCATTTTCAGCGCATACTGTCTGTTGATGAAACAAACAATACTATACGACACGCCTCCAATGGTGTTGAGCCACGAGCTCGATCTCCCTCTGCCATCCTCGTGCCGTGAATGGATAGCCGCGACGCCATCGGCATGGCTCGCTGCTCGGACCACAGTGCCACCCGCGATCTCTTTCAGGGAATGCCTCCGCTCACAGCTGGCCACCACCCAGCCCCAAGTTCCAGCCCCATCACTTTCTCCGATGGGAAACTATGTTCTCATTCATGCGCTCCTCCAAAGAATCTATCTGGCAAACTCCCTCTCCCAGGACGTAGACCGCCCCTCCCTCTGCGCCGCGGAAACCGACAGCCTCGAGCGGGCCCTCAACAACTGGCGGATCACCTGGAAGGCGTCCCCCGACACCGTCCACGATCTGCATGACACCTACGGTTCCATGGCCTTCGCCTCCACCGCGTTGCTGGGCATGGCTCACGTCCGGCTGCAGTGCAACCTGGGTCCCTGGCGCCAGCTGCAGAGTTGCGACCCGCAGACGGTCGCAGCCAAGCTCCACGAATGTCCGCTGCCAGAGCGAAGCCCACATCTGCCTCACGCCTTGCTCCACTCCATCCACGCGCTCCGCATCTCTGTCCACATGGGCGTCGCGTACTTTTCAACGCGCCAGTCCTTCTCGTGGAGCTTGTATCATGTCTTCTGTGGACTGGAATTTGCGGTTTTCACCAGTAAATGGCTGCAGGTGGTGGCGCAGAACTGCGCCAGCGTGCCTCTCACCGGTAGGTCCCTCTTTCCAACCGCAAGTCGACTTCTTTATGTATATGACAGCGCTAAGATGCACTGGCAGACTATGAACGACAGATCATCCAATGGATCATCCGCGTGGTGCGGGACGGTCTCGAGTCCCACGATGAGACAGCCGGCGACGAATACGAGATCGCAGACGACGAGCTCCGCCGCCCACAGGAAACAATCCGCTTTCTGAAATTCGCGGTGCCGAAGTTGTGGGCGCAGATGTTCATCGCCTGTAATAGCCCCTGGCCCATTGCTCGGATGATTGGGGAGAGCTTGGAGCATTACGCCCACCTCGTGAGAGATGAGGTCTGATTGAAACGGGCACTTTATTTGTGGACGCCGGTAAAGATATTTGGGTGCTCATCGATATTGGATAGGTCTTGCTTGATAAGGCTCCTAACTCGGCTTCGCATGAGCATTACCTGGCCCGTTGGTTCAAGCAGGCTAGAGCGATCACTTTGGGGTCAAATGATTGATTCCCTTGCACGTCCATTTAGGCCACTCATTCACCCCGTTAGAAACAGGGCAATTACATGTAGTGCGCCATTTCCGCCCATGGACTAAGAGCTATTGCTGTATGTGCAAGACAAGAGATTGGGGAAGCCGTTGACGCAGTCTCATTGCGTCAGCGCATCATTAATGATTACGATATCATTTGCTACAAGTTGTGCGGTCGCCCTGAAGCGTATTGAGAATTAGATCCTGAATAGTGGAGGAAAATCCTCAGTTCATATATGTTCCTCTCAAGTACAAGATTGGACCTGCCTGTGGCAATATAGACGCAAGGAGCTGCGTTGCGAGCAAATTCTGATACTGTCTTCGTGCGAGACAGCATAGCAGGGACTTAAGCTACTGGGATGGTGAGCTAGATTTTAGAGGTCGGGGGTGAGTGTGAACAAAGTGAATGATCAAACAAATCTCACTATCATGCTTACAAGATTGCTTCCTTTCGATGATGATCTTACAAATAGCCTGAATTGGCCATGTGCGTAACTAGTCCCCGTCCAAGTACTTGGCCTTAGACTTGGCTAAGTAAGCCCCCAGTTTCCTGCATAGCTCGTTCTAATCCAACTTAAATCACTTCCGAAACAACAAAAAGCCAATCAGAATCATTCCAGCGCAGTTCCTCCCGACAAAGCTCTCTCCATATCGAAATCTTTGCCCGTCAGGTTAGCTTCACCAAAGCTTCGAGGGTGCACATATGGACCGTCCCGCATGATGGCTTAATCGAGACATCGTTAACGATTACTGCGACGGGGTGGGAGAAGTAATTCGCGAGAAAGTGGGGACAGAGTACTCCCACCAAGTCTCAGTATGTCCCCGGACGTCACCGCATGTTGCGCTGGCTGCGCTTGCTTCTGACGCTCACGGGCAAGCTGCTCTTTGAGGCTGTTGCACTCGCCATGCAGCGCATGAATGGACCTTGCAGAAGCCTTGCTCGCCTCGCGCATCAGTCGCAGCACGCGGACGGACACATCATCGGTGAACGGGCTCTCTGTGGCTTCGTCGGGAAGGAAGTCATCGAGATGTTGCACCAAGACACCCGCTATCTTGTCACATAAGCTCCCAGCATTCGGGACCCTGTAAGCCAGGTCTACGGCTGTCCCAAATCCCTTAGCGGACCATGGCATCTGGAGTGTTTTGTCGACCTTCCTCTCAACGAGAGCATTCAGCCCCGATATCTGATAATATTCCGCAAGATCAGCGACCCGGATGTGAGCAATCAAGATCTCAGATAGAATTGGAGTCGAAGGGTTGGTGCGTGAGGTGGTTTCGCCTTTGGAGGTAGACACTTCTGACAACCATCACTGGTTAGCTTGCATCCCAGAAACCTTGGTGTAACAGCGTAGACACAGACCGGTGGCATCGCGCTTGCGCTCGGATTCGGTGGTATAATCCCCTGTATACAGGTATTCTACCATGTAGCCCACAGTTGATGCTTGAAATCTGTCAATACGGTAGACACCTGTGCATGCCTCCTTCACGCAGTCAGCTTCAGCTGCCAGAGTCGTTTGGTGTCAGATTATATATTCGTACCTGGAAGCGTCCCTCGCAGGCAGCAGCGAAAGCTTCGACCTGAGAGCAAACGACCGCCTTGTGGACTGGGAAGGTGGCACCGTCACATTCGAGGGCGAAGTCAGTGTATTTCCCCATTTTGGCCTGAAAAAGGAGCGCGTTGCTTAGGCTAAGCGCGTGCGAAGCCGCGTCGTCAAAGTTGCTGGTATTCTGTCCCATAGTGACTAAGGATAGAAGGAGGTAACACGAGTATCTTGAAAAAAGGTGGCTCAGATTTCCGACCACGCTCGGTCAAGGACTTTGCGGATGGGAGAAGGTGTGCAGTAAGATGGAAGTAGGAGGGTCAAAGCTCGCGCTGAGTGGGAAATTTAAAGCCTCTCTCATGAGGTTGAAGTGCAAGTGAAAGATTCTGTAAGAGAATAGTGAATGGAGTCAGGAATAGTTGATGCCGTTTAACTAACCAACATGTTGAGACTGTTCATTCAATGTACTGCGACTATCACATAGTGAATGTACCTGGATGATCCCAGCTTGAGCCTCTTCCTCGGCTTTTCATCACTCTGGCTTCTAGCACTACCATCTTTTTGCAGACACCCCCCCTGTAGACTCTTTCTGCAGCTATGGTGAATTTCTTTTTATTGTTTTATAAAACGATAGACATCGAAGAACCCGTTAGTATATTGATCCCAAGTGCTCCTCGTTAACAACAAATAAGGTCCCCTTGCACAGTTCAGCTCACCCTACTTGTGCTATCCAACCACTGGCTCTTCAACTGGCATGATGTTATGGAGTCGAGTCTCGTTTAACTTGTCTTTCCTAAGAGAATGTGTGCGGCACAATCGGGCATGGTTATACAATGCCGGCAAAGCCATTTACAATATCCCTATATCTGAGGAGAAAGGATATTAGAACTAAATTGTCTCACTCTGAGTTCCTACTTGACATATATACAAGATTAGAATCGTAGGCCCGAGAGTCGTCCTCGTACTATCACGGTGGCGCTTACAAATCCCACCCCCGGCGAAACCCTAGTCCTCACACTCACACTCATAAACTCTCGCCATGCAACCAATGATACTACGACTCTGACAGGCGCAAGCACCCGCCGATCTGCACACAAATTAAGTCTAGCGCTTACAAGCTCGACCCCGCCGCCGCTGCGCCCGCCTGATCCACCACCGCAGCAATCTTCCCCACCAACATAGCGGGCTGGCTCAGCATCGGCGAGTGGCCAGCGGTGCACCGATCCATTTCCGCGCGGGCCAGCCCCGCAAACCCCTCCTGAAAACTCGGCGGGACTGCTTGATCCCCCTCGCACACCAGGTAAGTCGAAGGCAGGTACTCGTACGCCGCCCGCGTCGTGCACGTGGTCTGCACCGCGTACGACTGGGGGACGAGGCGCGATTCCCATAACGCCGCCTCCGCAGCCGGGAGGTCGCCGTACACTGTCTGGGCGCCGGTCTTCAATCGGGATGTGCCATCTGGCTGTAGATTGTATGGACTCCGGGTAAGCGACGAATGATGCACATAATCGCATGATCGAAACAACAAGGAAAAGGAGAGTGGTTGCCTTCCAGGTAAGTGGAACGGACCCGGAGTTTTGGGTGTGCATACCTGCACGTCATTGATCGGAGACTCTCCGAAGACCTCGAGCACGGATTTACCTTCGGGCAGGATAAAGGCAGCAAAGTAGAAGAGGTGAAGGACTCCCCCTTGGTGCCCCTGGGTGCGCCGCGCCGCGTGGGTGAGGTGCTTGGGGATTGCTTCGGTGCCCACGATGCCGCCGTAGGAGTGCATTACAACCACCACTGATTTCTTCTCTTCTTCGACGAGGTGTTGCAGGGCTGTGGTGACAGCGTCTGCATCGTCTTTCAGTGTGCGAGAAAGAAACTCAGTGTCGTCGATGTCGGTGCAGATGCTGGGGAGTTTGGGGTGGACGACGGGATATCCCGCGTTGTGAAGGCCGGTTCTGAGTTGCTCATAAACGAGGGAGGTCTGGAAGGAGCCTTGAACGAGAACGATCGTGGGCTTCGAGGTGTTCATTGTTGCGATAATGGATATTCGGGACATCAGTCTTAAAAGAAGGATTGGTGGGGGAAGGAAGTTCAAGATATTTGCTTGGTTGGGAGGAAGAGGGTGAGATCTTACATAAGCCCGAGTGAATGGATCTGACGTAGGGTGAGGTGAGAGATGGGCCAAGTGGGAAAGATACCTTTCACGTAGCAAAATATGTTTCACCGTGTGCTGACGCATAGTTCATCAGAAAGACTGACACCAAGATGCTAGGATGAAAGCCCTGTACACAGTTGAGGGAATAGGATGTCGTTATCAATGTCGGAGTTACTGCATCAGTTTAAAGACCAAGATGGTACAGGCAGCTCAGATTACAGATGTCCAGAGCCTTATAAGAGTTGATTAATCTGATAAACCTGCATTCTGTGGATCAGACCACCTGCTACATTCCTTGACAAACAGCTCAATTTGGCTGGGTACAGGGGGTGTCCGAGTATGCCGAGCCGGCCTCGGACATTTCGTCGGCCTATTGGAATAGACCGAGCTCTGGGTAAGGCTTTACTTGTATAGAGCTTCGCAGACCGCTGGCTTCTCGGCGTCTATAAATATGAATCTACAGTGTGCAGTTATTTGGAAGTTCAACACAAACAGAAATACATATTTCTTCTCCAAGGCTTTGTCTAGCTCAACAATCACACTTCCTCAACAGCACAATGCCACAGCACATCGCTATTATCGGCGCGGGTCCGTCAGGCCTCACTCTCGCAGCCCTGCTGCAAAAGCATGGAATCCCCTTCACCATCTTCGAGCGCGAGACCTCTTCCAGCTCGCGATTCCAGGGTGGATCCCTCGACCTTCACCCGGAATCCGGCCAACGGGCCCTACGGGAAGCGGGCCTCTGGGATCAATTCCAGAAGCACGCCCGCTACCACGACCAAGACTATCGCTTCGGAGACAAGACCGCAGCAACTTGGCTCTACCACCAAGCATCCGCAAACGCAGAGGGCCGCCCGGAAATCGACCGGTCATTGCTGCGCAAGATCCTGATCGAATCCTTGGACCCCGACAACATCCGCTGGGACCATTCCGTCTCTGAAATTGTGTCCCTGGCTGATGGTCGCGTCAAGCTCTTGTTCCAAGGCCGAGAGGACCCCGTGTTCACCGATTTGGTCGTCGGAGCAGACGGCACGTGGTCCAAGGTCCGACCGATGCTGACCGGCTGGAGGCCCGAGTACACCGGTTTGACAGTCATTGACTGCCGCATATCCAACATCGATGAGCGATTTCCCGAGCTCAGTGAATTTGTGGGCCGGGGGACCTTCTTCTGTCTTTCCGAGGGAAGCGGGATCTTCATCCAGCGCAACGGAGACGGTAGCGTGCGCGTCTACCCTTGTCTCCGGGTGGAGGAGAAATGGGCATGGAGTGACCCCTCTTTCGACTGGGGTGATCACAAGAAAATGACCGAATTCTTGATTGAGAACTTCTTTGCGACTTGGGATCCCCGTCTCCAAGCTGTTGTTCGGAATGTGGACGCGAATATGACGCCCCGTGCGCAGTATCGCATGCCCTCGGGACTGCGGTATCCGCATCGTCAGGGATTGACGCTGATCGGTGACGCTCTACATGTCATGTCCTGGTTTGCGGGCGAGGGGGCAAATCTGGCGATGCTGGACGCGGTGGACCTCTGTGAAGCGATTCTTGCGCATCCAGGGGATTTGGACCAGGCGGTGCGCAGTTACGAGGGGAAAGTCGTCGAATCCTGCCGGGCGGATGTCACGAATGAGGTGTCGCAGGAGCTTCTGGTCAAGGCGATGTCGGATGATTCTCCCAGGGCTTATGTAGAGGCGATGGCTCAAGCAATGGATGCTTGGTTCGCAGGCGGGAGGTTGCTGGAGAGGGACGAAGACAATCGTTTGTAATTAAGGTGAATGTGTTAACGTTGTACACTTTGCAATTGACCACTGACTTCACATCCTTCGAGCATGCTTATCTGGTATTTAGGGCAAGGAAGCAAGATTTACATAAATTGAATGACGAACGAGCCCACGCATAGGGTCAGCAACACCCTAGCTGATGTAGGTCCTTAAGTTTTGGATACCTCTTTTCCAGATCGCGCATAAACCTATACTTCAAGTTAAATCTTAATCATCTTGCAGACTGTCCGAAAAGTCCTCTTGACCATCCAACAAGAAAATACCCCGCACCAGCGACGGCCAGAGGTGGGAGAGAGGCGAGACCCCCAATGGCTGCTGCTGTCCGCGTCGGTCATGTGTGTTCGTCCAATCACATCGCCACTATCAACGCGCCGGATATCACAATCGGGCCCGTTCCATCCTGCATGCGCATCTACACGCTTCACAATGCTTGCGCTCACACTGTTGTTGGAAGAGCCAGACGATATCCCATCTCCAGGATGCTCCCAAAACTGTGCGTGTCGGATTTTCTCGAGCAGGGTCATGTCGGTATTTTCCTAGACCGCAGTTTCAATCACGCACATGGCGTAATGGGTCACAAACCGGGGCGGGATTTCAGGTTTGGCAGGCTGCTATTCTGGTGGCTGGACCATTCGACGGGTGAGTATAGTTCGGGATCATATCCTACTGCGCTCTGAATATATTTAAAGGAGCCGCCGATTGAGGTAGTCACAAGAAGCACAGTGCGTGGGCCTGATACTGCGAGGTGAATTAGAGGGCGAGTGTCAAACTTGTCACGTAACAGAAAAATGCATCAGGAATACCATTTTCTTCGAGCCTCAACATGGCTCTTTTGTTATCACCTGTGCGGCCTTCAAATAGAGATTCCTCTAGCAAGCGGCCTGGGGCTATTGACCAGATAGGCTTGACTTTATTTGGCTTGATATGCTAAATCGAAATGACCAGTTTGGATGTAAGACTGGACGGAGGCCTTCGCACTGATTACAGGACGGTTCCTATCCTCCGCGCAACTGCTTTGGCGCCGCCTCACCTATGAGCATAGCACGGGGTTCCATTCCGCATGGGACAACATAATGACTGCATTATGCTCGCTCTATGGGGGCCCAGACCCATTCTCCAATACAAATAGCGTAGGGTAGCATTAACCATCAAGGCGAAACCGTAACTGCCGGGAATTTGCTTTCCGGGAGGAGCTGGAACTTAACAATCTGAACCGTGAAATAAGACCCATCATCAAAATTGTGCTATCTCGAGAATCACATTCCAAGCACCTTGGTACCAAAACATGACCGAAATGCGGGAAGCGGACTTTACGCATAAATTGCCGGGCCCGGTGGTAACCGAGATATATCAGAGGGATGGTTGCCTGCCCCGCAGCAGGCAATCCCCGCAATTGTCCGAACAACCGTACTCAGCAAGCTTCCTCACCCCAAAATATGGATACCTCTCGAAGAAAAATGAAGCGGACGCTGAAGCCAAGTACGAAAAGAAGACGACCTCCACTGGCTTGCATCCAGTGCTATCAGCGGAAAGTCAAGTGTGGCAAGGAATTCCCATCCTGCAGCCGGTGTGTGAGGGCCGGAATTGCCGAGGAGTGCACGTATCGCGGGGTTTCGACTCATCAGAAAGATGGAATGACCAGCCCTGCCCGATCTAACTATCAGGAAGCTGCACCGGTGCCTAGAGTGCTGTCGTCAGAGAGTGGCCTACAAGCAGAATCCCAGCCCGCACCGGCTGGAATTCACGAAATGACTCATCTCCGTCGCAGGGGCGGCCTCATTCAGTTCTACGGGTATAGCTATCACATGAACTTCTATCAGCAGGTGAGTATCTATTATCTTCTTTCCAAGTAGATAGGATGTGGGCAATATAACACAAAAACGCATAGTTTCCCGCACTTCGATCATACATTGCTGGTGTGAAAGCTCAGTACCCTGCGATAAATGTGGCAAGAGACGGAGTCTTTCCACCAAACCATGAAAGCATCACCTTTGGAAAGCATATCAGTATTCCGGTGGGCACAACTGCTCTCAAAGCTGTGATACCAAGCAAGTCCGTGTCGGATGCGCTAGTCCAGACCTATCTTGATCGTTTCGAAACCACACATCGCGTGCTAGACCGGTCGGCTTTCATGGCCGAGTATCATCGTCACTGGAGCGATTCCACGTCAACAGCTCCCTTCTTTCTCGCCCAGCTGCTTTTGGTCCTTGCAACTGGTGCCAGCCTGCAGTCCGAGACCTACCTCGAAACCGAATCCAAAGCATCAATCTTCATGCAAACAGTCAGTTGGATCGACGCTGCTGAATCATGGCTGACTTCCGCCAACAATGTTGTACCACATTCTCGCGAAGCAATTGCAGGTCGATGCTTGGTGCTTATTGCCAAGCGCGCGAACTACATACAAAGCAGCTCATTCTGGACCGGCAGCGGCGAACTGATGCGGCTGGCCATGGCGGCGGGATATCACCGGGAGGTGAGCCCAGCAGCTCGGATATCCTCCCACGATCAGGAGATTCGTCGGAGGCTATGGACGACCATCGTGGAGCTGGATGTACAAGCCGCTCTAGAACGAGGCATGCCGCCCACTCTGCGACCTGATGACTTTTGTACAAACTGTCCTCTGCACATTAATGATGATAAGCTCTGCGAGTCTCTCGACTTAACTCAGGTTGCCGTGCCTCTAGGGAAATTGGCTGATACCTCGTTTCAGGTCACTCTGCTACAATCCTTGCCGACCAGACTTGCCATATGCGCATATGTCAACGGCTGCGATGGAACGATGGAGTTTGAGCAAGTGCAAAAACTTGGGGAGACTTTGCACAAAGCGCTTCAAAATATCCCAGACTGGGATAGTCCCGCAGCAGATCCCCGCCAGCAAAAACTGGCGATGCACTTGAGCACTCTGGTAAAGATTCAGTTCTGTCAGTATTTGCTTTTATTGTATACCAGGTTCATCTGCCAGTCCCCGCACTCGTTCCAGTCGACCATATGTCGGAGAGCTCGTTTGGATGCTAGCACGACAGTCTTGGAATGCTACCGAAGGCTCGTCGACGATGAAATGCTCCCGAAGCACGCTTGTCAAACCGGGCTGATGGTAGCTGCTTTGAACATTTGCCATGAGATTTTTCTTTCTCATGGCCCTTGCGGTGAGTGAAAGTACCGTGCTTTGATCCGAAGATAAAATGAAAAAAAAAGGCGGATGCAAGAGAAGAAACACTATGTTGACATTTCACTCCGAGAAGAAGCCATCTCAATGACCACTTCCCTGGGAGTAGCAGAGCACCTCCTTGGAGCAGTCGAGCAGGTCCTGGCAATCTTGGAAACAAGGATAAGTAGAACACTGCATGGACTGAACGAGTACTATCTCCTCAGCATGATCATCGGTCTCGTCAAAACCAGAATTTCCCCGGAGACGAGGGTCATTAATGACAAGCAAGCTGCAAATCGAGCAATCCAAGTCTGCACTTTCCTACACACCGCGCGGGCATCTTTACTCGCGTGCGACTCCCCTATCCAGCCCGTGTAAGACTTCCTGGCGTAGCATCCCAGCCGGGTTTCACCTGTTTGACTAATTGAGGTGTTGCAGTGAACCAGAGTCTAGCTCACAAGAGCGGTCTCCACTGGCAATGCTTCACGACACTTCGATTGGTCTGGACTCATTGGTATGGAAACAGCTCCTTCTTCCCATCGGCCACAGCTAATCCTATTTGGTGGCTCAGCCCAACGGCAATGCAGGGTTCATTGAGGATGACTTTTTATTTGACGCCTTCCTTCAGGACCGATCCTGTTTTGTCTAGCCACCGGGCAAGCCAAACTGGTTAAGACATAACATTTCCGCGGTTAGTGACACACAATTGTGCTCACAAAGCGCAACTTGCCTACGACGAAAAAATGTGAGATAGTCTGGAATAGAGCTTTTCATAGTCCCAACTGTGCTGTATCAGCTATGCTTGACGCCGTATCAACGCCAAGAAGCATCTCTCCGCGACAACCACCTTCCTCCATGTCCACCGAAGAACGAAAGCACTTCAAGACCTCCCAACTCCCACGATATCTTGGGACAGGAACCCATACAACCACACTAAGCCCTATCCGCGGCGGCCGCCGCCGCCATCATCCCCTGCAGCATCTTCACGTCCATGACGTACAAATCCTCCCCGTTATCCCCCAGGAACACCGAGGGCCCGCGACTGACCATCAGCAGCTCGGTCGCGCAGTCGAAGGGCAGCGGATCGTGCACCGCGCCCGTACTTTCGGACACATAGTCGCCGGCGACAAAGGCCCCCGTCTGCGGATGGGCGCCGCTGCCCCGGAGGACGTAGATCTCGGCGCTGTCGACGTGGCGGTGGCGCGGGAGGAGGCCGCCCGGCTCGGCGCGGACCATGATCGTGTACTCGCCCGTCTCGGGAACCAGTTTGACCACCTTGATGAAGACACGCGGCGCAAGGGGCAGCCATGGGAGGGCGTCCACGTGGACGGTGAATCCTGCGTACTTGTTGTTCGCGTGCATTTTTCCCACAGCTAGGATTGAAGTGACCCTGGATCGCGTGTGATTTTCGCTCCTTGAAATGTGATAAGTCTCTAATAGTATGATGTAAAGTGATGTGCTATGCTTGTGTTTCTCGAAGATTTAGGACTTTGTGATGTTTGTTGCGGAGGAAGGTGAGCGTTCTTTCCAACATACGGTGTGCGCGGAGGGTTCGAGGTGGGAAGGTAATGATGAAATAGCAGTAGAAAGAGTTGATAAATGCATGCGCACTATGAGGATTGATTTCATTGTATCGGGAAGAAAATGACGGCCGATCACAGGGTTTCGGAGATCCGAGCCTGGCCGGAAGTCCGACCGAGTCCGTAAACGTCTTCCCTTCATCCCCTCAAGGACCTTCTCAGCTGCGGACTGTTTGTTCCACTTCCGTTCTGTGCCAACGACGCATGCCAGGAAGACATAGATTACCGCCTCATGACATGAACAAGGCCTGAAGATGGATATTTTGTCCTCGTCTGGCCAATCCTTTACATGGGGCCACCATCGAAAGGCTCGACACCTGCGTCCAGCCATCCCGGTGGAACCTGGGTATTGAACAACTGCCACATCAGCCAGTCAGCAGAGGGGTCCACGTTGGTGGTGGTGGTCGTGGTGGTGGCAGGCATAGGCCCCAGAGTAGCTCCGGAGAAAACGGGGTGGAAAGCGCCAAGGGAAGCCGTGTTGTCGGCATGGTCGACGCTGGTCTCAGCAAATGCCACTAATGCATCGCCGTCAGGCGCGACAACTTCAGAGCCAGAATCACCGCCATCACCAGTTGTCCGGAAAAGGGGCTCACAGAGACGCTCCAACGACTGCAGCAGGTTCAGGAGCTTGCCTAGGTGGCGATCCTGCTTGAACGGCTCCAGACGTTGGATGATCCGGTCCATGAGCTCATAATCGTCCTGATCCTTAGTGCCGATGATGTTGCAAAAGACGACAAAGAAGGCGCTCAGGGGATAGAGGAATAGGGTCCTGGGGTGGTCTTCGATTAGTCTGAACTGTTTGCAGTGGAGGACGGAACGGGGGAACAAGACGCGCACCATGTCAAAAACGAAGGATAGGGATCATCGAACCCAGGTAGCTCGGCGGGGTGTTGCTGAAGGAAGTGGAAAGCTCGGAGCGACTTGCGCGCATAGATGAGGCATTCCTGATGAACCTTTGGGCTGAATGCCTTTTTCAGCCGGGTACGGTGGATCTCGACGAATATGGCGTAGTAGCAAAAGTCCACGCCGACCCAGTCATACTGGACCATTTTGGGATGACAATCACGATTCTAGATAACAGCCTTGCTTAGATGAACGGTTTCGTGTCAGCGGTAAGTGGTGTAGGACATACCGCCTGCAAACGTGGAAGGATGGCCTGCATTTTGGCCTCGAGGAGCTGGCATGTCTCTAGAGCTCGATCGGCGGGGTGGGTTTTGTTACCACAAGAGATTGTCCGTAGCTTGCCCTGGACTTGGGCAAGATCAAGTATGATCCGTAAAAGACTATCGTACGGGGACGACGGTGCTAACGTGATCAGGTCGGTAGGAGAGACCTCGAGGTCGGGTAGCGAAGAGGGCCGACAGAGCAGAGAACTCAAGGTCTGGTCAAGATAATAGCACCAGTAGACGACACTGTGAATCTCTTGCTCCAGCTCGGAGGTTGCTGGCAGTCTACGGATCTTGTGATAGTTGAGGGCAGTGATTTGTCGGGCGGCATATGAGACAAAGAGCCAACATTGGTGTGGTTTCCCTAAGTGCTGCATGAGCAGTGCCTAGAGGGGGGAGGGTTTAGCCAAAAGGGTCGTTCATCCTTTCAGTTGGAAGACAACGTACACTAGACATCATTGATTGGATGGTCAAGAGATCTGGGGGTTTGAGTATGTTGAAGTTCTCAATGCTGCGCATTGCTGCCGCCACATAGTTGGACCTGGATTCCGACATTTCCTTTCGGAGAACAAGGTCGTCCATGGATCGTGATACCTGATATATGTGAAAAATGGCTTTGACGTAGATGCAAATGCAGTACTGGTGGAACGTCTTGGCTTCGAGCTGGCACCGGTCTTGTAGTAGGGGCGTAGCCATCCTTACATAGGCCTTGTCGGATATGTGATCCGGCCACTGTATACGCACAGATTCCGGCGGGCCTGATTTCCATCAGCAGTGGGTCGGTGTGAGGGAGGGGTCAGATATCGATACCAGGAAGAAGCATGAATAAGAGCTCACGCGGTGGTACTTTGGGAATAGTACCAGGGGGGTCGTGCAGATGACTCCCTTCTTCCAGGGCTGTGGGCGGCTGATGGCTGGCCATGGTGCTCACAAGTTGAAGAGCCGATTTTAGTATGGACTGTTGCTCGCGGCTGATAAAGCGAGGGTTGTGAAGATCTATCTGTATGATGTTCTTTGCCTGGATTGCATGATAGTTCGACCCTTCTTCACTTGTCGTTGAGACAGCATCAGGAGAGGGAGGCGTAGCTATCAAATTTGAATCTGGATACTCAGACTGTCTAGGAGGGCTACAGTCTGTGAGTGTACGGCCAGGATTTGGACGTTGTCTGAAAGCACTTTCCGTTAGAGACGTGGTCATCGACTGTAGCTAGTGGTTCCCGTACCGTCTGGACGTCTGTCTGTCAAAGTCGACTATGGATTCCTGGGGACTTAAAAAGCTGCAAATTGGCGTCAGAGCAAGAGTCTCCCCGGTGAGAAGGAGCTGAAGGCCAGCAGACCTCTGAAGGGTTCTCTTCTTCGATGTCCGTCCACCGCGCTGGCGTCTACACACCGCACCGGCGTCTGCGCAGTTCGCGCATGGCGCTTGCCGATTACACTTGACCTATTTGACAACGTAGAAGTCAGCTATACCAAGAGAGACACGTTCAGCCCCGGCGCGTGGAAACCTTTCTGGCATGGCATAGGTCACACTGTTTACGGTGGATTAGCCTGGGATGACTACTAACGTCGCATTAAAGCCGACTGGCTTGAACTGGTATGACCTACGGCAGGAAGAACGTCCGTCACAGAGGCGATGCGATCTGTCATCTTTGCATACACGCTAATCGGCGCCTATTGTAAATGGTACTTCATATGATATTTTCATTTGATAGGCAGGCTGGTGAGAAAGAAAGGTTCGAGCTTCAACTGCAAGGGAGGCGGGGACAGGAAAATCGACAAGATTCTGCCGCTTCCTTGCCGTCAGTTGACCTTCGCCGCCCTCAGGTAGATTTAGGCATTCCTTGTTGCCTTGTTGCCTTGCTGCCGCGCTGCCGTGTTGCCTGAGCCCTTTCTTCCGTAGTAAACTTACCACCCGCTGCTCATAAGATCTGTGGTTCTACTAAACATGCTGCTGGGCATCCGATTTGACGGCTCTCTCAGGCCATTTGTCATTTGGCTTTTCTAAATTGCGCTATGCTTGTATTTATAATGCTTATGGACCTCCCAACGTAGGTCAACAGTCCCTTACAACGCAGTCTAGATCCAAGGGCTTGGCCGGGTCCAAGGTACATTCTCTAATAGCTTCAACACCCAACCCCAAATCATTGCCAATGCCCATTCACCACGCCAGAATTTGTCCATTGTATTTGTCCCATCCAGGAACATCGATATTCTTAAAGGTCCCATTATCCCGGCTGTCGGCTGCAAAAGCCATCTCTAATACTGCCTTTGCGCCCTGAGGCACGGTGAGATCAGCGTCCTGCCCGCCCATATCGCTTTTCAGCCACTGTAAGCTATTAGTGAGTATGAAATCAACCTTGTTCGGTTGGTGACAAAGGCAACCTACACCAGGATTGACTGCGAAGAATACAAAACCGTCATCCTCATATGAGAGAGCATATTGTACAGTCAACGCGTTCAACGCGGCTTTGCTGATCTTATAGGCTGGACACGGTGCATAGGCTACATCTCGAGCATGGCTGATGGAGCCGTATGCGCTGGAGCTATACTTGTAGTATTAGCATTCGCCAATCAAGAAAGACTCAGCACGCGACGGTCAGTCATCCACTTACACGCTCACCACCTTCTTAACCTTGCTCGACTGCATGAGAGGCAGACACTGTCGCAGGACATTATGCGTGCCGGTCACGTTGACCGATAATTGCCAGTCGAGGTCCGACCTGAGCACTGTTAATCTCTCCGCCCCGGCTAACGGTCATAGGCAAAGGGTGGGTGGGTATTGCATACATAAGAGTCACCTTGCCATGGGTTTCACTGTGGACACCTGCACAGTTGATTAGGACATCCAGACTGCGTCCTCCAAGGGCCGATCTCACTTCCTCGGCCGAGTTTGCGATGGCTCCCGCGTCCGCTACGTCGAGTGCGACGAAAGCAACGGCGCCATTACTCGTGGAGATGACTTCCTTCAGCTGCGGGCTACATGTGCGGGCAGTTGCCAGGACTATTCCACCTTTCAAGTCGTGATGCACAGCTAATTGTTTGACCAATTCGAGGCCAAGCCCGCGAGAGCTTCCTGTGATGAGGGCGTTCAGCATGGTATGATGTGCAGGGATGGTGACGGGAGTTAATGGTTGAGAAGCGAATAGAATCCACCATTAGCCATTTTCGCTAGCTTAGTAGTCGGGCCCAACACATAAATACCCGAGATATAGGCCAGGGCTTTTTTCTTTTTTTTTTTTGGTTGGGAAATGCGGACCGGCATTGCCTTTGCACAGAAGGTATCTTCGGGTTTCCAAAAGCCGATGAGGGATTTCTTCGGACATCCGAACTAAAAAGGGCAGCCAGCTGGATCGTTCGGGGAAGTAACCCACCATCTCCACCCAACAACATCTTCACATGGCTTCTGGCCCATGAGATGTTTTCGTACAAGGGCACTAGAAGACGACGTTCAATCGCCAAGATGTCGATCCTCAATGGCAAACCTGCATGTGGCCAATCGAGCGGTGTTCGTCTGCGGTCATCTGCACGAAACAAACTTGCAGCAGGCTCCCTGGGCAGTCTAAAGCCAAGGTATATGAGAAGGTAGATCAGCTAGCTTCCAGAACTGTAAGTCTTGTCATACTCGCAAGCACCGTGTTTGACCTGGACTCTTTGGCAAGTCTCTTCCTGCCTCGCCACCTTCCGCACACCCCCCCCCCCCCCCCCCCCCCTCCTTTTCGTTGGTAAGAACTAGTGACTATGCGTTCGTCAAACCACGAAGCAGATCCACTCGCTACCCTGCGTTCCTTGCTGCAGGATGACGAGATTATCACGCCGGATTCCTTTAATTACGAGGCCAGCGTCCAGACCTGGGCTGCACAAAAGGACGCAAAGCCCCGCCTGGCACTCCGACCCACCTCCACCAAGTCGCTCAGCAGGGTGCTTGCCTACCTGTACAGAAGCACGCTGGAATTTGCCATCTACGGCCAAGGGTACAGTTCCGCCTCAGCTAGAGATGTCGTGGTAAATACGTCGGGCTTCGACGACTTTCACTTCGACGCACAGGGAGAGGTGGTGACTGTTGGTGCTGGACAGACATGGTCGGACGTCTATCGAAAGCTCGCTGCTGCGGCGCCGGAGTATGGCGGTATGTGATTCTGTTCGAGTTCTTGTTCAGTATCCGTATGGATACAACCACACAAACATGAAGCATGCTGATATGCTCCTCGGTATAACGGACAGTCGTGGGCGCCCGGACCCCTTGTGTCGGCGTCGCCGGAACCATCATCAATGGGGGCTACTCGTGGGTTTCCAGCGAGTTTGGCTGCATCTCTGACCCGGGTAACATGCTGGACGCCAAGGTTGTCAAGTATGACGGATCTGTGGTGTGGGCGTCAACGGAGCCGGAGTTACTCTGGGCACTGCGCGGGGGCGGTGGCGGCTTTGGGGGTATGTGTACATGTACCTTGGGCCCCCGCTCGGGTGATAGTCTGTACTAATCTCCATATCTGATTGTAGCCCTGGTCCAGGTCAAGCTCCGGGCTTTCCCCTACCCCCAGGATATCTGGGCCGGTCCCATTCTGGTGCCCAGGGAAAGGTTGGAAGAAGTCGCGGAGGGCATCGAGAACTTTCTTTCCCGACCGGTTAGTCCCAGGATCACCATGTTCCTGTACGTGGTGAAGGGACTCCTGCTGGAGTCGATTGGCACGGACGAGGACATGCTGGTCATCCATGCATTCGACGCCAATGGGGAAGAGCACGGCCGAGCCAACTTCCGATGGGCGTTGGATATCCCCGGCGCCATCGATCAGACCAAGATTACGACTCTTGCCGGGGTGGCAAACCTGCAAGGTGAGAGATGGGCACCGCCCAGGCTTGGCCCGTGATAATGACTGATATGCAACTCTTTTATAGACAAAGCCGGGATTGTTAAAGGAACTATGAAGCAGTTCTGGCAACCATTGCTGCTCAAGGACATCTCGAAGGACATCGTTATCAAGGCTTTCAGATGGTTCGCCGAGATTCGAGAGATCGATCCCTCACTAGGTGATTGCACCTATCTGATCTTCGAACTCTTAAGCTCGGTAAGCCTTTACCCTACCGTAGCAGGTCTGCACTGTAACACAATCTGATTGTGCATGGCTCCTCTTCGATCTAGAGTGACCCAGTGGGCGGTCTGTCTGGTTCTGCGTGGCCGAGACCCAGTGGTACGAAGCATATCCTTCTCCTCGGCACCGGATGCCCTGCGGATGCCAGTCCTGCTCAGGAGAAGCTGGCTCGCGATCTCGCCATCCATGCCCCCTCCAGCGTACTTGGGGATCATGCGGAGGTCTACGTGCTCCCAAATGGCCTTGAGGACTATCATGATACGACAAAGGTATGTGCTGCATCAATGGCTTACCTGCCCCCGACAGTCACAGCTGCTCACACACGCGTGTAGATCTGGGGTCCGCATGCTGCCAGATTACGGGAACTGCGGAGACGCTATGACCCGCAAGGAAGGTTCAAGGGAGCTATTGGTGTGCAGACTCACTCAGAGTAAACACGTTCTGCAAGTCATATGTGGTCACTCATATTCCATGGAACCTGGGACTACGACTCGGAAGTACCTTGGCATCTAGAACAAGCAGCATCCTTTGTGGTGAAAGAAGAATCGCTATTCAGATTCGTAACGACAACCAGAGAACTATTTAGTTGATTACTTGCAAAGTTCGCCGGCCCTAATCCACTAGTGATGTCTTATGTTTCAATATCCTGCAAATGACCCCAGGCACCCGTATCAGGGAAATGTGCCGTAGATAGGTAGCGTAATTCTCGATCCGCCAGCCACACATCGATAAGCCCAGAGTATTGTTATAAGGAGAACAAGTTCAACAATCTCGGTAATCAGGGTTATGATCGCCAGTGATGCCGTGGTGGACGCACTTGGAGAACCTGAGAGTCACATGGTTAGGCGGGCGCAAGCCACGTGGGCAGATTGCTAGGGCTTCATTGCAGTACAGTACACGGGGAATGTCCTGAAAGAGAGACTTTCATGGATTGTTTTCATGCAGAAGTAACCTACTTGGACGCAATGCACACACACACACACACACACACACACACACACACACAGTGCGGTACATGATCGGAGGCTCGGACGTGGCGAAATTACACCGTCGGCACCACCGGATGGGACCCACCTTCCCCATGGGTTCGGCTCGGCATGCGAAACCAGATGCGGAAACTCTCATGCTTCCAAAAGCCGACACTGGGAGAATAGTGAGATCAAACGCATTGCTTCGGGGCTTGTAACCCGGTCGGAGAATGCTGAATTCTTCATTTGGTTGGTTGGTCTCCACTGGTAAGGTAGATTCGTGCTTATGGACTGGTGAAGCTCCAATCCAGAACCGGCAGGGGTTCTCTCACAAAAAAGGCGAAGGATATGCCTCGAGTTACTTAACATGGCCTGGAGTAGCTTCTTTGAGCTACTCGGATTCTGGTTGCTCTGACTGCGGATTGGTTCTGAACCAAAGTCTTATACCCCTGTCTGTTTTCTGGCTCGTCATCCTAAAGTTACTGCTGTTGAATCAGTGGAACCCCCCCCTCGCGGTTCACTACAAAGGCCTCCACAATTTGAGCAGTCATAGAAAAAGCTCACTCCTGCGCGGGTACAGTTAGTATGGCTGATCCGAGGAACAGAGCACTCGCCGTGTCTATGCGGTCCCCAAACATTGTGGACTGGGATGGGCCCGATGATATGGCGAATCCCATGAACTGGAGCGCGAAAAAGAAGATGATGACTGTTGGCACCGTCTCAATCTTTAACTTCCTCACGTCAGTTGTTAAAAGCTTTGCTCAGTGTAAACGTCGAGTCTCGCATGCTAATACCGATTTCAGCCCACTGGGTTCCGCCATGTTCGCGCCTGGAGTAGCACAGGTTATGGATGAATTCAACTCGACCAGCAAGCCCATCTCATCCTTTGTGGTCTCAGTCTACCTTCTTGGATTTGCCTTTGGGCCTTTGGTGGTGGCGCCCCTGTCCGAGCTCTACGGTCGATTGCCGATCTATCACGGTTGCAACGTTCTTTTCACAGTGTTTAATATTGCCTGTGCAGTGGCACCAGGGATGTCATCACTGATTGGATTCCGGTTCCTCGCTGGGTCGTTTGGAAGTGCGCCTTTGGCACTTGGAGCTGGAACCTTGGCTGATTGCATTTCCCCGGACCGTCGAGGGCTGGCGATCGCGATTTGGGCGGTTGGTCCTGTCATTGGGCCGGTGGTTGGTCCGTATGTTTTTCTCGCCGGTGTCCGATATCGCCCAACTCAAGAACCATATGCTGATGCCAGGACCTGTATTGGCCGTCCGTTTTTCTAAGGGTATGCGGTGGATTTCTTACCCAAGACGTGTCGTGGCGCTGGGTTTTTTGGGTGCTTGCTATTGCGGTACACAGTTCACCCCTAAGTTCGCCTACATTCACTGACTTACCCATGGAATGCAGGCCGGCGTCGTCACCGTTATCTCTTTTACAACCCTCCGCGAAACCTACGCCCCAATCCTTCTTGTTCGCCGCGCCAAACGCCTACAACGCGATGCCGGCAATCCCCACCTACAGTCCACACTACACCCCAACTTGACCCCGAGGGCTCTATTCACCAAGTCAATCATCCGCCCTCTTAAGCTGCTGGTCCTCTCGCCAATCGTCTCCCTGCTTTCGATCTACGTCGCTGTAATCTACGGGTTCATGTACCTTCTCTTCACCACCATGTCGCAGGTCTACCGCGATCAATATCACTTCTCTGTCAGCATCATCGGGCTCACCTACATCGGACTGGGGCTGGGCTCGATGGTCGGCCTCATCGCCATGGGCCGTCTCTCCGACCCGATCTCGCGCCGTCTGGCGGGCCGGACCAAGGAAGGCGAGAGGAAACCCGAGTTCCGGCTGGCGCTGATGATCCCCTTGAGTCTGTGTCTACCGATTGGGCTCGTGTGGTATGGCTGGTCCGCGGATAAGAAAGCGCATTGGATCATGCCGATTATTGGGACGGGATGGGTGGGTGTTGGGGTGGTGGCTGTGTTTGTAGGTTTCCTCTTTGTTGCTTCTTTGCTTTCTTTTTTCCTTTCTTTCTTTTTTCTTTCCCCTGATGTCTTATTTCATCATTTCGAGAGAAAAAAAAATCGACTGCTGGCAGGCAGTTTTCAGAGAGAACAAAGTCTTTGCCTACCGAGGCCCCTAGAACTAGAAAGGGAATCAGGTCGCTTCCTCATTCGAAAGAGGGTGTTCAGTTTGATACCTGTTTCTTTGACTTCTGGGCGTACAAATGAGAGCACCATGCAAACAACCGTGCTGCATCTCATTCAGGCAAAGAATTAAAAAGGGGGGGAAAGAACCATAAAAAGAAAGAGGGAAAAACCAAGAACAAAAAGAAAACAGTAGTGATGTGTCCAGAGATTCAGGTCTGGTCTCCATGACACAATGATAGAAGAACAGAGAGACAAAATATCCCGGCATTGTAGGGACCTCAGTGTCACAAAGTCAGAGTAACGTTGCACCAGTTGTAGAAATGGCCTGATAGAAAACCACAGTCAAGCCTATCACTCCAAGCTGGGCAGACTGAGATCTCCAGGGTCGATCTCAGCAAATAGATGCCAACGTGAACTCCACATGTGCTGCTTCCACCACTGGTCCAGGTCTTTGAATGATGATATTTTGTAGCCAGCGATAGGGCCCTGCGTCAGAAGCGACCGGCCAGGACAGCCTCGATGAGCGGACAGCCACCGCCTACGTTTGCATGAGCGCCTCCAGCGCGAATACCAAGCTACCAGTATTGACCGGAAGGCGGAAGGAAGCAACGAACGTGTGGATGTTTGCTCTCTGCTTGAACAATGGTTGATATCCAAAGCTCATTGGCCTGACGCCTGCTATTTTCAAGCATCAAACAAACTCCTCTTGGCGGTCTAGTCTTGACTGGTACTTTTGACATCATATAGTTAACTTATCTCAGCTTAGGTCAGATAGGCAGCGACTAGGTCCACGAGCAGCTTCGGCAGAGAGAGATAGAATTCTGGGGCCAAGAAGAAAAAAAGAAGAACTCAACTGATCCAGAGCACGACGCAAACGTACCGCATGAATCTGCGGATATGACACCGATGTCTCGGAAAGCTTGGCTGCTATGCCTTAGGACGAGAGTTCAGAGCAAAGACTGAGTCCTAAGATCGACTGTGTTCCAGCAACGCGCCAATGTGGCTCAACCGCCAAGCCCGAATAAGTGAGCGGAATCCTGGCATGGCAATATGGAGGGGTTGACTAGCATTAGTAGCGTCAAGCAAAGATCGCCAGCCTAGGTCTGGATCCGGGTCTACGTATCGTGCAAGGCTTAAGACTCCCTGGGTTTCTCTTGTTAGAGGGCTGGGAAAGCGTTAAGTGAACCAGAATAACAAAATCTGGCCGTGAGTGATCAAGAAAGCCTTTAAAAAATGGAGGAAGAAAAAAGAATATAGTCTGAGAACGAATAAGATGAAGGTGACCAACTCTCGCAACTCGACGAGGGTTGACTTGGACTGTGGGGCAAAAAAAGATCGACTAAGTATGCAGGAAGGTCAGGGGCACGAGCCCGGTGCACATTGTTACTGACTGACATGGCCTTGTCGACATCTGCTTGTGCTCAAACCTGCAGGGCTTTCACACAACGATTGGTCCAGATCAAAACCAATTCATTCGCAGCCATTGCGGTAGCTTTGGTGCAGGCAATATGTGGAAAGGAGGTGGTTGAGCTAAGGTACTAGTGTCGTCCCTTTTCAACCAAGATCGAGATCGGACATGGGAAGTCGATCAATTGTATTGTCAGATGAAGCTCGAGATGGGTCGACTATAGGTTCCCTGCGGTTTCCGCCCGTAAGATGGGACGCGGCGACAATGGGAGGCACAGGAGAAAGGAGACGAGGAAAAAATAAATAAGAAGCAGCGGTCGAAAGAGGGAGGAGACCATATCAATTGCCCTTCTAAAGGTCCCAAAGATTAAGGAAGGGCGTCATGACCCAAGTGTCTTCCGTTCAATTTAGGGCCATTATCAGTCAGTGGTTGGACCAGAAAGCTGTCATTGGCAATAGGACCAGCCACAAGATACCAAGACCCAGCGAAACTCATTGAATCCATGCTGGGATCTCGATAGTTCCAGGCGTTACGGGGAATCGTCAATATGATGATCATTCTAGAGATAAAGAGATACCATCCATGTCTAGTGAGCACCACGTGTGTTTCCCCATTGAATTAGCTTTGCTGTCATATCTGCAAAAGTGCTGATGGGGTGGATTATTGAACTGCTGTTGGACCTAGCTGCAGGAGACCGCCCGTTATTTTCAACGCCCCTGTAGTGAAACTCACAACGAGTAGAACCGAATAAGTGTGGGAAAGCTTTCATCATGGGGTTTCGATGGTATCTCTGGGTTTTAAAGTAGGTAGGGAGCTTCAAATTGAAGTCATTTCCAAGCCCCCAAGGCAGACAGACAATGTCCTGGGAGTTGGATGAGACCGGCGGCACATCGGCGCCGGGAACAATACTCGTTGTACTGTACTCGAATGAGCTGAGCAAAGGATAAGTTGCCGACAGGTTCGAGCGACCAGATCGCCGGCAAGAAATCAAACAACACACAGTTGCCAGTTGAATCTCGATCCAGGCCTAGCGCAAGCACTATCTCTTACCCCTAAGTCGTTCGTCCAACGGGGTTTCCCGGAAGATATCCGGCTCCAGTTCCAAAGTAACGGCGGTTACACGAGAGGGGCGCCGGAACAACCATCCGATAAGCAAGAACACCTCGAAACTGTCGAAGATGATTGATTCAGCGGCGAATGCTTCTTTCGGGGCTTGTATGACCGCTGGGTATCGAATCGCTGTCCATCGAGTGACTTGTAGGAGTGGGGTTGGTAAAATGAGGAAAGGATGTGAAGAACTTTTTGTGACTGCTGGAAACAGGCAGGCAGTTCCTTCTCCGAGGGTGATGGTTGTTGATCTAGAACAAATTGGTTTAGATCAATCAAGGCCTCAAACAGTCTGATGATAGATTGATAGAGATCATATGGAATAGTGGTGGTAGTGATGGCTGCAGCGGCGGCGGCAGCAGCAACATAAGCAGTTTGAAATAATATAGGAACAGAATAAGAAGGATCAAGAAGCAGCAGTACTATACAGTAACTTAGCTGTAGGTAGTACTCCACCACTCCAACAGTTGATTGACTACACAATCCATCAGAAGCGTACATGTATGAGTATGTATGTACAGTAGATAGTCGAACAGCGATCTACGACGGTGGGCCGCCGACGCTCGACTCAAGTAGGAATAGGCTGGGCGGCAGCGTACTAGTAGCGGCTCCGCATCTTAACTTCGTACGGAGTACCTTGCCTGGCTCCAGCTTGCTTCAAATCATCCTCCCTCTTACAAGTAATTCCCGCTCGTCCTTTTGGCAGCTTTCAATCGATTTCCCCCCCCCCTCCCCCTCCCAGGCCTTCCTGGTTCTTCTCTTCATTCGGATCACTTGTATTTTTCTTTCCCCTTTGGTTCTGGTTCTTTTTCACCCTCTTTTTCTGTTTTTGTCTCACGCACCGTCGATCCTCGCGAAATCACCCGCCAACTACCGGGGATCCGCCATGAGCGTCCTGCTGGAAACCTCTCTCGGCGACATCGTCATTGATCTGCTGGTCGACGAGTCGCCAAACGCTTGCGAGAAGTATGTGTCCCCTTTCCAGTTCTTTCTGTGTCATCCCTTCATATTGGTACTCTTGTCATGCTCTCCTGCGCGCGTACAAGTCGAGTGGCTGAACGAAAACTAAGCTATTTATGGTTTCCCGATGTAGCTTCCTGAAGCTATGCAAAGTCAAGTACTACAATTTTTCGCCCGTCCACAGCGTCCAAAAGAACTTTACCTTTCAAACCGGTGATCCCTTGGGACCTGATTCCCCCGAGAGCGATGGCGGATCCTCGATTTGGGGTTTGTTGCAAGGTCCCTCCCAGCGCACCTTCTCGCTCCCAATCCCTCCTAAGTTGAAACACGACGAGCGAGGCACTGTGAGCATGGCGACTGTCCCTTCCCCCAACGATCCGGACCTACGCATTGCCGGCAGCCAGTTTCTCATAACTCTTGGTGAGGGTCTCGACTACTTGGATGGCAAGGCAGTGATCTTTGGCAAGGTCGTGGAAGGATTCGACGTTCTAGAGAAGGTAAACGAAGCCTTCATCGATGATCGCGGGCGGCCACTCAAGGATATCAGGATTCGTCACACGGTGATTCTCGATGATCCTTTCAATGATCCCCCGGGACTGGTGGAGCCAGCGGAGAGCCCGGTGCCATCCAAGGCACAATTGGCTACGGTGCGGATCGCAGATGACGAGGATCTCGACGACAATATGGATGAGGAGGCATTGGAAAAGCTACGACGGGAGCGTGAGGCCAGAGTGCAGGCATTGACGCTAGAGATGGTAGGCGACCTTCCATTTGCCGAGGTAAAGCCACCAGAGAATGTATTGTTCGTCTGCAAGCTGAACCCAGTCACCCAAGGTACAATCCCATATTCTCTCAATCATCTCTGCCCTATGCTGTTCAACTCAAGCCAAACTAACACACGATTCCAGATGAGGACCTCAACCTAATCTTTAGTCGCTTCGGCCCAATTCTCTCGTGTGAAGTGATTCGGGACAAGCGAACAGGCGACAGCCTGCAATATGCATTTATCGAATTCGAGAATCAAAAGGACTGTGAACAGGCCTACTTCAAGATGCAGGGTGTTCTAATTGACGACCACCGCATCCATGTTGATTTCTCGCAAAGTGTAAGCAGTACTACCTCGCACCTTTTCGCCGGGCGCTGCTGACCACTCAATGCACTAGGTATCGAAACTATCGGAAAGCTGGCGTAACGCAACCATTACCAAGCGCAGTGGTCAGCGGGGTGGATTTGGCGGTGTAGCTGGACTTGAGAAGAAACGCCAGTACCGAGCCGCTGACAACAACAATGCACGTCGCCGGGAGGACTATTCGATGGTCTTCGACAAGAAAGAGTCTGGACGCCCGTCTGCTCCTCGTCGAGACAGGTCATACAGCCGAAGTCCTCAGCGGAACGAGCGCCGTGATAGACGAGCTAGTCGAAGTCCCCAGCGAGACTCTTACCGTAGTCGCTACCGAAATCGATCGCACAGCCGGAGTCCAATACGGAAAGACTCGTATGGCGACCGGCGGTATGAACGTCGTGACGATGATAGGTATCGGGATCGCCGACGCCGATGATCAAGCGATCAAGGAAAGATAAGACAAAGACCTTCATGGCTATGAAATGATGTATACCAACCTAACTTACTATGTACAGTAATATTGTACACTACCGGCCTTTCTGCCTTCAAGCCTTTCTGGTAATCAAGTCCTTTTGTACAGTACCGAGTGTTCGCCCATTCAGCCAGGCTCGGGAGCTATCATGGAGACGTGCAAGCTTGTTCAAATCACATATGACCTCTCGTCTGGCTGAATTGGTCATCCTAGAGAACATAGACACGGTTATCGATTTAGTGAACCTTGAAGTAAGTAAGTAAGTAGCCTTGGAGGTGAGACCGTTAGGTTAGACGGGGCCGGCTCCAGGCAATATTATACGATAGTATGCCCCGCCTCCTACCGCAGATTG